CGACGTCAGCAGAGCTGACTGCGCAGGCGCAGCAAGTGCCATGCGTGCATTCAAGCTGTCAGTAGCATTTCTCAATGCTTTCCTATGCCTCCATCACGCAGAGCGTCCATACTATGCCTCCAGCGTCACAGATGCGCCTCTAGTGGCTGTCCAGAAGACAGCCACTAGAGGCTGGCTTAACCCTGCAATGTAAACCTAGTAGTTTCTCTGAAACTGCTATGTTTACATCTGCAGGGTTAAAACCTGAGGGACCTGTCACCCAGACCACTTAATTGAGCTGAAGTGGTCTGGGTGACTATAGTGTCCCTTTAAAGGTTGGAGGAGTATGCTTTAATGTTTATTACAGAGGTTACTTGTCCTTCATAAAGTAGAACATCCCCACAGATACTGCCATTATATGCCAGGAACCCATTGGGTACCTAAGGCAGTGCCATACTATAGCAGTCTAATACTTCTCGTACATGGCATAAGGAAATTTTTGGACTGCTTCAATTCCCCCAATCAATCTACACTTAGTATCTCATAATGACAAAACAAACACCAGATATTTGAAAACTTTGAAAATGTATTAAAAAGAAAAAAAACAATAGAAACTTTACTGTTAGACCAGATGCATCCCATGTCTCTGGATCATCTTTGAGATGGTTCTACGATTTGAGTGGAGTCAACCTGTTCCAAATCTAAACAATTGGACATGATTTGGAAAGCCGCATATACCCAAATATATAGATATCTAATGTCTCAGAGGTGTAGGTGCATATCAGAGCAAAAAACAAGACATGAGATCAAAGGAACTGCCTGCAGAGCTCACAGACAGGATTGTGTCAAATTACAGATCTTGGAGAAGGCTGCACAACCTTATGAAGAGCACATTAGCCACCATAATTTTTAAAAATGGGAAAAGTTTGGCACACGCAGGTCTCATCCTAGAGCTGGCCATCCATCATGTCTAAGCAATTGGGGATGAAGGGCCTTGATAAAACAGGTAACCAAGAGCCCAGTGGTCACACTGGTTGAGCTTCAGCGATTGTGTAGAGATGGGAAAAACTTTCAGGACAACCATCACTGCCATACTCCACCTCTCTGGCATTTGTGGCAAACTGACCACACGAAAGCCTGTTTGGAAAAAATATTTTAAATAAAGATAGCATAAGGCTGCACCATGAAAATGTTAAAGAAAAACCCAAAACAAAGTGGGATTGAATAGTTTCAGAATGCATTGTATTACAACATTCATCCTTTTGAAGAAGAAAAAAAAGCTACTCCAAAGAGCAAGTAGACTAAGCTGTTTTTGTATGTTATACTATTGGCACATGGCAGAAATAGTTGTCTGAAGCACTATGCACACCTGTAATTGAAGAAAGCCAGCCCAAAGTGCTTGCATGCCTATCACAGGCAGCCATCATAGGGACTTCCAGATCTGATGGTACATGCGCAGATCTTGGCATTCATCATGCCATTACTGGAAGCTTTTGCACTGGTATTTCCAGTAAAATATGAGATGTCTCTAACGTCATACAACTCTGGGACGGCCTGTCACAGCGTTCTGTGCTGCTAGTGATCTCCAGCTACAGTCAGGAATGCCAGAGTCAGTCATAACAGATCTATTCCTAGACTGCCTCAACAGTGTGACAGCCAAGTAATAGTGGGTGATTGGCGCCAAGAGAGATTAGAAAGCAGGGGTCCAATTAGTCAGTTAAAGAGGCACCATAACCATTTCATCCCATTACTGGTGGAATTCTGTCCAAAACAGGGGCGGTGGGGGTGGGAGAGGAGGAATGCAAAAAAGTAATATAGCCAGTAGACTTTTGCAGGTGGTCCAAAAATAATTTAAATGGCATTTGCAATCAGATGAATAGCCATGCAATTTGGACGATCTAAAACGGTGCAAAAATGAGCCAGTGTACAGTAAAAATATAAATATGCATATAATTAGCAGTACTCGGAGTGGAGTATTTTTGCACCACTTGGTTCACAAATCAAGTGAGACCTAACCAGTAGTGGGGAAAAGTGGAGGAGCAGAAAACTAAATTTCTTCTTTAACTGATTAATCACTACAAAAAATCAACTATATTTTTATCCCTCCAAAATCATCTCTTTTGACACCAGAGACTGAACTCTGCATCATGAAGCATATGAAACGGTTTGTCCTTTGTCCACTTAATTTCCTTTATCTAATAACCAGTTGTTGTGACAAAGGTTGGTGATAAAATAAAAAAAGTCTAAATGCTCAGTTAAAGGGAAGCTATAGTGATAGGAAAACAAACTGGTTTTCCTGGCACTACAGCTTCCACCTCTGTCAAAGCCCACAGTGTCCGTTTAAATACCATGAGGAGTCTGTCTACTTTCTTCAAACCGTGGTTATTTAATACAGGGTGTTTACAGTCTTTTTGCCAGGCTGTTTCATCACCAATTTATGCAGTCTTAAGCATGCTCATATATTTAAGTTTCCCAATAACTACAGTAACATTTACAAGGAAAAAAAAAATACACAATATAGTGCATATTGGATGTGATAAAGATTAATATATGTGAACTACGTGGGGAGGGCCGCCGAGCAAAGCGGTCGCAGGATAGCTCAGCTCCTGCAAATGAAGACATTATAAAGCTTATAAAATATGACTTTAAGCACCCAACTTACCCACGACCGCGACCCTCGATTGATAAGGGCTACCGGAACCGGGGAGAGGCTTGCTCTGGGCCGTGGGGGGGGAAGGGTGGTGATCCCGGTCCACACCTGGTGGCCCTGATCGTGAGGCCTAGGAGCCCGACCGCTGCCTCCAAAATGGCGGGCGCCATGTGTGCCGACAACAAGAGGTGAATCTTATATCTCCCCGTGATTCCAACTAAAGCAGCTCCTACCTCCTAATCCCACCCCACAGGGAAATGCCAGCCCTCGCAGCCACTTAAGCCAGCACTGAGAGGCACGGACGACCCGAACAAGTGGGAAACTGCGGCTACATGGGGGTGACGGAGCAGTGGGCAGCAACCATCCCCGCCAGGGGGGAATGCACCAGTTGCCCAGTGCGACATCTTTACTGGAGGACCAACCAGGCACTCACATACCACCCAGCCTGCAACAAGACTGCCCGGAAAGCGGATTCTCACGGATAAAACCCAGCTCCCAAAAATAGTGGATACCAGCATGTGGACGAGCGATGGCGGCAAGCCCACCACACCAAGGCAGTAACCCGGAGGTACCCAGGGAACCATGCAGAACACCACGCGGGTGAAACACGCACAGATGCATGCTCTGAAGGACACTTGCCCAAAACTATTCGTACACAGCAGAGCAGGCACCGGATAACATCGGGACTTCCCCTGCCTGAAAGCCCCTGGGTCCACCGGGACACCGACTCCCTCCCATTGAGGCAGCACTGGAAACCCTGACCCACCTGGGTGACAGTGGCTTTAAATTGTCCAATCTCGCTAGTCTTTATTATATGCTCAACTTAGATCTAGCTCAACGATGACTCTATAACTATGTCATAATCAGTCTAACGATGCCTGTTTTCATGTAGTCTTATTAAGTCTGTATTTGAAGCTCACATATAGCTCACTAGTCAGCTTAAACGTAATTATGCATGCCATGCTCTCAGGCTCCTTTGTCACTCCTCTGTCCACTAACTCTTGAGCCTGCGGGGTGTCATTTGTTGCATGAATAAGCCATGTGTTGCATGTATAAACCAGCATGATACTCAATGTTACATACATTTAACAAAGCTAACCCGTGATTAAGCCAGATCATATGCATATTAAATATAAAAAAAAGTGCAAGCTCTAGCATACTCCTATTTGTAAAAAAATTTTTCTGAAAAGCATGTGGATTGCCCCTGGGGTACCCCATACATGTTATCTCATATGCACTATAAAAATAAAGCATTTAAAAAAGAATATGTGAACTATTAAAAAAATATATATATATATTTGTGTTAAGGGCTCATGATAGTACAGAAGATACAAACACTGATAAGTGTGGGATGGTATTAAAAGAGCAAGTCGGTTGTGGTGTGCCGGAACCGACGATGAGGTAGGCCTGCAAATAAAGAGGGCCCACCAAGAAGAAATGTAAGAGAAAAAAGAGTTAATAAATGAGGAGTGGGTGGGAGGGTGATGCAGCGCTGACCTCGAACGGTATGGAGCCAGGTAAGGGGTATCCCTTAAGTAGGGAGAAGGTGAGTCATACGCCCCTCCCACAATTACAGGGCTCATGATAGTACAGAAGATACAAACACTGATAAGTGTGGGATGGTATTAAAAGAGCAAGTCGGTTGTGGTGTGCCGGAACCGACGATGAGGTAGGCCTGCAAATAAAGAGGGCAAAAGTAGAAAATAAACTTTTATTACGAAATGAGCAATATACATACTTTAACCAGACATATCTTGAAAGGCATTTCTAACTTCTTGTACCGGGTTAGGTATGTATCTAGAGTATGCAGAAGACTTCCAGCGCCCTAGTGACTTGATAACATGTACTGGAATGTTTGCACTGGACGCTGTGGAGGCCGCACCTATATGGAAGGAGTGGCCCGAATAGTTAGCTGATTTTAGGCCTAGTTGTGTAAGTAGGGACCTGACGTGGGTCATGAAGGTGGTGGTAGTGAGTACCGAACCTTGTAGACAAAAAAGTGGTTGAGATGGTGATGCTTTGAAATGCTGAGTATATGTGTCCAGTAATGTGACGGGGCACCACTCGTTGTGGGTAGGATAGTATCTAACCTCTACCGGGGGTGCGTGTTGATTGGTTTTGGAGTGATCCAGAGCTAAGATATAGTAATCCATGTGTTTTGTTAAGTGTGAATGAAGCAGAATGTGAGTGGACTGGGATGTGTTGATGGCGGTAAATTCTCTTGGTCTCAAGAACCCATAAAAAGCCACGTATATGGCGGTTTTTATAACAAGGTTTGTGTTGTTCGCAAAGGGTTTTAAATCTAGTAGGCTGGATAAATCTTTGAAAATATTGAAGTCTATAGGTAGCCTTTGCGTGGTACGTGGGGGTTCGGATCTCTGGATACCCCTAAGGATGTTCTTGATCTGGTAGGAGGATATGAAACTTGTGTTGTTTGGTTGTAATGTTAGCATGTGATGTTGTACGCCTGTCAGATATAGCTTGATTGTGTTGTAAGATAATTTAAGTTTGAGGTGGCAAAAAGAAGCAAAACCCAACAAAGATGTCATGATGAAAGGTTGTGTGATGTTGTGCAGTGACAGGAATCTTTTAAATAGCAGGAAAGCCCTGTCATATGTTCTCCGGGTATTGGTGGACAGTGCTAATTGTGCCAATGTCCTGCTATGTTGCATGATAGCTTCTAGTCCATAACTAGCTGGTGGAAAGGTGGAGTGGTCGTGGCTGTGCGTGCGGCTGACGGAAGTATTTGCCGAAAAGCCTGTAAATTGAAACGAGACAAATTGTCAGCAGCCGTGTTACAAACACCTGGGACATGAACACAAAACAAGAAGAAATTATGGCATGCAGCCAGCCAGGTGAGTTTCCTCAAGAACCTCATAATGGTCAGTGACTTGGATCGGCCTTTGTTTATAATGTGGCAGGTAGCTTGGTTGTCTGAGTAGCAACGTACTGACGAACCTGCCCATAGATGCCCCCATGTCACGGCAGCTGCCACAATGGGATATATCTCAAATAGAGCTGAGGTAGTGGAAAAACCTTCCAGGTCCTGAACCTCTGGAGGCCAGCTACCCCAAAGCCATTCATTCCCGTAAATTGCTGCAAAACCTGTGGTAGACGCCGCGTCTGACCAGATGGTAGGTGAGGAGTCAGACAATTTAGGGAGAAACATGCTTTTCCCATTCCAGGTGGTCAAAAAGTTTCTCCACATAAGTAGGTCTGCCGTGGCTTGGGTATCCAGTGGTAACCTGTGTGCATCATGTCTAAACAGTGGGAACATGTATAGAAGCCGTGAGATGAAAGCCCGGCCTTGAGGTATAATGCGCATGGCAAAATTCAGTGACCCAAGTAGAGACTGCAATTCTTTGCGGTTGCAAGTACTGAGGTGTATGTAGAGGTTAATGTTAGTAAGAATGTTCTCTATCTTGGTGCGTGGTAGGCTGGCTTGCATGGTGGCTGAGTCTAGTATGATTCCCAGAAAGGTGATGACTGTATCTGGTCCTTCAGTTTTGGTGGGGGAGACTGGAACACCCACCTGTTTAAAAAGACTGATGGTTTCTATGAGGCTACTGGTAGGGGAAATGTTCTCTTCGATCAGTAAAAAATCATCTAGGTAGTGTATAACTGTAGGGCATCTGGCTACATTTAATAATAACCAGCATAATGTTTAGGCGAATACGTCGAAAATGTCCGGACTACTTTTTGAACCAAACGTTAAGCATGAGAAAAAGTAGTAGTGCCCGGCCCACTTAATGCCATGCAGGTGCCATAGTGTAGGGTGGATAGGCAATAATTTGAAGGCATTTGTAATGTCAGTCTTGCTGAGCCATGCTCCGACCCCTGCCTGCATGATAGCCGTAATGGCGTGATCTATGGTGGAGTATTGAAGTGAAAATTCCTCAGAGGGGATAAGGGAGTTCAGACTAGGTGTGGCAGAGGTGTGAGGTGCAGACAGATCGATGATAAGTCTTTGTTTGTTGGAAGATTTCCCTGTGACAATACCGATGGGGTTTGTCCGCCATGTGGAAAATGGAGGGGACTGAAAGGGTCCCAATAGGAAGCCCTCTGCCACTTCTTTGGCTATGAGTGTGCTAACCGCTGTAGGGTTTTGTTGTGCAGATTGTAAATTAGGACATTCAAGGATTCCTGAAGGCATGTGTATGAGACCAGTATGGAATCCTTGTGATAGGCCACTGATGATGAAGTCTACCAAATGTCTAGACGGATGTTGTGACAGTAATGCCGTGAGAACAGAAATATTTATCTCAGTTAAGTATTGCTTAGGGTACATTTTATTTGGACACATGGTTTTCGCATGTGCCCTAAAACATTTTGAACATATATGCAATAACCGACAACCACTGTAATTACATGCACCGACGTTGAAATTATTACATATTTGGGATTTCCCCAAAAACTTGATAGGTCGACCCAGTTTGTCTTTGGGTGTTCTCTCTGCCGAAACAGTGGAGCTAGTGCCCTGCGAGGTAGTAGGTTCGTTCGCAGTGGTCGGACAAAAATTGGCGGTATGAGCCATGGAGGAGCAGTGTGCACAGGCCGGTGCTCTTAGACCTGCAAAGTGCCTGCAAAATATGATCGTATCAATCTTACTCCAGTTGGACCTTGTCCCGTACTGTGAGAAGGCGCCAGACACTTTGGCAGAAAAGGATCTATGGTAGTCATAGAAAGCTGACCCACCATATTTGTTGCCCAGATCCACCAGCCTGTGCATATATAAGTCAAACTCCTCACGTCTGTGGGGATATACCGTACAGATCACATCCTGATAAATGCCAAAAGCTAATACAAATTCTGGAATGGTTAGCTTCCTATTTAATCGTGCATCCCTAGATTTGACCACCACAGAAATGTCGTCATAAGCGTATGTCTTATGTTCCACTATATCCTGGGAGGCAATTAGTAGTGAGGCCAGATTGACATCTTTACCTTCCAGGATATCTTTCCTGAGGTGCTCAGGTATCATGTGGGCAGGGTAAACCTCTTGGTCATCCGAGGTGATGGCTGGAGAAACTGATTGCGACTCCACCACTGATGGGGGAATTGCCGTGGCCGGTCCAGCCCTAGTGAGGGCTGTAGTGACCGATTCAAGTTTCTCCAGCCTAGAATTGACCTTGCTCATAGATGCCATGAGGGACGTGAGCATGTCATGTATGTTTCCTGGGTTGGACTGGCTCGACCCTTCCCCAGCGTCCATGTTATCGGTTGAGGTGTGTAGTAATTTGTAAAGTTCCGCTTTCCTTGCTGTTGCTGGAAAAGGGATTTGTCGTCTCCTGAGTTCGCTAGTGATGCGAGGGATAGTCCATGATCTGAAAGATGCTGGACTAGCCGTATCTTCCTCCTGTGATGGGGTGTTTGCTCTAGCCGGAGTACTCGGGATGGAGAAATCCTCTACCCCTTCTTGAGACATACTAGATGACAAAATATATGGTTAGCGTAAAACCCCCCAGGGGATGTACTGGCAGGCTAATTATGCCGGATGAGGCGAAGAATTAATCTTGTTCTTTGGTGACAGGTGAGGCCCTGCTAGTTGCCAAGTGGCTATGAGAGGCGCGAGGGGTTATTTGAGGCCACCCGACGTAGTGGCAGGAGTTCGTAGGCCTCTCGGTGACAATACATGAACAGGGGAAGGGAGTGACAGGTGGCACCCTCTCTATAATTTGCGAGGCGGCTAACTCACGTGTGGCCCGGGGGGCATTACCTCCGAAACGTTGAGGCGGGGTGTTGGCCTCGCAGACCACTAAACGATAGGCAGGATGCCCAGAGGGGAGATACCTATTTGGGCCTATAAATCCTAAAATTGCCAGTACTCTATGTCCTAAGTAGCGATGAACCGTATGTGATATGTGGCGTGAGCAGGCTTAACGTACCTGGTAGTATGTATGAGTTTGATAAGCGACAGGTATAGAAAACCTGGAAACAACCTAAAGGGATAGAAAACCAGATATGATAGTGTGAGAATTGGATCATATGATACCAATTGGACTAGTTAGCTGATGAGTTCTATTAGTACATAAGTGGAGGAGGAATTATTATTATGAAAGGTAGTGGCCCTACTGGCCATGTTATGTGGTATGGTCCTGGTAATCAGGATTAGGGATGTATATAATATGTCTCTATGGTGACAAGATTAACGCGTATGATTTAGTAATGCTAGTGTTTGTAGTATAATATGGTGGTTTTTAAAACAATACAGTCTATGTTAGGCCGTGAATGTAAGCCACGAAAAGAGGTGAGTATGAGGTAGAAAATACTTTAGAAATTATCCCCCAAAACAGAAAAAACGTGACGTATGAGTGGTTGAATCAAGACGTGTGATTCAACCCGAAAGTTTTGTGAGATTTTGAGACCGTGTTCTTGTGTACTTGGTATGACGTTTTGAGTATGCCGGAAGCAAACGGGTTAACTATGCCTGTGACTTGGCTGTAAAGCGTGTGGCCGTAAAGTAAGGCCGTTTTAAATCGCGACGCCGTGGGAAATGATCCGGGCGACGGACTTACGATTTTGCAGTCCTGTGGACTTAATCTGCGACGGACCACCGGGTGTGTGTGTGTGGCTGGACGGGCGGAAGACCTGGTTTGTGAGGGTTCCTGGACACAGCTACACCGAAACGAAACCGCTGGTATTTGAAAAAGCAAGATGGCGCCGCACGTGAACCGGAAGTGGATTCTGATGCAGCGCTGACCTCGAACGGTATGGAGCCAGGTAAGGGGTATCCCTTAAGTAGGGAGAAGGTGAGTCATACGCCCCTCCCATAATTAAGTAACAGCAGTAAGACCAATAACCCATAGTTTAATCGATCTTACTGCCGTTAGTTATCCATAGATATTTTGTGGTTCATGTAGAATGATCATTATCACATCTGATCTGCACTATATTGTGCATTTATTTTACATTCTACTGTATGTATTTGGATATTGAAGCATTTTGAGTGAATAATTCTCATTACTTTAGTGCACCCTTAGTGTGTTGAATATTTTATTATTACTGTGTAGAGAAAATCAGTTGAATGAGTTTTGTGGCATTGTATTGTACATACACTTTAAGCACCTATTTACTTTTGTTAGTTTATAGTAGTTTTCTTTTTTAATCTTGGAATAACCGACAAAGCCCAAAAAGATAAGTTTTTTTTTAGTCCTTAAATTTTGGTGACAGAAGAAACACAAGCTTGCAAAAGCTCCCAAACACAGACAAATTCTGTGCTTGGGAATTCAGACTTTGCGTGATCTTAAAGGATCATTATAGGGTCAGGAACACAAACCCTGTAGTGTTAAAACCACCAGCTAGCCCCCCCCTGTGCCCCTCATACCTCCATAAATATAGCAACATCTTACTTTATTCAAGCCAGAAGCTGTAGATCTGCATGCTGAGTGCCTCAAAAAAAAAAAAAAACAACCAAAAAAACAACAGTCTGCTGACATCAGAAGTGGTAGCCTGACCCAATCCCAATGCTTCCCCATAGGATTGGCTGAGACTGACAAAGAGGCAGAGCCAGCATGATTCAAACACAGCCCTGGCCAATCAGCATCTCCTCATAGAGATGAATTGAATCAGTGAATCTCTATGAGGAAAGTTCAGTGTCTGCATGCAGAGGGAGGAGACACTAAATGTTTGGATGCATTTTTTTGCAGCCATGACCCAGGAAGCATCTCAAACAGCCATCTCAGGAGTGGCCAGTGAAGTTATTAGGCTGTAATGTAAACACTGCATTGTCTCTGAAAAGACCGTGTTTACAACAAAAAGCCTGACAGTAATGATTCTACTCACCAGAACAAATTCAATAAGCTGTAGTTGTTCTGGTGACTGTAGTGTCCCTTTAAACTTTCCAAGTTTTTTATTTTGAAGTCATGTACACCATGGCTGTAGCAGTCACACTCATCCTGCATGAGTTGTGGTTTCATTTGCGCTTGGAAGTGTCCACAAGAAGGTCCAATCTTCATGATGCAGACATGCTGGTTTCAGCACATTTTTAGAAAGAAAAATAAAATAAAAATTTGTACCACATTCTCTCTCTTGTGAAAACAAAATTTGTAGTTTGCTTGCAAGCACGGTTCAAAACCATCTTTTGCTTTAAAGTAAGCCAGCAAAATTGATCAAAGCTGAGGTGTATAATTCTTTCAAGACATGTCATGTTTGCCATTATATCAGATTGAGAACAGATGCTCAAAATGTTGAAACCCACTTCTCATTCAAGAGGTAAAGATATATAAAATAAAACCCTTTGATATTTAGAGATACTTGGGAAATTTGGTAGATACACTTTTATTTACAAGATTAGAGAATGTACAGTTTTACATGGGTTACTTGTGCAAAAGCAAAAACCTATAAAGAATGTGTAAAATCCTCAAAAAAAAAAAAAAAAGCACACTTTTGTGTATTCAGTTTTTTTCGTTTTGTTATAAAACCTTTTATTCTTCTAATTCTGTTAAGAGAATTGTAATCATGGCAAACCATTCTCAGTCACCAAATAAATGCACATGTGGGCCTTACAGCTTAAGGTCAAACTTAACTAACAAAAGCAAAACTTGAAGAAAGTGACTTACGTGTATTTTGCTTTGTGGCTTGCAACACTACTAGTAACGGCACAAAGTAGTGACTAAAAGGCAGAGTAGACTAATTTTACCCTTCATTTCTACAGCACACCAAAATGTTACAAGATCAATGTTTTGGGTAGGTCACAACTTGCATTGCATTTGAGAATCCCCTGATCAATGTTCCAATGATTGACAAATCAGATGTATTCTCAGTACGACTTTGTTTCTGGAGGTTTAAACAGACATGTTTCTAGCAGTTCATATCTACACACTTTGCGATATGCAAAAAATCAACTGTTTAATAACTAGAAAACACTAGCCTTGACACAGTGTTGTCTAGCCCAAACCTTTATACTTACTTCCCTGCCTCTGAAGAAGAGAGGACGATTAAATGAAGAAAAAAAAAAAAAAGTGGAAAAGCGATTTAAAATTGAAATCTAATACAGCCTTGGCTCTGTACTTTAGATTGTATTCCAAATGTAAAAAGGATGTCTCAAGAAGATTGTTATCCTGTATGTTTGTATGAACACATTCATGTCCCTTTTATTACAAAACAGACATTTTATGGCCTGTTAAACCAAAGGGGGGGAGGGAGGGGGAGGGGAGATTTTTTTTTTTAAAGATCAGCTGAGAGGTGTGAAATTAACTGCTCAACAAATTAAAAACAAATTATTTACACACAATATATAAATGATGCAAGTTTTGCAAGTAACCCACATATGGTACATTTGACTGCAACATGAATTTCAGGTGTCCAAGAAGGGAGGGTGGGGGAAGGAGAAGAAAAAAAAATAATAAAAAAAAAAAAAAGTGAAAAAAAAATTATATATAAATGAATGCATCAGCCGGGGGCCAAGTTAGGTGGTGACAGTACGACAGCCAATTTTGCAGTCAATATAAATGCAAAGATTCTAGCAAGAGGAAGATCACTCAAGACACTTCATATATATATTTTCCTCTCGTTCAGAGTGTTCATAAACAAGGGCAAGGGTCAACAGTCACGCCAACTCTGTTCTACTATTGCGGAGACCCTCTTTTCGTATTCACGTTTGTTTTCTTGGTACAGCTGAGCAGCCTGGCTGTTTGCAGGACTATTTGGGTTTGGTTCATCCAGCAATGACTAAGGAGAAAACATACATAAATAAAATATTACAATACATATACTGGTGTTTTCTGCTGCCTTAGAGATGACTGAACTCTGGCAACTCCTCTCATCTAAATTTGACATACCCCTTAAGCAAACTCTGCCCCTTTGTGTGTAGACTCCACCTTTTAAGCACACATACAACTGACCCTTACATGCTCTCATTGGCACGTGCAGTGTTTAACACATACACTCATAAGTTATATTTTAACATTTGTCCATCCAACCCCCCTACTTTTGGGAGAGCTGGAGTGGATCCTTTCCTTGGGGTTTAGTGTGGCTGCTGTTATCCCATCATCTTCTTGCTCTGCTTACATGTGCATCGTTTGGTAATACTAGGGTCAGGAGTGACCTATCCCTGCTCCTGGCATCCCTGCAGGGCACACAAGTGAGCAGAGCAGGACAAATTACAGCTTCTTTGCTGCATGTTTACACTGCACACAGCTGCCCACCTCACATTCCCCCTCCCACAGGTGGAACACAGGGCGCCCAGTTTAAGATGTGCAGGAGCCTGAGTGGGTAGTTTCTTGCGGCCTTCCTGGAAAGTGCTATCCAAGGGAAATTCCTTATTTGCCTTGTGATAGATACAGTAGCACACAAAAAACATGCAAGAAGAGCTGATTCTCAATTCTAAAAACCAGGAACCTAGAAAACAATTAATTTTACACCAATATAAAGATGGCATTCCAAGAACCAACACAACCATTTATAACATTCACAAAACCATGAATAAAAACATAAAAAAATGTTTGGATCAACCATGTATAAAGGGGTTTGATTTCATATACACTATTATTTTTGCAAATTAAATTGCCAAGTAATTATTACAAAAGCAGGCATGCTTGTGAAATGGTTTTATGCATCTGATGAATGGTACCTCTGAACTAAAATATCATAAAAAGAGTATGCAGTATTTATAGGGTAAGCTCGACTCCAAAATGAAAACAGTTGACAAGAACAGGCTGGCAAGACCACAGGACTTACCTGTATAGAGGTTAATATTGAAGAAACATCATAAGTTGGACTCCAACGATTTTGAAGAATATCCAGACATATGCTGCCATCAGCGTAAACTAAAAATAAAGGATTAAACTTTGACACATTGCACAAAAATCATGGGAGACTAAAGATTTAAAAAACATGGAAAAAGTGTGAACACAAGTTATAGGTTATTTTCAATGTGACTGTTCCTTAAATTTAAAAGGTTTAGCAAGTTAAATCACTTTTGCCAAAAGTGCCCATATAAGAGTGGCACTCCACCTTTGCACACTGGGGATCAATAATATTTTGACTGAATAGGGATTGCAGTGAAATTGTACTATAAAGACAAAGCCGGTACTTGTCTTAAGGTAAAGCCTCAACTTGACAAAAGGCAGAGGCATTCTTTCAGTTCCCCAAGCCGCCACAGCACTAAAGAGGGCTTCTAGTTGATGAAACAAAAGGAGGTAAAGACTGCGATGTCTGCCAGGGACAGCATCAGGAAATTATAACATACCAGTGCTGCACCACCAGGCCTCCTAAAGCAGCGGTGTCAGGAAAGATAAGATTCACAATTCTGGAAAGTTCTCATTTAAGACAACTAAAATAGTGACTCCATTAGGTGGGTCTGGACCTACAAAAATGGTTTTCCTCTTGAATAATTTCTTATCAAAGATCAGACAATGTTAATTACCAGTTTTGGCCAAGTAAAAAGGTATTGTTTACTATAGGAAAATAAGCTTAAAGGCTGGACAAAACAGAATTGCCAATACCAGGGTCCTTATTTTGGTGCATTATCGGTTTAGTTGTTGGGTAAGGATGTGCCCTTTTGAACTACAGTGGACTCCCTTGACTCATAAAATACATTATGTGCAGACATTGAGCAGTTTTGCAACTACAAATAACCGTCAAGCATAAAAGTACAGCAAGCCCATTTTGACTGCACCATCTAATTTTACAGTCACCAATGTATAAATTGGGAATAGTAATGCAAATGAGTACATTGCATCAAATGGGTACACAATACAGAAGAATTTTACACCACCCACATCTGCTAATTTACATTCTGCACACAGCCAAGCATCCCTCCAAAAGCAATGCATGCAATCTACATTTTATTTCAAGCACATCACAAACCAGTTATGTTTGCCTGTGTGTAGTGTTGGGTGAATGATTCAGTTTAATGAGCACCCAGTGAGTATCACTGGCTCCTGTATGCACCTTGTTACTTGGCAGTAATGAGGTAAATGTGACCGAGCAGCAGGATTTATATTCTTTGTGGGAAGAAGAGTGGGGGAGGGAATTTAAAGGAACACTATGAAGATTCATATAATCATTATTGCCAGAATGGTTAAGCGAACCGGGCTGCATATGACTATCAAGAAACTGTGGCATCTCCAGGATTCATATTTAGGGAGGGGCACATGAGGATCCAAGGAGAAAGTAGGGGGGGCAGTTATAAAACGCATGCATACACACACAGGGCTCGACAAATTCCAGGTGCCAGGTCACCACGGCAACAAGAAGTTTCTCCCTGGCGCCTGGGATTTGTTAGTCCTTGGCTAAGCCGCACAGGAAACATTGAAGCTGGCCGCCGCGGGGAGCAGTAACCTTCCTGCAGTTGCTGTCTGCTACCTCGCCTGCCGTTTAGTTACTCCGGCCTCAGAAATCACTACAGACAGCACGCAGGGGAGCAGAGAGAAACTGCAGGAAGATTAGAGAGGAGTCCCACTGGACACCAGGGAAAGATCCACTCAGCTCTCCCACACAGACTGAGCCACCCGCCCCACCCCCCCCAAAACACACAGACCCAACACTCCGTGCTCCCAACTTATATTTCAATTGGGGGGATACTGCATGATGCCGCCCACTCAGCGAAGCCACTGTCGGGAAAGCCATGGACCATGCATGCACCAACTGTGGCTCAGCACTTTCCAGGGAGGGGAGAGCATTCCCTACTATGTGCCTACATAGGAGAGAGAAAAAAGTCATACAGAAGAGTTTCCCCTCAAAAGGGGTCTTTATTAGTGAACAAAGCACAGCTTTTGGCTCGTACAGAACCTTCAAGACTAATAGCACTGCTGCCCATAGTAACACAAAATTAAAAGCATTACGCTGAGCCATACTGCGTCATGCATTGCGCATAGTGCGGTTCCACACCTGTGTCTCTCTCCCTTTTTGGTATCCTTATGGCAATCCCATAATTAGAGAGTTTTCTACTAAACCGTTCCCTAATTTAGTACCCTTAAATAGGGCAATGCCAAACGTATCAGTTTAGGGAGTTATCTACTAAACATCGGCAAGAAGCAGTATGCACTGGAATTTCATTTGTCCACATGAAATACCGAAATAAAAAAGACAAAATTTGGTTCAGACAAAAAAAATCCCCAAGTCTAATGAAAAACTGACTTTGTGGGGAAACTCCTCAATGTACCTGGGTTCTCACTGGGGATTTGCCCTTCAGTCCTGCAGCATAATTGTGCAGATACGCTACAGCTCTGGACGTTTGTTCTACATTCCAGGGTTAAAGGGACAGGGACACTGCACCCAAACCATCTCAATTAGCTGAATTAGTCTGAATGTCTACAGTGTCACTTTAAAGAGCAATTTAAAGGGACACTAGGCACACAGACCAATTCTGCCAATTAGAATGGTCTAGGTGCCATGCCCCTTAGCCCTTTTAGTCAAAACACTGGTTTTGATTACAGGGCTAATCCCATCTCTAGTTGCAGTCTCTCAGACTTCTTAGAGCACCAAAAGTGTATTAAAATTATGTTAGACGTCCCCACGCTCTGCATGAGGACGTCGAGCATCTCCGGAATTCCCATAGGAAAGCATTATTCAATGTTTTCCTATAGGGAGGTCTAATGCGCGCACGGCCATTGCCGCGCGTGAACATTTGGTTTCCCCCGCCAGCAGCCACTAGGCAGGAGCGTGGGGCGGAGCAGAGTCAGCACCAAGGAACATCAGTGCTGGCCCAGGTAAGTGACTGAAGGGTTAACCCTTTCAGCGCTGCGGGAGGGGGAAGCCATAGTGCCAGAAAAAAAAAAAATTTAAAAAAAAAAAAAAAAAAAAAGGTTTTTCCTGGCACTATAGTTTCTCTTTACAAAATAAAACATAACAGTTGTTCCTATACAAACCACTCAAACAGAGACTGGATGGTAAACTAAAGAGCTATGCAATTTCCATTAATGCAAAGTGCTTATACTAACCCTTCAATCTTCCATTGCCTTCACATATAGAACAGAGTAAACCCTAGGAGCGCCCTATTCTAGCTGTAGGAAAATCAGGAATAAAGTTCCAGAATTCAACTGCCCAGAAAGTGGAATAAGGGTCACATGCATACACTTCTGTTTGTGTACCCCCAACCCCCTAACAGATTTCTTGAGCGCTCATGTTTATTTGCCAAATGAGTCTAAACCCAGGCAAATACGATAAACATTAAAATGCACTATAGAACATATATTGGAAAGTAAAGCCTTTTCATGCATTTTTCCACAGAAACATTACATTAAAAAAAAAAAAAATTAAGTAAATGTTAGTCTGATTTCATAATAGGAAGGCAATCTAGACCTGCTGATTCATATTAAACATTACAACCCATTACAAGAGAATGCCATTATTTCCCTCTCCAGCATAGGATAAATATCTGATAAAAAAAAAAAAAAAAAACTGATACACAGTTTGGGGGGAGGATGTGAAATATAGAAGATTACACTTACCATTGGGATGAAACATTTTGGACACAAATCTAACTGTTGGTGGTTTATTTGGATATTCTTCTGTGAATTCTATCGTAAGTTTAAAAGTTCCTACAAAACAAAAGTAAGCTTATAAAAGTTATATAAACTTCAAATTATGTAACTTAATACCAATATGAAGAATATTCCTGAGGGGGATAATGAATTTATACATCTGATATTGGCACAGCAGCTACCCTTCAATTACCTCAACAGATTGGATTTCACTTTAATTTGTTTTTGGTTTTTAAGCAGACATGTCACTTTCTTTGCAAATAGCCTACTAAAAGACTGCTACAGGTGGTAGATAATTTCCCTCTTTAATTCACAAAGTTTATATTTAATCATTTGCATTTCATATGAGGATTTATGGCGCAGTTAGAGCATGAGAAATTCACGTGTGCCAAATGGTATTTATGGTCATATGGAAGGAATGCCCAAAAGCTCTAGACATATTGTTCAGCGATGAAGTGGCCCAAAATGCACAATACAACACTGAGCGCTTGATCTATTAATATGCTATACACGCTCATAGGCAGACAAGACAGACATACAAGAACACCACCCTATCCAAGTTACATAAATTGGGGCACAGCCCCATGTGAAACCTATGAGATCAAACACCAAAGAACTTTGTTTTTAACAGCTTCCCAATGAAACAACTGCCATCAAAAAAAGGTCCCTTAGTAGTAAAATTGAAAAATATAAAGAGATTACAAAATTTAAGAGAGGCTGTGGAATGCATGACAGTAATAGAGGATAGAAGTGCAGTGAGATAAGGCACATGAGAAATACTTCTGACTACAAAAGGACTACTTCTACTCTAAATTAAGTTGATTTGTGTATGTGAAAATTAAAGGGACCATATAGTCACCAGAACAACTACTATGTAGTTGCTCTGGTGTGTATAGCATGTCACTGGAGGCATGTTAAGTGTAAGCACTACCTTGTCAGAGAAAAAAAAAAAAAAAAAAAAGGTTTACATTGCTGCCTAGTAACACCCTTTAGTGCCCGTCACTCAGATGGCCACTAGAGGTGGTTCCTGGGTCAGTTCAGGACAATGTGCAGCATATGTAACACTTATCAAAGATAATTAGATGAGTAACATGCTCTATCTAGGAAAATATATATATATATTTTTTTTTTTTCTTTTTCTTCTTCTTCTATAAGCTCAACCAAATAGGCCTAGAGAAACACAAAATTAGGTCCTTGAATTAATACACACCCAATTGCAGCATCCAAAAATACTTAGCAGGCAACCACTTGCAAGATAAGCATTTAAAGGTCTGGTGGATGTATGTGCATGTCCAATCCCATTGATCAGTAAGAGAAAGCAATCTTCAGGTATGTTCCTTCCAACTATATGCATACAATTTCATAAGTAAAACATTTAAATCTTCTAAAGAACAAGGTTCTGTGCAGAACTTACCATCTTCAAAGGGTGTTCCCTCAGGTCTACAAAATAAAATACAGTTAAGATTAAGCAACATACTATACAGGTTAGTATCAAACCTGACAATGATAATGTCAAGTCTTAAAAAAACAAGTTTACAAACGGAAATTTAGATTATTTATGGATTAGTTGGTTAGATTTAAAGGGACACTATTGTCACCTGAACAACTTTAGCTTAATTAATTTGTTTTGATGTATAGAACATGCCCCTGCAGCCTCACTGCTCAATCCTCTGCCATTTAGGAGTTAAATCCCATTGCTTATGAACCATAGTCACACCTCCCTGCATGTGACTTGCACAGCCTTCCATAAACACTTCCTGTAAAGAGAGCCCTATTTAAGCTTTCTTTATTGCAAATCCTGTTTAATTAAGATTTTCTTATCCCCTGCTATGTTAATACCGTGCTAGACCCTGCAAGAGCCTCCTGTATGTCATTAAAGTTCAATTTAGAGATTGAGATACAATTATTTAAGGTAAATTACATCTGTTTGAAAGTGAAACCAGTTTTTTTTTTTTCATGCAGGCTCTGTCAATCATGGCCAAGGGAGGTGTGGCTAGGGCTGCATAAACAGAAACAAAGTGATTTAACTCCTAAATGACAGTGAATTGAGCAGTGAAATTGCAGGGGAATGATCTATACACTAAAACTGCTTTATTTAGCTAAAGTAATTTAGGTGACTATAGTGTTCCTTTAATACAAAAGAAAAGTAGCACAACATGGGAATATCCAGTTTTGGTAATCATTCACACTACTTAGACTGGAGCAGCTTGACTTCACTGTGGTAGGAGTAGGAGTATGTATAGTTTATGACACAATGGGAAGTGTAAACTGAATTATGTAGAGGAAGATTCATCAAGGCAAAGTAAATAAGGAGCAACCCCATTGAAACCAAAAGAAATATATCTGGACATTTAGCACTTTGCACCCAGGATAGCACCTGCTCTATGTATCTATAGAAACTGTATGAATTATATATAAGCACCCACACACAAAAGGGGGGTTAAGGGGAAATCAAGGAACTGCTGGCTTCTTGCAGAAAATGGACTGTAATTATTTGTGTCACCTGAACTGACAGATTGGTTTGGTTATGACCTGAATATGTTAAAGGTGACCAACAGTGGAAGATAAATATTGACAAGCGTTGCAGAAGTAGCAACTAGAATTCAAAATTGCGATAAAGATAAAAAAATAAAATTGGTAACCATGCAATTTCAAAGTTCTAAATGTTTGCAAAATAACAAAATTCTACTGATTTGCTTAGCAACTGCACCACATGTACTACTTGGCTGCAAGCTTTTTGAATTATGTAGAAAGATTTATTAAAAACAGTGTCACTGGGTAGAATGAAATCCTGTTAAGTGAATAAACTTAATTTATCTAGTATATTAAACACCAAATCATAATGAACTGAAAACCAATTTGTTAGATATTGGCAAATTCTTCAACTCTGCTATAGTCGAATCTTATATGTTAGACTAAATTTTGCAAATAATTTTTTAAATCCGGGTTGAGCGAATACGTGTGGGGCTCACTAAAGGATTACTGAAATTCAAGCTAAAACAGTTGATATTCACAACTTGGCTATTTTAACCTGTTTTGTAAACCAAATTATATCGGACTACAAAACTGGAGCATAGCATCCTATTAAGAGGCCAGATTTTTTTTTTCAAATCGCAGGGTTAGTCTCTAGAGCAAGAACAGGAATTCAGAGATAATTTTTGGTAAATCTTGAATTTAAGGCCAAAAACTGAAAGATTCCCTATGTGCTTCCAGATGGGCAGCTTTGCGCTTAAAATTTCAAGTTTACTTCCAATTCCTAGCAATTCTCACTTCAATGGATGAGCCTGACTTATTTTTCCTTTGAAGAAACGCTCCTATTACTGACTTGATTTTTTGAGAGAAGGGCTGTGACGGCAGAAAGACTTTGCATAGTTCAGAAAAAAATAAATAAATAAAATTAAAAAAAAGTCACATGATAATCTTAAGGTGTCTTATCTTAGTCCTTTAAAAAAACAAACAAAAAAAAAAACCTCTTTAGAGCAGGCTTCCGCAAACTCCGACCCCTCAGATATTGCTTAACTACAACTCCCATGATTCTCTGGCTATGTATCTCAAAGAATCATGGGAGTTGTAGTTCAGCAACATCTGGGGGGGCTGGAGTTTGGGGACCCCTGCTTTAGCAAACTAGACCACCCCACAAGTTTCACTAATGGGGGGGGCTGGGGGGGCACATAACACCCTGATTGAGGGGGTCATTAAATCTCACCCAAAAATGACTGCGTTCCAGACCATGATGTTATTCTCAGAGGGGGCACCGCTCACCCCTGCAGGGGGGTCCTCCTGGAGCCTGGGAAACAAAACAGCACACAGATTAGACAACAAAACATTCTGGGGGTGACCACCAGCAAAGCATCATGGGAGGTGTTTTTTTAGGCAAAAGACCCCCCCCCCCCACCCCCCACAATGCCCTGGGGGCCCCCGGTCCACGCTGGGGGGGGGGTTACCCTGTCACCCGCAGTGAGCCGCCATCTTGAACCCGCTTACCTTTTAAAGTCCCTCATCAGGCGCCGTCTGGCCGGGGTTGACATGTCACAGTAACCGGTAATAGATCAGTAAGGGGCCGGGGGTGGCTGCTAACGGAGACTGTCCGCTGAGGTAAGATAAAACAAAAGGCGGAAACCCCCCCTCCCCGAGATATAAATAAACCCTGTGTTCCTCTGGAAACCTGTCTGAGGCCGGCGGAAGGAACCAAGCACCGCTCTGCTCTGCTCTTCCGGGAGCTCCCGACCCTGGCGGAGGAATATGTGTTGGGGCAAAGCGCAGATAAAGAAAAACAAGTCCTGCTTTGTGGTCGCTAACACCGCGTCACGTGGTGGTGGGGGTGTACTGACAGGAAGCCAAGCACTTCACCTGCTTCTAGCGCCGTCGGTTTAAGGTTTGTGCGACTATAAAAAAATTTTTTTTAAAGCGCGTTAGAAATAAAAAGAGGAAGAAAAACGTCGTGTCACACAGAATTTCTTGTTTTAAATCGACGTTCATGTGGAAACACCCCCCCCCCGCACTAATTTTGGTACGCTCCCGCTCAGTGTTGTCATCTAAACAGCTGCTCTGCCGAAGTGACGTTACGCCGGGCACGCCCTTTATTTTGATTGACAGCGAAATGGGCGGAGACTAAGCATATATTTTGAATAGGGCTAAAAACATGCCCAGAGCGTTATAAAGGAGTCCATACGTCATCAGGGGGCAGGTCCCTGAGTGAGGGAGGCTATAAGGTGTATTCACTAAAATGGGGATTTTTGGTTATTCAACAGGAATGTGAAATTTAAAGGGACACTCCAGGCACCAAAACAACTTTATCCCTTTGTACAGCGCTACGGAATCTGATGGTGCTATATAAATAATAAAATAATAATCTAAATTCATGGCTGAGTGACTCACAATTCACGAAACTGGCATTAATTTCCAAGCGTCAGGCTGCGCTTCCTGTAAGGGAAATTGCAGAAGCCGGATTCTGCCTAGGGGTAGTGGAGACTGCTGGAGGCAACTTTGGGGTTAAACAGTTCAAGAACGATTTAACCCCTTGAGGTAAAAGTACCTCCGGGAGCCTCCTGGCACCAAAGCAAACTTCATTAAGATTACGTTATTTTGGGTTCTGGAGTGTCCCTTTAAAGGCGTACTATAAAGGTCCTATATAGAGCTCAATAACATTATCATTTTATTGCCCTGAATTTTTATTTTTTTATTTTTTTATTCTTTATTTTTGTTGTGCACGCATTAACAACATGCTTGGTTAGCCACGACAGCTATAGCAAGCTTATTAGCAATAAAGTATAACAATAGCATGGCATTTCGAGTAATGGCACAATTTTTAAAATGGTAAAGATAATTTGCAGAGTCTAACAACATAGAGTTAAAGGCAATGTGTGAAAAGAGTAGTTTACGTTCTGGTCGTAGGGTTAGTTTTGGCATACGTGCTTGTGATCTGGAGTTAGCCTGTAAGTGAAGGCATGGTGTGCGCTTATGTGTCGCATGTGTCGAGGTTGAGTTGGGACCTTGCCCTCTAAGGGAGTAGGTCGATATGCCTTTGTTGCGGGGTACAGGGAAACTCCATTTGTAGGCCATGTGGGTGATTATAAGGCAATGTGGAAGGTGGGGGCTGTACAGGTAGGTAATGAAGGTTAACGGGGGATACTGACGTGTAACCTGGTGAGGTATTTGAGCAGCTCCTTGTTAGTGACCACGTTGTGAGGTAGTTGGGGTGGAACTGGGGGGGAGTAGGTAGAGAAAGGAGCCAACGTGTCCGGGTTATGCCCTGTTCGGCGGTAAGTGGCCGTCATGTAGCAGTCCTGCTATGTGTGTGCAGGAAGCCCTGGGTTATAGATCCATAGAGGCTTATGCCTGTTAATCAACTTTCATCTTAAATTAGAATGGATAGAAAGGAGAACATGAAAAATGAAGCAACATAAAACAAAACGAAAGTCCCGGTTCAGGTGGTCTTCATCCCAGGTGAGCCCCTGGATGCTGGAACAAATGGGACAATATTGGCTGGATCCCAAGCAGTAATGGTCGAGGAGATTAGGAGTCCCATAGCTGCCAAGACAGTGTCCATCTCCACAATTTCTGTCGCTTTATATTCCTTGCCTTGGTGTTGGATGAGGAGTACGTGTGATGGTCCCTTGACTGTTAATGCCGCTGTAAGTGGTCGGAGAGACTTACGCCATTGCAGGGTTGTGCGCGAGAGATCAGAGTAGAACGTTAATTCCATGTCTTCAAAGCGGTAGGGATTCTTCCCTTTGATGGCGCCCATTAAAGCAGCCTTGTCTTGCCCATTTTGAAATTTGACCAGGAGGTCAGCTGTTGCAGAGCTTGCGAGTTGTGGTGGCTTGGGCAGGCGGAACATGCCATCCAGCTGCACCCCTTTAGCTTGTTTAGGGGTCAGGAGGGCCGCAAAAAGCCTTCTTAGGAGATGGGGAAGCTCAGCTGGGGATACAGCATCTGAGAGGCCTCTAATTTTGATATGCTTCCACCTTCTTTTGTCTTCCATAGCTGCTAGTTGGTGGGTGAGTGTAGTGTGAGCTGAGGAGAGATCTTTGACCTGATTCTGTAGCTCTGTCATTTGTGCTGCCTGTGCCTGAGTGGTTTGCTCCACTGCTGAGAGGCGATCAGTGAACCCCTTAACATCCTCCCTTACCTGGGAGATCTCCGTGGAGAGCGACTGGCATAGGTCGGTCAAGATAGAGGTAAGAATCTCTGTGGTAACTGGGAGACCCACCGTCAGTTGTGTGTGTTTGGAAGGTCCCTTGTAGCCCAATGTCTCAGGGCAGTGGAGGGATGTGTCGTCCGAGCTCCCAGAGTAATCCTCGAAGTCAGCCGCCATGTTGGGTCCCGCCGCCCCATGCGGTCTCCTCAGCCGGTCGCCTATATCGGCCGTGAACCGCGGGCGATCCGGGCGCGTTTTTTTAGTTTTTCTCCCCATCAGTGGAGGAGTGTTAGCAGGCTGTCTGCAGTGTGCTAGGGTGCTTGTTGCGGCTGATTTTGGGCCTTATTCTGCCCTGAATTTTTAAAGGGGTCTCTTGGTTTTAGGGCCGACCCCATTTTTTTTGTGTAAACGTTTAATTAAGCTAACAAGTAACCTGGAATACGCCACCAAAACAGCCACTTCCCTGCAGTGCTGTGTGCTTCCACTGACGTCATCAGGCTTGTCCAATCCAATGCATTGAGGACTCATTGCGCAAGCATGGCGATTGCTGCAATGCACCAATTAAATACTTCTCTATGTATCTATGAGAAGTATCAGCGGATGTCCAGTGTTCTCATGCAGTGTGTGAGGACTTTGAACGTCAAGAACCAAGTTTGATTCGGTTGTCAGTGTGAAAGCACCATCCAGTGGGTCTCAGATGGCCACTACAGGTGTCAATGTAAACATTGTCATGTTTCAAAGTCGGCAATGTTTTATATTGCAGGAGCAAAATGGCAGGGACACTGTATACAGACCCACTTCAGTGCTCTGTGGGCAGTGGTCTGGGTTCGTAGAGTGTCACTTTTAGGGTAAAATTGCTGAATTGAAACTGAACCGACTGCTTCCAATTTGACTATTTTGGCCAATTTATTTTTTTGCTCATAATATATATTTCCTTGGACTAATACAATCAATTCATGGTTTAGTAACAAGGGAGAGCTGGCATGGAAGGCAAGGGGAGGACAAATGGTAGAGTCTTGGGATGTTTGTTAGTAGGCAACAGGCAGGAGTTTTACATGACAGGAGGCTTCATATTCTGCATAATCTTCCTTTACTACTCCATAGTTGATTGATTTATTTTCTTATTGTATATGTATTTATGTAGGGTTTTATGTGATAGTGGGGATGCTGTTTTTTTGTTTTGTAAGGTATAGACTTGGGATGTCTGTATACCTACTTTATCCCTTTTTATTCCGTCAGTTTTTTGTTTATCTTACAGTTTATGTCAGTATATAATACTGATTTCATTATCAGAGGGTGAACTCCTCTCCTAAACACAGTCCAATATTGATATCTATACTGCTTCCAGTCAGTTTTTTGTTTATCTTACAGTTTATGTCAGTACATGATACTGATTTCATTATTAGAGGGTGAGCCATTCTCATAAACTCAGCCCGATACTGATATTGATACTAATTTCATTATTAGAGGTTGAGCCCCTCTCATAAAATGTTTTCCTTGTGGCTACGCTTGCAACTCCACAGGCACTCTCCTACTGCCACACACTCTCCACTGGATAGACAAAGGGTCAAAAATCAAAACCCAATAAGGGTAAAGCTCCTCTAAAGAAGGAAAAACGTACACGGCCCGTAAACTTTCCAACTTATGGGGCTTCCTCGGACGAGGAGCAGGAGGTCCCACCATCACCATCGTTTCTTGATGAGTGGCAAGCAGAAGATCCCCATTCTGATCACGGGACTTGGGGTCCCAACTCATTTGTAAAGGCAACTTTTCTGGCTGAGCCCCACCATGTGGGTGATGTGAAGGAAGAGCTGGTTTTGGCGCAGCCGAAGGGCAAGCTCTTTTTTGACAGTATGGGCCAATGCTGTTTGGCCCGAGAAACATTCGCCACCTATTGGACACATGCACTTCTGGCTATGAAAGGCACTGTACAAGGAGTTCCGCAAGTGGCTGAGATCAAAGTGCCCCAGACCTTCACTCCGGATAAGGTCGCCTATACCCCAGAATTTGACCAGGTGATGCTGGCCTTTATGGCACGAGGCGGTAGAGACCCAAAGAAAGGGGTTAAGGAAAGGGTTCAAGAGAGCCCAGGATAAGCTCCTCGATGCTGTCGGGTTCTGACCCTAATGCATGAGGCATACACCCAGGCTGATTCCTTTCAGCAGACAACGCGCGCGATGGGGGGCACGATGTTCGTGAGTGGACCCAGAGATGTTTTGCTTCCTGGGCAACACAAATGTGGCCCTCTTTTGGAGAGATGCTGGGCAGCCTTATTCTGAATTGATGGCAAATTGATAAACTTCAAGGCTAAAGAATTGGGCCCACAGGCACGAGAAAATTATTCGGTAAACCTTTCATGAAAGGCTAATGCTTAGTTAGAAGAATCTGTTTAACCCTTGGGGGTCACAGGTTCAATTCCCCAGCAGGGTTGACTTAACCCTTCAGCCCTTTGAGGTAGATAAAATGAATACCATTAAATAGGGCAAAAGTTACATCAATAGGATGCACCTGGAAACCAGAAATATCTGAATGTCTCTTTCCTGGTTAATCATTTTTATATGCTACCATTTCAAGATGGAAGATATCCATCTATTGCGGCATCTCCAGCAAGGAGGAGACTGGTTTACCCGCCTGGACTTAAATACGACTACCTGCCTGTACCAGTAGACAATGGCAGTCGTCCCTCCTTACGCTATCTATGGAACAGGACACCATGGCAATTCACCTGCCTCCCCTTCGGCTCAGTTCGGCACCTCGGTCCTTTACGGAAGTTTCTGAAACCAGTGATGGCTCACTTACAGGGTCAAGGCATACGATGCCTGGCTTTCCTGGCTTTCTCTGACCAGAATCTCAACCACCTTCATTCACCGGTACCCATGACGTAAGAATTCCAACAAGAACTTCGATGGTGGCTCGATGGTATGCATGCCTGGAATTATTATTGCTATCTGAAATCTAACTAAAGGGAGATCCGATTGCTGTATCCTGCTACGCATGGGCGATTTCTTCGCAGTTCGTCACATCAACCACTTAGGTGGCATTTGTTCTCAGACACTGACGCACCTCCCAAAGGAAATTTTCGACTATGGCCTACCACGCAATACTACATTGATGGAGGAACATCTTCCAGGGCAAACCTCTCGACACTGGAGGGACAACAACGATTGGCACCTAGCTCCACTCGTATTGGCACTGAACAAACTGAGAGGTCCGCTCACGATCGACCTTTTGCGTCTAGCACCAACCACCAACTACTGATTTTCTACAGCTGATTACCAGACCCGGAGGGTGCAGCGGTAGATGCATTCCTGCAGGCATGGCCGACCGAAGAGGCTTACGCATTTTCACCCTTTGCAATGATCGCGAGAGTGGTTCACCACATCAGATCGCTGGAAGTGGCAAGTCCCCTGGTGACACTCCAGTGACAAAGTAAACCTTGGTTCCCAGATCTCCTCGCACTGTCATACCAGGACCCTCCGCTATTAACAGATGATCAGATGATACAGATTCCATGGGGATTCCTCATCCCATGCTACTAGAAGGACATCTCTCTTTAGTGGCCTGGAGTCATTCGGTGCTGAATGCACCGATGACTTATTGTCAACGGCTAGATATATACTCTGGTACTCATGGGCCCCTGGAACGAGGAAGTGTTACTTCTCAGCTTGGAATTCACGGGTCAACTGGTCGGATTTCGGACAGTCGAACATTCCACGTGGACACCTTCTTGTTTTCTCTGGAAGGTGTTACTCTTCGGGTGTTTCAACGTCGTTTTTTTTACCCATTTTTTCCATCATAACCCAACTTTACGTTGTCCAAACACTGCACGCCTACGTATGGCTATGGCGAAGCTACGATTACCTCACCCCGACAATTATTGGTGTCCCACGTTAAGCCACATGGGCAAATCTCACTTACCACTTTGACCCGCTGGGTACGATGGCTTATATCTCTCCGGGATTGACCCTTCCTTCGGTGTGCACTTGTTTTGGGGTGCAGCGGCCTCTTCCGCCTTCACAACGGGAGCCTCCTTATCAGATATATTGCTCTTGGCAGACTGGTGACGAGACGTTTTTATGCAAAATATGAAGCCTTCTGTCATGTGATAAAATTGAAGATTATGCTATTTTACGTGTACAAATAATCTTAATTTTAATAATGACAGGAGGTGAGTATTTCTCCCCCCCCCCTATTGAATTTCACTCCCATTCAGGTGGGTTCGCATCTCCAGGTAGGTGATGTATATTATCAATATGGTACAGGTCGTTTTCTTATGACTACGTAATTGACTCTATTCACTCTAGATGTAAAGCTGGGGTTATTTTTCATATATAGTTGATATATGTATAGATATTCTATATTAGATAGCTTTATTATGGTACATATTTTGCATTTTATAGATCACGATAGATTATGATAGTACTGAATTATTGCGCACCTTTTATGTGAGGGTTACTCATATGGTTCAGGTTTACATTTCATATCACTAAAACGGTCTCGTTCAGGTTAAAGACACAAAGAGCTCTTCTACATCAAGCGTACAATGTTATTCGTTGTTCCCAGTTTTGAATGAATCCCACCGTTCTACATCGTTCCTGGAATTTGTACAGTCTTTTTTATTCCGTATGGTTCTTCAGTTGATCGTGTGACTTGTGATGTCGCCACTATCAAGAGGAAGTGACTCAGTGGAAGACGTATCTTATACCCTTTGCCTGTCTCTGATTGGTTCCTTTTTTTCTCTATATGTCTTTGCTGCTATAGAGTAATGGGAGTATGAGCTGTATACTGCTCTCTGGTTGAGAGGGTAGGTGTGCCATTTGATTCGGTCCCAACAAAGCCTATTGCAGTGCGGCCGAGTTAAAAAGAAAAACCGTATACCATTGAAAAACCCCTATACCATTGTGGTGTTAAGAGTTAACCGACTTTCTTACGATGCCCTAATAGCAATAGCAAGGATGGCAATTTACACGTTGTATCTAGTACAGGGCATAGAAAATTACTTCACATAGTTTTGTTTAGGTGGCTGGGTGACCCGTAGGTCTAATGGATTCGTATTGTACAGTATGGTAGAGAAAAGCATCCTATCGCCAATATTAGCTGCCTATACACTTGCGTGTTTGTGTGGAACCTACTTGTGTAGCTGGCGTATAGGGTGGGAGTGTGTTTTGCGGTTCGGATGTTGAAGGGTGTAGTGGTTAGGCTTCATCTATCATAGTGGTCAGTAAACCGCATAGGAGCCGGGTGCATTGTCTGTTGTATATTCTGTGGCTATTCCGCTCCGGCCATGTACCTGTATTACAGGCGGTGGCCACATTTGCAATGGCATACTGCCTTAGTGTACCTGCTAAAGTAAAGAAAACTGATGATCTGAAAATAACTGAAAACTAAACTTTGCCAATAAACAGTAGATAACAAGTTGAGATCCCCATATGGGTTTCGGCGTTGATTCATATCTTCCACTCCCAGTGGCGTACACACAACCCATGGGGCCCCAGTGCGAAAACTGATCCGTGGGCCACCCCCCGCGCTTACTCTGCGCGGGCCGGAGCCTCAACACATGGCGGCGGGCACCTGGTCGCACGGCTGCGTCCCCTGCAACCGTGATATGTACGCCAGTGCGTGCAGATACACACACACACTGCTTTCCTATGGGCGGTTTGAATGCGAGCGCAGCTCTTGCCGCGCATGTGTATTCGGAGCTGAGAGGCGGATCGGGGCGGAGAGATCCCCAGCGCCAAGGAAGTCTGACGCTGGAGAAAGGTAAGTGCTGAAGACACACACTCTCACGAACAGACGCATACACACTAGCTAACAGACACACACACACTCTCACGAACAGACGTATACACACTAGCTAACAGGCACACACATTTACTGACAGACATACATACACACTCACTGACAGACAGACACATACACATTCACTTACAAAACACACACTCACTAACAGACACCAAACAGACTCACTAACAGACACACACACACACTCTAACACACTAACACACACACACATACTGTGCCGGCTCCGGTGTCAGTGCGGTGCGCGAAGGAGCTGGGCAGAGAGCGCTCAGGGGAGAGTGCTCCCTTGCGCACCCGCCAGCCTGCCCACCAGGTGACACCACTGGACCCCAGGGAATCCTCTCAGCACTCCCAAAGGTAGGGAGGCTGGGGGATTCAATTTTTATTTTTAAAAACGTGTGTGTGTTAGAGTATGTGTGTGTGTGTGTTAGTGTGTGTGTGTGTGTCTGTTAGTGAGTCTGTTTGGTGTCTGTTAGTGAGTGTGTGTTTTGTAAGTGAATGTGTATGTGTCTGTCTGTCAGTGAGTGTGTATGTATGTCTGTCACTGAGTGTGTGTCTGTCAGTAAATGTGTGTGCCTGTTAGCTAGTGTGTAACACCCTTCAACATCCGAACCGCAAAACACACTCCCACCCTATACGCCAGCTACACAAGTAGGTTCCACACAAACACGCAAGTGTATAGGCAGCTAATATTGGCGATAGGATGCTTTTCTCTACCATACTGTACAATACGAATCCATTAGACCTACGGGTCACCCAGCCACCTAAACAAAACTATGTGCAGTAATTTTCTATGCCCTGTACTAGATACAACGTGTAAATTGCCATCCTTGCTATTGCTATTAGGGCATCGTAAGAAAGTTGGTTAACTCTTAACACCACAATGGTATAGGGGTTTTTCAATGGTATATGGTTTTTCTTTTTAACTCTGCCGCACTGCAATAGGCTTTGGTGGGACCGAATCAAATGGCACACCTACCCTCTCAACCAGAGAGCAGTATACAGCTCATACTCCCACTACTCTATAGCAGCAAAGACATATAGAGAAAAAAAGGAACCAATCAGAGACAGGCAAAGGGTATAAGATACGTCTTCCACTGAGTCACTTCCTCTTGATAGTGGCGACATCACAAGTCACACGATCAACTGAAGAACCATACGGAATAAAAAAGACCGTACAAATTCCAGGAACGATGTAGAACGGTGGGATTCATTCAAAACTGGGAACAACGAATAACATTGTACGCTTGATGTAGAAGAGCTCTTTGTGTCTTTTAACCTGAACGGGTCCAGTGGTGTCACCTGGCGGGCAGGCTGGCGGGTGCGCAAGGGAGCACTCTCCCCTGAGTGCTCCCTGTTCAGCTCCCTCGCGCGCCGGCTCCGGTATCAGTGCGGTTTGCGAAGGAGCTGGGCAGAGAGCGCTCAGGGGAGAGTGCTCCCTCGTGCACCCGCCAGGTGACACCAGGGCCAGCCTCGGGGGGCCCTGAGGTGGCCAGCTCTTGGGCCCCCCAGTAGAAGAGGCTGGCCACAGTGGGTACATACCGGGTCGCAGGGTGGCCTGGCCCCCTGGTGGACCGGGCCCGGTCACAGCCAAAAAAACCTGCGACCCCGGTATGTACGCCACTGTGGTCACTGGTCCTCCCGGTTGCTCAGGTAATGTCCACTGTGCCTGAGGCTGGCTGTTGCCCCCTAGGTGTGAATGTTTTTGCTGTAGCAGGATTCCATTTATGAGAGGCTCGCTCTGCCACATCTTGTCCAGTGGTGACCAGAGAGTCCTGAGGTAGGCCCACAGTAGCTAGCAGCCCAGCCGTTTCCGCAAGGTCATGAATGTCCTGTTTAACATTGTCCTTAAGGACCTGGAGCCTATGCGCCATTCACCAGCGATATGGTATCTTGTGGTGTCTGAGTAGGGCCGTGAAGGGTGCCAAAGATCTTCTCCATGCCATAGTATATCCGGACAGATCCGTGTAAAAAGTAAGGTGCATGCCTTCGAAGTCGTATGGCGTGCGGTCTCTGACCGCTGTCATTATTGCGACTCTGTCCTTTCCGGTCTGGAGGCGGACCACCAGTTCCCTGGGGGTCTCCTTTGGGGCCTTGGGTGACTTGGGGATACGGAAGGAGTCCTCTAGGCCCACCACCCTGCCTTGTTTCGGAGGCAGCAGTTCTGTAAATAGTCGCCGTAGGAGGTGAGGCAATTCATCAGCAGGTATGTCTTCCGTGATGCCTCTTATTTTCACATTCAGTCTGTGCCTTGTGTCTTCCATCATAGTGGTCATAGGATTTGTGTTGCTGGCGTAATTGGGCTATCTCCCGTTGTAGGGATGTAATTTGCTTAGTATGCTCCCTGGTAGTTTCCTCCAAGGTGCCCAGCCTGCCCGTCAGGCCTCATATGTCCCCGCGGATCTTTGATGTGTCTGCTAGAATAGTGTTCTGGAGGGTCGTCAAGAGTGACGTTAAGACCTCGGTGTTGACCAGCGAAGTGTCAGGCCCCTTGGAGATCAGTTTAGTGGGTTGCGCCATGGGTATTTCACCTTCTTCATCTTCATGGTAGAAGTCATCAGACACATCCGAGTAGTTCTCGGGGTAGTCGGCCATCTTGGGCCTAACCACGCTGCTTGCCTGGCACAGGAGGTCACCGATGTGCAGGCCCGGATGTGGCTTGTCACGCTTTAATTTTTTAGTTTTCCGTCCCATCACTGTGCCCGAGTATCAGGAGGCACCATTGGAGCAGGTATGGAGGGATTTCGTGCCCCAAATATGGTGAAAATAGCATTGATTCTGCTCGGCTCAGTTGCTTGTCTCCGCTCCCTCCTTAGATTATAGATTCAACGTATTTTAGCTTCCCTATTTATTCTGTTCTTACCTGTGCTTTGCATCCTTTTTGCCGTACACATATTTGTTCAGTGTATGCAGCTCCCCAATCTGAAAATAAATAGCTATGTAGTAAGCTGATCAATTCTGCTTTTGTTAGCTTGCATTGTAGGTTCATTCATGCTTTTCCACTAATAAAACTACTGCCAAGTCCTAACTAATGTATCTCTGAAGATACTACTGAGCAGAGGTTTAAAGTGAACCGGTTAATGATAAAGTTTACATACCTGGAATTGCCCCCATATACATTGAATACACAATATATCACAAAGATATGTGGTGTATTTTATTCAATGTCAAATATAAAGTTTTACTCTCTGTTCCTCCATTACGGTGCCGCCTTGTGGGTGTTACTCTTCGCCTGTACTCCTCCTGAGGTCTTCCCTGATTTGTCCTGCTTGGGACGTATCCCCAAGCAGGGCAAATCTCATCATTGATGTCATCACGCCAGCTTTGTTGTCAGCATGCTGGCGTCTGAATGTAGTGACATCACTCCATTCCTAGAAGCGATGGCTGGGGAGTTTCCGTAGCAACCACAGCGAATGCTATGGGTGGAGAGCAGAAGGACCTCCTGTAGGAGTCTTTTCTGCTCTCCCTTATCAGTCAATGCCTCGGTCTGGGAGAAAAAAAAAATACAATTTTTTTTCCTAATCTATAGATTTGCTAGCAAAACTGCTAGCACAATATATATATAGAATCGTTTGCTCAATCTAATGAGTAAAATGTATTTGGGGCATGACAGGTGTCCCTTAAAGGAAAAGCTCAGCACTCCATTTCAGAACAGTGGTTGGGCTAGAATGGGCTTCCAACGTTTCAGCTACTTTAGTGGGTAGAGCTCACTGCTAAAGATGCAAATCCAGAAGGTTTGCAGTTTATAACTACTAATGTGGACATATGTTTGTTTTACTTTTGTTGTTTTTGTTTTTTCGAATTATGGGAGCGTGGGGCGTATCCCCCATATATTCTTTTGGACCACAAAAAAAAAAAACAACTAGTGAAATGGTGAACACTGCAATGGTTAAAACCTGTTTTTTTTCCCCTTCATGAAAGTTTTAATACCAGCGGTTTATTAAAGATTCCTTTAGCTAATCATAACCTATGACAACTCTAGAAAGTTATGGGGAAGTAGTTTTCAATCTAGAATGTTTACATTGTACGAACGTTTGGAGCAGAGCCCTCTTCACCTACTGATCCTGTATGCCATACATGTATTGTTAGAAATAAATGTTTGCCTTATATTGTTTGTCTTGTACAGCGTTGTGGAATAAGTTTGCGCTTTGTAAATAATTGTAATCTACTATTTTAATTGCAGACCTCACTCTACTGCTCTCTGAACACAAATTATTCCAACCTAAGAGAATGCAGTCAAATCTAACCTATTTACTACCAAATTCCTTTTTAAAAAATTATTTTTTAACAAAAATTGTGTTATCTGTTTTCTGCTTACACATATCTTATAGAAATGGGAGTTCTTTTATGTATGTTAGGAAGTACTTATTACTTGTTAAATACTATTTGTGTCTTTACCTTCTCACTGTACTTTTTACCCACAATTTTTTGTTATACAGTATTTATTTCTCTTGATTTTTTTTCTTTCTTTTTACTTGTGACCATATTGCTTCTGTATGATCCTCTTGCCATTAAAATATTTACAAATCAGAAATTGTGCCATAGTGTCAAGACTGACCTCCCTCGCTACTCCACCGGCACCTCCGATTGCTAGGAGCGGGCCACATCCTCAGATGGATATTTGACCATTTTACTGCCTGACATTGCCTTTGATCTTGGTCTACACCTGAGAGGACACCAGGGTTTTAAGAAGTCAGAGAGGCAATTGCAACGAAACCTGAGAGGTCTGCTTCAACTCACCCAACATGGCGGAGACAGTATGTCTACTTAACTTAAAATTTGAGATCGCTTGCAAGAAATATGAAATGTCCATTGCTGTACTAGCTTTTGAGAAGATACAATACATGCCAACTTTTTGCTGTGTGAACGAGGACTTTTCTTTAGAATGACGCATGTAGAAATTATTCATAAAATGATTTGTAAGAGCTGTATATTTTTAATGCAAGCTTTACAAATGCCAATATCAAGAGCATTGCTAAAGATGAATGTGACATGAAGCAAAACAGGAAGAAGACTGTACTGCGCTCAACCACACAATATTCAGCCTTTATTGGAAAATATTTTTTTATTCACTTCGGCCTTCCATGCGTAACAACTTCATTTAAATATAAAAGTACAAAACATACTTTGACATGAAGCTTAACGAGACATAGAAAAAAGGGAATTGGTGGAACATCCAAAACAAGCATAGAAAAGTAGGTGCCACTATAGAAGCCCCTTTGGAGGTGACCATAGGAAAGCTTAAATTGAGGAGAGACTCTGGAGGCAGTTTCAGCAGTAGGTATTGCAGTCAGCATGTAAATCTCCCATGGTGAAATAAGTGTAGGATCCATTGATATTGGGGTACTGTGACATAGTGATGGGCTTATCGCAATATGACCATATGGTGTAACTGAATCCCCATATTTGTTTGGTAAGATAGGTGATTTTAAGTAGCCTTGTAAAATGTTAAACTGTATATTTCTTGTATTTTGCTTAAAGGAACACTATAGGCATCAAAACAACTTTAGCTTAATTAATAAGTCTAGGTGTATAGATCATGCCTCCACAGGCACACTGCTCAATTATCTGCCAGGTATGCATTCGATCACTTTTGTTTCTGTTAATGCAGACCTAGGCACACCTCTCGTCTGTGACTCACACAGCCTCTAAAAAACAAAACAAAATGATTTCATTCTAAATATAACCTTTACCCTGCTCTGTACATTGAACTTTAATCACACAGGATTATCCTGCAGTTTCTAAAAGACTATTAACAAAGCCATAGATAAGAGGTTCTAGATTAAAGGAACAACCTTGACACTAAAGTCCTCAAGTGGCTGTTTAGGTTACTGACCACCCTCCAATCGCAGTAAAAGGTGATTTTACGCTGGCCTCACCTAGACTGGCCCCTCCTCCATGGCTGAGGTCACTTTTGATGATCTCAGCCAATCCATTGCTTTACCACAGGAAAGAATTGGGAGTCTATTGCACATGTGGGGCAAACCTGTGCGCTGTTCCAATCAGCATCTCCTCATAGAGATGCATTGCATTAATGCATGTCTATAGGAAACGTTCAGGGTCTCCATACACACTGAAGTACTTCTAGTGGCTGTCGGGGTGACTGCTACTAAAGGTGTTACTAAGCACCAATCTAAAAACTATCTTTTCTATTAAAGGCAGTGTTTACAGTTCTAACACTGCAGGGACATGCTATACACACCAGAACCAATACATTAAGATGTAGTGGTTCTGGTTCTGGTTACTATAGTGTCCCTTTAAACAGATTGTGCAAAAGAGAAATTTTAAACAGTGAGTCACATGCGGGGAGGTGTGACTAGGATTGTATAAACAAATATATTTCACTCCTTAATAGCAGATAATTGAGCATAGAAACTGCAGGAGCATGAGCTATACACCAAAACTGCTTCAGTAAGCTAAAGTTTTGGTGCCTATAATGACCCTTTAACCCCTTAAAGACCAAACGTCTGGAATAAAAGGGAATCATGACATGTCACACATGTCATGTGTCCTTAAGGGGTTAAAGCAGCTCTGTCACTTAAAGCATCTTTGCATATTTTACAAAGATCCCAGAAGGTAGTTTGTCTGATTTGTGTGCATTGGCACACAAAGCAACTTTCCTTCATAGGTGTCTTCCTTCCAAGGGCCTTCTCCATCCACGAGGAGCTGCATCACTGTTGTACTCTCCTGCATACACAATTGTAAAACATTTAGGTCTATGGATAATCTTGCAAAGCCACGGGACCCTCCATAGAATTACTCATGTGATGCGTGAGAAGATTTCTCTTTCCCACAGTTGTCGCTAGTGATGGTTGTGGAAATTGACAAAAGTTCACTGTAGAAACTGTCCTTTTTGTTATATGAGTTTTTCATAAACATGTTCAGAGTTATTCAGTAAAGTGCGATTTACCAGGAATTCATAGTGAATTTAAAGAGACACTATAGTCACCAGCATAACTACAGCTTATTGTATTTGTTCTGGTGAGTAGAATCATTCCCTTCAGGCTTTTTGCTGTAAACACTGTCTTTTCAGAGAAAATCCAGTGTTTACATTACAGCCTAGTGATACCTCCACTGGCCACTCTTCAGATGGCTGCTAGAGGTGCTTCCTGGGGCAGTACTGTACACTGTGCAGACACTGAACTTTCCTCATAGTGATGCATTGATTCAATGCATCTCTATGAGGAGATGCCGATTGGCCAAGGCTGTGTTTGACTTGTGCTGGCTCTGCCCCTGATCTGCCTCCTTGACAGTCTCAGCCAAGGTTATGGGGAAGCAGTGTGATTGGCTCAGACCACACCACTGCTGATGTGTCAACAGGCAGGTCAGAGGCAGCAATTGCAGATTTGAATACAAGTAAGATTTTACTATATTTAGGGAGGCAAAAGGGGGTAAGGGGCGATAGATAGTGGTTTTAACACTATAGGGTCAGGAATACATGTTTGTATTCCTGACCCTATAGTGTTCCTTTAAAGTCAATTTTAAAATTTAGGCCAAAATGTTGAATAAGAAAAATATCTGTGTCAATTTTGTTTTCAGTTTGGCTATTTTGGCCTTATATTTGCAATTCACGTTGCATTCACTTTGAATTCCCAGCAATTTTGTTTATTTGTGGAATTATAGATGTACTGTTTCGTGTGTATCCTCCAATGCAAGCAACAGAGAACTGGATTTTTGAGAAGTTGGGGTATGGGTGCCTGTAGGCACTTTTGTAACCTTAGTATGTAAGAGAGTTTTGAAAAACTTTGAATGAAAATTGTGCAAGGAATGCATTAGTGATTTTTGGCACATTTATATTATTTTGTTCTTAAATCTCATTTTACATATACAGGTTTTGTTGTTCCTTTGTGCTTTGGCTCTTTGCAATATTGTAATAAAAAGGCATATATAACTTTACCTAATGAAATAATACTTGTAAACTACATGAACAACTACCTTTATATTAAAAAACAGAGTTAGAAATGGCAATGGCTACAAAATGAATAAGTGTGCCCCACTAAGAGGCAAAACATTGTAACCCAGCCACAATTAGGTAAACATAGTTCATATTAGCACCTCCCAATCACTATGTATATACACCATTTAACTTATTGCTGGGTGTATATACTATAGCACATGTCACTGACAGCATCTAAATCAGCAATACTTAACCTTTATTCACAGGGTAAACATGGTGAGGTTTTTTTTTTTTTGTTACATACGCTTCCTTATAATAAATCAATTTCTTTTTAAAACTTAATGAAAGGATTATTGTTATTAAAAAATAATTTTGAACTGACAGTTTTCTTTTACAGACTGAAGAGCATAATAAGAAATACGTATAAAGGTGCCGATAATGGAGTGAAATCTCAATGTAAAATGACGTAGGCACAGCATTAAAAGCCCTTAAAGACATGGGAAATACCGAATGAGCTCACAGCATACACATTTAAAAAAACACCATCGGAGAGTGCAAAATTTGCATAATAAAGACATAAAAGGAAGATAAAATCAGCCAGAGCTTCCCACCCAAAGCATTTTGTCTTTTCAAGACCTTTTTTAAGGGTAAAAACCCCTGATCTAACCTAAATGATGATATAAAGTAAACAATGATATAGGATAGAGATGTCCTGATTTTCTAGAATTCATTGCTTTTCAGCAGCACATTCTTAAAAAAAAAAAAAAAAAAAACAGTTTACGATATTAGTGCAACACAATTAAATTAGTGTAGTTCCTTGTTCAAGAAATGGAGATTGGACCTTTTATAGAGGTCATTGGTCTTCCTCAGTTATCACCTTGGACACGTCTTCCAGCAGATTCTGTAAGCACAGCAAAAGTAAAATAAATTTGTATTCCACGATCCTCTACCTCATTAACAAATCTAAATGAACTGTAAGGGAATAAACACAGCATTCATTGAACAATTTATAAAAATCTACAATTATATACGATATGCGGTATTAGGGCATTAAACATTTGCCAGCTGATGAACAATATATTCAGTGGTAGTTTTCATTTAATAAAAATCAAAATCAAAGTTCCTTTTCCTGTCTGCATTTAGAAACCCAGCACTACTATATATAATAATAATGTCTCCTATCATGTATTCTAGCGTATATTATTCTATCATGTATTTTAGCATTTATTAGATAATTACAAACATCAGGGAGAGCAGCCAGTTTTGATGCAATAATAAAAATTATACCTCTTGCCATGGTAACGATTAACACGTTTGTACTAGAAAAACACATGTTGTGTCTGTCATGATTAGTTCTGCAGGTCTTTCCCCCTTAATGTATGGCAGAAAATGCTACTGAATGGCTAAGCCATTAATTTGATGGACACAAGTCTATTTTCAGTCTTCAATCTGACCTCAGCCTTTAGGTTTGCATGGTGCCACACAAGGACTGCGTATTGACCTATCATTCAGGGTTGTTACTGGGTAACCCTATCTTTTAGGGTTGTTACTGGGTAACAGCAGCAGGGTGATGAAGTTCGAGCTGTTTAAAGTATTTTTTGTTTTTCAAAAATGTGTTTCTATGTGTTAATGGTGCTAATTAGGGCATGCCATCTCATTGGGTCAGGGCTTGAGTACAAGGTGATAAAATGAACCCTTTTAGCACCATATCCACCACAGCACACTGTAGTAGTTATGGTGCAAGGAGTGCTCTGAATACAGGGAAGGCTACACCAACTGAAATCAATTTGATTTTTAATGTTAAATATCATTCAATTCAGATCTGAGCAGATCTTGGTGACTTCAGCCACCATGTAGTCAGTTTATAAAGATATGACAGATTTAGAATTCCTCAAGGGAAGAGGTGCTGCCCGGTTTCCTAGTCCACCCTGTTGTGAATATTTTTAATGTTATATATAATACTCCTGGACAATAGCACAGTTTGTTAATTGCCACAGTCACTACTTACGAAAAGAGTTTCTTTATTGGCGATTGAATTTTGAAATGCTTCATGAGTCTCTTTAATGTATTTCTTCAATGCTAGAACTTTTGTTATAACTTTCAGACCCGTGCGGTTTGACAGAAACTCTGTTCAACAAAATAATATCCATAGCAGTTAGAAAATATTTGAATAAATTAACAGCAAAATATATAAATAAGCACCAAAACAATGCTTAAAGAAGCAGTGTAGCTGTAACGATCATGCTCCTTAAGTCTCACTGCTTAATTCTCTTTGTTTAGGAGTTAAATCACTTTCAGGTTCATTCACTAATGCGAGAAGTTAAAGTGAATTTCAAATTTAAAGACAAAATTGGTAAAGTGGAAACGTTCTCCGAGTTATTTATGTATTCATTTTGGCTATTTTAGCCTTGAATTTAAAATTCATTTGAATTCCCAACATTTCTTACTTTAGTAAGTAACCCTGAATGTTTATGCAACACTGGCCACACCTGCCCTGAATGTGATTCACATAGAAAAAAAGATTTAATTTTCAAACATATTTCACATCACAGTGGTTTTACTATAGAAGCTCTTATCTCCTGCTCTGTTAATTAAATTTTAATCACACACAGGAGGCTACTGCAGGCTCTGGCGGGCAATCAGCAGAACAGTAGAAATAAGAAATTCTGCATTAAACACACTGTGCAACAAGGGAATTTAGCAAATTCAAGTTATCTTTCAGGAAGTGTGCAGGGCAGGGATAGGCAACCTTTCAACAGTACTCTGCCAAAATAAGATTGTGATATCCCATAGTGTGCAGGTCCTATTTTTTTTTAAATTGAGGTGTCTATGTTGCCGTGATCTGCTTGTTATTTATACTGTACTTGCTTTGTATTGTTGTATTTGTCTGTATATGAGCTGTTATATTATATATGTTCATGAGTAGTTTGGAATGGAGTGTGGTGATGGACATGTCACATTGTGTGTTTGGTGGGGTGTTTATGTGGGTGCTGCTTGGGGTATTGCATGTGAGAGACTGATTGTGGGGTTGTGTGCGTCTATGTGGATTGTTATTGGTGTGTGTGTTTGTGTGTGAGCTGTTCAGGGGCGGACTGAGTGGTCGGGCACTTAGGACACGGTCCGAGGGTCAGGCCGAGAAAGGGGGCCTGCCGTATGCTTTGTGTCTGGCACTGTCAGTCATTCACACTACTAAATTGACACCGGTCACTCGAGTCCGACGCGCAATAACCGCTCCGTCCTCGAGCCCGTTGAGCCAGTGATTACAAGAAGAGGAGGCAGGGCCCGGCAGAGCTGATGATGAATGCAGCCCAGTGCGCTTAGGTGCGCAACATCACGTAACGTACTTATGTTGATGTGCGCCTCTGGCACCGGCCACTCCAATGAAAAGAAAAAAAAAGTTTCAATGTTCAGGGGACCCTTTATCAGCGCGTCCAGTCCCCTGATCTATGTATTGCTGCTGTGCGGGGAGGAAGTTCCCCTGATTACCAACAAACTGCCAGGACAGAGAGGAGGAAGACCAATAGGCAGCACCATAGGAAGGAGAGCCTAACTCTCATCACATTCAGCCAGATGCCACTGGACACCAGATATGAAAGCAGGAGGGATGGTTAAAACTATGTAATGTTATCTGTGTGTCCAGGGCCGGACTGGGAAAAAAATTCAGCCCGGGCATTTTTTTATCACAGCGGCCCACTAAGAAGGGGGCGGGGCAGAGAGGGTGTGTTTTGTCATCACTCATGACAAACACGCTCCCTCTCAAAGTGAGCATGTTGGTTCAATGCTCTTCAGGGCAGACCATGCGCAGAGCTCTGCTGAAGAGCTCTAGCATGAGAAAAAAGCCCTGTATTTGTTCTGCACAGTGCAAGCAAATTTAATAACATGCTTGCACTGTTTCCTTGCAACTTGTCTCTGGTGTCTCTATAAATGGATACCAGGAGACAAAAGGGCCAGGAAAGAGTATTGTGCATGTGTTTGGAGCCTGTTTGTGGTATTACGTTTGTGCAGAGTGAGCTGGTCATGGTGTGGTATTGTGTAATAAGGTCTGTTTTAGTGTGTGTGAGTGCTGAGTGTGATAGTGCTGTGTATGATGTGTGATGTGTGTGAGAGTGATGTGTGAGAGTGCTGTGTGTGAGTGTTGTGTGTTATGTGTGTGAGTGCTAAGTGTGATAGTGCTGTGTATGAGTGTTGAGTGTGATAGTGCTGTGTATGATGTGTGTGAGTGCTGAGTGTGATGTGTGTGAGAGTGATGTGCCTGAGTGCTGAGTGCTGTGTGTGAGAGTGTTGTGTGATGTGTGTGAGAGTGCTGAGTGTGAAAGTGCTGTGTGTGAAAGTGCTGTGTGTGAAAGTGCTATGATGTGTGTGAGAGTGCTGCGATGTGTGAGATTGCTGTGTATGATGTGTGTGAGAGTGCTGTGTGTGAGAGTGCTATGATGTGTGTGAGAGTGCTATGATGTGTGTGAGAGTGCTGCGATGTGTGAGATTGCTGTCTATGATGTGTGTGAGAGTGCTGTGTGTGAGAGTGCTATGATGTGTGTGAGAGTGCTGCGTGTGATGTGTGTGAGAGTGCTATGATGTGTGAGAGTGCTGCGCTGTGTGTGAGAGTGCTGTGTGTGAGTGTTGTGTGTTGTGAGTGCTGGGTGTGATAGTGCTGTGTGTGATGTGTGTGAGAGTGCTGCGTGTGATGTGTGTGAGAGTGCTGAGTGTGAAAGTGCTGTGTGTGAGAGTGCTGTGTGTGAGAGTGCTGTGTGTGAAAGTGCTGTGATGTGTGTGAAAGTGCTATGATGTGTGTGAGAGTGCTATGATGTGTGTGAGAGTGCTATGATGTGTGTGAGAGTGCTATGATGTGTGTGAGAGTGCTGAGTGTGATGTGTGTGAGAGTGCTGGGTGTGAGAGTGCTGGGTGTGAGAGTGCTGGGTGTGATGTGTGTGAGAGTGTTGTGTGAGTGCTGAGAATGCTGAGTGTGATAGTGTTGTGTATAAATGTTGTGTGTTGGGGGGTAAATAAACAAATAAAAAATTAAGTGGTGGTAAATATATAAAAAAAAAAAAAAACTAAGGGGGGAAATAAACAAAAAAAAAAAAACTAAGCAAAAAATAAAAACTAAACCCCCCCCCCTCCCTTCTTACCTTTAGCCTGGGAGGGGGGGACATGCACGTGGTAGCTGGGAGGGGGGGCACAGGCACTCGCACACCATCCCTGGTGGTCCAGTGGTGAGTGAACTCTCTCGCGAGATCGGGGCGTTGCCATGGCAACGCTCCGGATCTCGCGAGAGAAACCCGGCGGAGCTGCAAGACAGAGCTCCGCCGGGTCCTCTCCCTCCCTCCCCAGCCGCAGGTCTATTTAAATGGGCCGGTGGGGGAGATCTTTGATCTCCCCACCGGCCCTCCATGGAAGACAGCGGGGCCGGCGCTCGGATAGTGCCGGCCCTGCATAGACCGGCAGGGGAGATCCTGGGACCTCCCCTGCCGGCCTCGGCCCCACGGCCACCGCGGCCCACCGGGCATTTGCCCGGTGTGCCCGATGGCCAGTCCGGGCCTGTGTGTGTCTATGTATATCTGGGTGTCTGTGTATGTGTCTGTGTATCTGTATGTGTAGCTGTGTGTGTCTGTGTATTTGTATATGTGTCCGTATGTATCTGTGCGTCTGTACCTGTGTATCTGTATGTGTGTCAGTGTGCGTCTGTAACTGTTTGTGTGTCAGTGTATCTGTATGTGTTAGTGTGTACCTGTGTATCTGTGTATCCAGATGTATCTGTGTGTATGTATAAATATAGTTTTTATATATTGCAGTGTATACACCTCAGCATTCAAACTCAAACACTTCACACAAATATACCCCGGCATTCAAACATCAACACTACATACAGACACACCCCTGCAATCAAAAGCAAATACTATACTTGCTTTCAAATGGTAACAGTAGATAACAACACATTACACAGAAATACACCCCTAGATTCACACACATACCTCATTCAAAAACATGCTTACATATAAACATACAAACACTGCTCAGTGCTAAGTACAACCCTGCAAGGATGGGCAAACGGTAGATCCCCAGCTGGGAGTTGTACGACAATGGGGGATCTACCTTTCTTTCCATCCTTGCGATAAGGGGGTTCAAAACAATTCTTGTACCAGGGCCCTATCTATTTTAGCTCCACCACTAAGCGCAATGCAGATTATCAACTTAAAAAAATGGTACACATAGAAAACATTCATATAGCAAAGCAGGGGAATAATAAATCAGAGGCAAACTTAAATAGACACTATAGTCACCAGAACAACTACAACTTAATATAGTTGTTATGGCATGTATACGGTAGTATGTCTCTGCAGGCTTTTTGACGTAAACACTATCTTTTCAGAGAAAAGGCCGTGTTTACATTACTGCTTAGTAACCCCTCTAGTTGCAGCCACTAGAGGACTTCCTGGGTCAGTGCAGCACCCTGACCCAGGCATGGAGACGCTAAATGCTCTCCATAGAGATGAATTGCTTCAGTGCATCTCTATAAGGGGAGATGCTTACAGATGCAGCACATAATTTTGCTGCGTATGCGCAATAGCCTCCCTGTGCTTTTTTAAATAAAGCATTGGATTGGCTGAGATTGTTAAATTGATGATCTCAGCCATGGAGGTGTAGCCAACTGCGACAAGACTGGTGTGGCTCTGGAAAAAAGGTAAATAAAATAACCTTTTAATGGTAGGAAAGGAGGACTGAGGACCTAAAATGTGTTCTTACAATCTTATCCCTCTACTTCAGCCCTATCTCCATGGAAGCCCCAAACCACAGTCTCTATCCCCGAGTTACATCCCCTATACCCACTACAGTCTTTCTTCCCACACTGCTTCCCTTATATCACTATTAGAGCCCCTTCCACCTCACTACAACTCCTGTTCCCAATTAGAGTCCTGATCGCCCACTACATCCCCTATCCCCCATGACAGCCCATAACCACCCAACCCCCACACTACAGTCTCTATCCCAATTATAACCCCTATAACCTGAGAACAGCTCCTACTCCCCTATTAGAGCCCTTATTTGTAACACAAGAACAAACATGTGGACAGTGCGTATATGTGGGCACGATGTATATTTCACTCACAGGTGATGAAAATGTGTACAAGCGATCAACTAATATGTGATCTAAAAAGTACAAAAATTCTTAAAGCACTTCAAAGTGATATAGTGCATAAATACTTAACAATATGTCTGAAGTGAGTCTCAGCTCCAATTTGCAGTACATAAAAGAAAATACAAAACAGTATATAGTGTAATATTGTCAGATAAAAATACTGAATAAATAGATGAGTCTGCTCTACCTTGAATAGCCTCAATATATGAAGGGATTTTCGTAGTAGCCAGTTAGGATAAATGAAAAGTTTTATTTCCACAAATACAAATAAAAATAGCTTAGTAGCAAATATCACCGGATCCTGAGTTGTGGCTCTCCTGCCCGAGTCCATGTAACCGCCGGCTGGTATAGGTTCTTGTGCACGCTCGTTAAGTTCTTGTGAACGTAAACCAGCCACCGGTTACACGGACTCAGGCAGGATAACCACAACTCAGGATCCAGTGATATTTGCTACCAAGCAATTTTTATTTGTATTTGTAATACTGTTTTGTATTTTCTTTTATGTACTGCAAATTGGAGCTGAGACTCACTTCAGACATATTGTTAGTGTAAGTTAAGTATTTATCCACTATATCACTTTGAAGTGCTTTATGCAATTTTGCACTTTTTAGATCACATATTAGGTTATTTTCATCACCTGTGAGTGAAACAATATACTGCACTTTCACACAGCCGATGTTGTATATAGAATTAAATTTTTAGCGCACCTATTCTCTGGTTTTATTGTATTTAAGTGTTTTTGGGCTATTACACAATATAGGTGCTGCTGTATTTAAATATTTAACTATTGTTTTTCCTATATTTATAATTTTAAGCACCATTTTTTCACTTGTTTATTGTATTTCTAATTTGTGATGTATATTTGTGTAGTTTGCAAGCTGGTGGGTACAAGCATGGGCCCGTGATCTTCTATTGCCCAGGGGCCCCATGAGTTGTCAGTCCGCCCCTGGAGCTGTTTGTATTATTTGTATATCTAGCACTGTGGATGGCTTCCCTGGGGTCCAGTGGGGACCGTGCAGGCCAGGTACAGGTCAAGGGCAGGAACTGCAATGACTGCTGTAGGCTGCTCTACTCCAGGGCAGATTCCCATTCACAAGTGCTGGGATGAATTTATCGGAGATCACATGCTGCAATGCATAAATTGAGGATTGTCTTTCACCACCTTTTCACAGTAGCAGACTTATGAAGTTCCATTGGGACTCCTGATAGGCCAGAGTTTGGCTCTAGCAGCCTTGAGTGCCGTGCAAAGATACCTCGAGTGCACGTGCCATAGGTTGCCTACCCCTGGTGTAGGGACTTGAAAGGATATGTGACTCGCAGTTAGGGGGAATGTGGTTAGGGCTGCGTAAACAAAGTTTATAAACTCCTAAATGGCAGATAATAACAATGAGACTGCAGGTCATGCATCTATCTCATATTCTGTCCCAGGCAATTCCTCTGTTTCCTCTGTTTCCTTACTAATCTCCTGAGTCTTCTCTTTTCATCAGCAGGGGTGGATTGATAAAAAAGCAAAAATGGCAACCTTTTGCAGCAGTCAGTTTGTGGCCATTCACAGTACATGAAAGTTCTCTATAACAAGCCTTGTCATCAACTTTAGGATTATAGTTAACCTGCCATCTCCAAATTGTGTGCATGACAATTTGCCAAAGTGTATATGCTGTGCAATTTTGGGCACCTGTTCTAAAGAAGGATATTATGGCACTAGAAAAAGTGCAGAGGCGGGCTACAAAATTAGTAAAAGGAATGGAACATCAGCTATGAAGAAAGGTTAACAAATTAAAATTTCTTTAGTTTAGAAAAACGTTGCCTCAGAGGGGATATGATAACATTATACAAATATATACGGGGCTATAAACAATGTGAAAGAATAACACAATACTTACCTTTTAGTAGTTGTTGAATGAGTTCACTCGCTTTTTTCAGAGCCTCTTCTTCACTCATTGAGGGTTCCTCGGTAGACAGAATCAAATCACTGATAGAATTCAGATAATCTGGTATTTTATCTTCTGAAAACATTCTCTGTATATCCCGAAATATCATGTTAATATAGCCATCCAGACATCTGCAAAATAATACCGAGACGCAAGAGGTTTATCCTTACCATTTATTCAACTTTTCAATCAGACATCAAAATAAATTTAACTTAAGCATTAATTAATTAATTTAATTAACAAAATAGGAAAAGGCAATAACATGACCCTCCAAAATCAGAATAAGCAGGACATTCATGACATTTTTATGTGATTTTCTTTCTGGTAGCACCATAATAATGGGCATCCTCTGCAGTGCAGAATTATGTTTTGGGACAAGAAATAGGTTTGTAAGTCAAATGATGTAGTGAGTTATGAGAAAAATGGAAGGGTCAAAAACTAAAAATGTATGGTGGTTGACCTCAGACTTAAAGGGACACTTCACTGTCCCCTCCACTGCATTTAATTATGCATGTTCTCATTGAGGGTATATTTAAAAACAGCTCTCTTGTGTGCAGCCTTTGCAAGCTATCCTCTTCTTCTCAAACCCAGACTTTCTGTGTCTGTCCAATCACAGACTTCCCAATGCAGCTCAATTAGAAGTCTTTGCAAGGCAGGTGCTCTGGGCAAGTGTTACCTCTTGAATTTAGTGCAAATAAGCTAACCAAACCAGGAAGTAACAGCACCATTGTCTGCTTGAAAAGCCAGGGGGTGTAACCAGTATAATTTAAAAATGTATCAATTTCTATTGAAATCTGCACTACAGTATTTTCAAACTGAAAAACAGAGGACACAATCTTCACACATAAAGCTTTTCATGAAGCTAAAGTGCTTTTGGGGTCTGGAGTGTCCCTTTAAGCATTGTTGATCCAAGGTGAGATCTGACTGACATTTTGGAGTCAAAAAGGGATTTATTTTCCACTTTTTGTGGCAAAATTGGATATCTCTTCAAATTGTGGGACGGATGGGGGGGTGGAGGGGGGCTCTCTTTTAGATCAATAGCAGTAAAAAGAAACAGGTGATAGGCAGAATTCAAACAGCTTGATACTTTTTTCAGCCTATAATATGGACGTAACTATCTGAGCCTTAGGGAATGGAAAAGCCATGTTTTGTTGGCAAACCACTTGAAAGCAGGGGGACAGCAAAATCTCACTGCACCATAACCACCGCAATGAGCTGTACTGGTTATGATACATAAGACATGTGACAAAAAAGTGGACTGAGATGATTTTAAAAAATGCTATACCTCAGGGTTGAACCTCAAGAGGAGCTGGGTGCGTAAATCATTGCTTGTTATTATTATTAATTGGTATTTATATATAGCCAGCTTATTCCGGAGCGCTTTACAACAAAAGGGGAATTTAACAAATGAGACAATAACAAAGTGTAACAGGAATACAATTATGAGTAATAAGTTCCTGGAAAAAACCTTAATAAGTTTAATAAAACAAATTAAAAAAAACATAACTACCCCGTGAAAATCGATTGAATCAGATTCCTACTTACCCTAGTACGTTCACAAAGTTAAGTAATGGATTATCACCTGAAAGAGATGACAGTGTAAAGTCAGCTTGGTGTGTAATAAGATATATATATATATATATATATATATATATCAGGGCTTAAAATTTGCACTTCCCACTGGCCATTGGGCGAGTGAAACAGCCACAACACCTGACCAGTAGAAATTCACCTCTGGGGAATATGACATGCACCCTCTAGGTTTGACATTCCAAGTACATTTTAATGCTTTTTAGTGGTGTAGGACAGTTTAAGCCCTGCATACGTTATTAAATAAGCTTCCATCTAGTAATGACTGCTGCCACCGTTTCAAAAGACTACATTTTACTGGGCACAGGATGGCGCGTTTCTAATAAATCGTAATGTCTGTTATTAATGACCAGTCGCATTTCTGAAAATTACACCATGTAAACTCTATTAAATAAACTGTACCTCTAACAGACCACTTTACTCAGAAAGCATACTACCATAAGGCCCCCCCACACACGTTAGCAATTCTATCCAAATCTAAATGGAAGTGAAATTTCTGGATGGTATTGCAATGTACATTGCTTATGTGGCAGTGTAATTCTGCGTTGGCACTACAGTGATGGCCAGGCTGTGGGAGCTGGAGGGACTCTTTGTATAAAACAGCTGGACATTGTTCCCATAGATTCTTATCAAAACCACATGCAGGTAGACCAATACACATGCCATATACCTGGGCTTTAATAAGCCTTTTACATGTGAAATACTGCGAAAAAATTTCCCATTAATTGTGTGTAATATAATATGGGACAATGTTATCCTATTTGCTAAAGGTTGAATAGTCAGGAATTACTTCAAAGCAAATTACTTCAAAGCAAATTTCAAATATTAGTCCAAAATAGCTGAAATGAAAATATAGCTTCTTGGAGAAACTTTCTAATTCAGCTATTTTGCCCTAAAATGTGAAAATTCAATTTGAATTCCAGACAATTGACACTTCAGTGAATACCTTTTTGAGTTCTCCCTGCCTTTATTCTGAGGCATATGTAATATATTCTGAATATTGACCACAAGAGGGAGACACTTGTATTACATTGCCTGGGCATGGATTTCCTAATATGAGTTTGATCAGCACAGGGATACCATAATTATTACTAATGCAAAAATGTTGCTTTGTTTTGTGTTTTATCAATTAGATTCTATGTTTAAAGACACATATTTGAAAATACCATTAAGAGATATGCAAAATCATAATTATTTTGCCTTTATTAAAATCGCTTCTATCAGGGCTATTCACTAAGATGAGAATTTAAAGTGAATTCACATTTAAGGTCAAAGTAGCTGAATTGGAAGCATAGCTGTCATGGAGAATGTATCTAGATCAGCTATCTCACTTTAATAACTAATCCTGTGTGAGTGCACAATCCCATTTGTTTTCGTTGTATATCTTTTTTTTCTCCCCGTTTACTTGATTTGTACTTGTGTTTTATTGTTTTGTTTTTTTGTGTTCCCCCAAATTATATATATATATATAGCACAATCCCATTTGTTTTCGTTGTATATCTTTTTTTTCTCCCCGTTTACTTGATTTGTACTTGTGTTTTATTGTTTTGTTTTTTTGTCTTCCCCCAAATTATATATATAGCGTTTTCCAATTCCTGGTTTATTTGGCTTTTAATCCCGTATCCCTATCTGTCTGAATTGTGAAAATTCTAAAATAGAAAATGCAGCGATCGTATTAAATATACCTGTGCAGATTTCATTGATCAAGTCAAACAATGCTTTTTTGGCTTCATTTTGGAGCTGTTCTTTAGTTTTCTTTCTTTGTTTCTCTAGTTTTTTTTGAGCTCTTGAATTTACGTCACTTCCACCAACAACATCAAAACTCATATACGGTAAGTGGCTTTCAGATACGTTATTCAGTTCCTCTTGAGAATGATTGTGCGTAATGTTTAATCCAGTTTCAGGACTCTACAATAGATTAAAGGGGACTTGTCATGCATGCAGTATTTGCATTTTATAGTAATTCACTTCTTTAAACTATCTGCCACACTTTTTTTCTATCTTTTTAAAAATTATTTATTGTATTTCTTTTTAAAGGTGTAATTCATCAATGTTCCATTACTTCAAAAGATTATGGAAAGACAATTTATATAAATTTGCTGTTTACCTGATAATTCCTGTATCCCTCCTGCAAATGCTCTACTTACTAATGATATGCCTTTGCACACTCAGTACAGTTAGGGCTGCCATCAGAAATCTTGGGGTCCCTGACACAGCTCAATTTCTGGTAAACTAGGAAGTGGAGATAGAGTGTGCTGGGCCCCCTGCAGTGTACAGGTTGTCTGGGGCCCACAGATGCACATATATGTGCGAAACATATAGGGAATGTAGGGCCCGGGACTCCCTGAGCAATCTGGGCCACCCAGGGCCACCTGGCCCTGACAACCATCATGGTTGTCATGCCCTGAATACAGTTTTATACTATATTTGAATAAAAAAAAAATTAAAAATAAATAAATATATATATACATATATATATATATATATATATATATATATATATATTAGCATACCTCTTCACTTCCAGTAGTCGCGGTTGACTGTTTTCCCTTTTTGCCTAAAGATAAAATACAATGTAATGAGAAAATATTTACAGTAAGCGGTACTTTTATGCTGATTTAAAGATCAAGGAAAAAAAGTCTAAAAAACCTAGTAGTTTAAATAGGGCTGCTATGTTTAAATAATCAGTAGTTTACATTAATTTTGTTTATGAAATATTAGAGGTGTCAATAAGCTGTTACTTTACTTTTGTGCATTTATTTGACTTTGGTTAAAGGGGAATTTCCACTTCCCAACAAATTTAAATAAAATAATATAAAATAACATAAAATATTATGTTTGCTTATTTTTGTATTTCTATTAACAAAATGTGTATTTGTGAAATGTGAAAAGTTTAATTAAACACGGAAAATCCACAGCTCCTTATCCTGCTACCTGGTGTCTCCATCTAAGCTCCCTGTAGAGAAAGCATACAGAGAGAAGAGGAGAAATGAAACAATAATCCTATTTCTCTCTTTTATTAGTGTGGAGGAAGCTCCCATGCCACAAACCTTTGGAGAGGCTTGAAGGCAAGCCTCCTACTCACAAACTATAGGGGTTGGTGTGGCCCCCAAAAGGGGCTATTGTCACTGGTGCGATGGTAGCAAATGCTTACTTTGCTTCACAGCCAGACTAAGCTGGTATCGCTCCGTCCCCCGATCTCCAAGCCTTATTTGGAGGAGAGGTTCAAGAGGTAAGAAGGCGTTGAAGGATACCCAAGGACTGGAGAGTGCTCTACTCCCCAGAGGACTGGGAATCCCTTTTTGAAGAATGTAGCTAAGCCGCCACTACATGCTTGGAACTCCTCACCGAATCGTAGAATGGCCGTGACCCGATAAAACTTAAACACTCTGTAATTCTGAGGCAGATTTTCAGATCAGGGAGCTATTTGGACAGCGAGGGTGCTCGGTGGCAAGCATTCCAGAAATACATGTTATGTGGGGGTATGGTCCAGGAAAAGGGAGTTCTGGTGGACTTTTTGTGTGCTCTGCCTCTAGGACTGTGAGGGCACACCAGGGAGCAGATTGTGTTAACTGGGGATGATGCAATTAACTCCCTAGACAGAGTGAGGCCAAGGAGGGACAATTGTACTGAGTATTGTTTTGTATGAAGAACCCCCTATAGAGAGAGTCAACACTGTTCTGTGTAAATAGCTGTGCAATAAAAATCATTGCACACCCTATATTCATACTCATCTAATGTGTGGAGGAAAGGCCATAGTAAGTAATGCTATAATCACAGCTCTATAGGAGAGATGGTCTCCACAGTTATATTCACTGCAGCCTGGTCTGGTGGAAAAGGTTCTGAGAGACCACATTCAAGTTTTGTCGACTAAGTCTGAAGCACTCCAGAGTCCCTGGTAGCAGAGAGGAAGCCGACCTGGCGGAGATACTCAATTGGAGTACAGGAGGTCTGTCACATTTAGCAATGGTTGCCCTGACTTTGTCTTGTCCAAACTAGATTGTGATGCCATTTACTAAATCATTAATATAAATTTAAAAGAAAATGGAGCATTTCATTAAAAAAAGGTTGACATAAGTAATACATGTCTTTTATTGTTTTATTCAATGAGGTTACTTCCAGAGAAGTGACTGTTCCTCTTTAATGAGCTATATATATTTCCAAAGTTGATAAATTGAGTACCATTAAGTTGGGTAACAGGAACTGCTATTAAAGAAAGCATGCCCTAATCCCTTTGAGTACACTTAAATGGGCAAAGGGCAATATGTGATTAGTTGTTCTAAAAATTATCGTACAATTATTTTTGATATTTTATGTTTACATCAGAGACAGTTTTTTTCTGATTACAAAGTTTCATTACCTTTTTTAAACCATTTTGATACTTTCAATCCTCTGTAGCTAATTCCATCGCTTTCAGAAGAGCCATCACTGTGTATGCTTAAAGTACCAGAACTGCTTTCATCCAAGAGCTCCTGGAATTTAAGGAAACACATGTAAAGTTGTATAGAGGGTTCTATGTGGAAACAGCCTGCTATGGGTTGAGGCTTGACAAACGCGTTGGCAAGGAGCCTTACATCCAACATCAAGAGAACCGAAAAGGTGGGTTCAAGTCTCCTTTCTTAAAGTAAGAGTAAATGTTTTTTTTTCCTGCTAGAAGGACAGATTCTAATAAATATGGTATGTGATACAGATGTAAATAATAATATTGTGGCTGTTTTATTATCTGGTGTCAGCTGCCCAGTTGCTTATCTAGTTAGCCATGAATACGGATAGTAAGGGACCACTGGCAGTAGCCTTTTCTTTATTACTAATTAAAGCACCTCATCCTGGCATTAATCAGATGAGGGTATTATCATGTGATCGATCACTGGTTGCTCGAATTTTCATTTAGTAATCCCACATCCAATGTGCATAAAGAGGACATGAAGGAGCCACTAGCATGCATGGGTGGAGGGATTATATGGGAACCAGAGGGAGATCTACCATTCTCATAAACTCTCCTATCTCACTGCTCAGGGAAAGATGGATTAATATAAATGAATTATTCAGCATCTGCCCAGCATCTGACAGACCCTACACAAGGCAGAACAAAAACCTCCCAGCATTTAAATAGGTCCTATCTTGACACCTGATGTCCAAAAGGTAGATACCATGTGTCTTTAAAGATGTGTAAAGCTAGATCTCCCCTCCCCACTCCCTGCTCCTCCCTCCCTCCCCTTGCTGGCCCAGACCATGCGTATGCGCTTAGCTGGCAAAAAGCTCTGATCACAGATATCTCTATGAGAACCCTGTGATTGATCTTTGTGCAGCCCCAGTGATCTCAGGAGAAGGCGTGGAAGAACAGCGATTTGCCCAGCGCTTGATTGAAGGTGAATAAAACCTTTATTTTTTTTCAGGTTTTTCAGCTAATTAAAAAGGGGGGCCCTTCTCCATAGTGCTTAGTCCGGCATACAACACAGGAGAGGTCTTCCCTCTCAAAAGGGTTATAGTAACCCATTAAACAAAGAAACATATGATGTCAATAGCTACGATTGTTTTTTTTTTGTTGTGTTTTTTTTGCAGCACATAGAAAATTATTTTACAGTATATCAGCTTTAGATATTGTTTATATATTAATCAGTCACTTACCTCTTCCGAAAGATTGCTTTCAAATAGCTCTCTCTCTTTTTGATTGTAATTGAATGGTGATAAGAAGAATGCTGCTTCTGCATCTTCATTTTCTTTAATATTGCTCACTAGTAACTAGAAGAAATATATTTGTTACATTACAGTCAATATAACACAGAGACTTGCTTCGAGATACAAACACTAACAATGAAAACGTCAGCAACCAATAGTTTCCCTCACTTTTTTTATAATCTAAACATTACCATGACCATGCCAACAGGAGGAAATCACAATTACACTCACAGGTTTTAGCTGCACATTACTCATACCAATAGTGAGAAGGGCATGTATGTGTGACTACTTAAATTCACAGAACCTAACTGCTCTACATTCACCCCTGACTCTATAACCCTCTTTTATTCCAATGACCTTGATGTTGGCCCTGTAGTCAGGCTAAAGTACTAAGTTGGAGGTAGGAAACATTCAACACTCAAGCTATTGTGGACTACATTTTCCCTGATGCTCTGCCAACATTATGACTGTAAGAGCATTATGGGAGATGTAGTCCACAACATCTGGATTGCTGAAGATTGCCTAATCCTGATCTAGGTCATCCCCACCTTACTAATTTGCAACTTGTGGTGGCTGGTGAAGTTTAAAGACGATGGAGCAGGGAGCTATGATATGATGGACATAACCCTACGTACCTGACCCAATGAGTCAATAGTGCAGCGTGAAAAAGCCTATATAGACGTGAAATGCATTGTATAAGACTTTTTATCCATGTTTTTGTTTGTTGTTTTATATAAAGTTTTATACATTTACAATATATTTTGCAGGAGACTATAGTGGTTGTCTTTACATGTATGGCTTGATTCAGTTTTTGATTGCCTTTACATGGATACATTAGAGTAAGTTATCTGCGCAAAAAAATTGTAAGCAGTATTTCTCTGTTTTGTTCACACTGACGATATAGAGTCAGCATTGTATATATATTTTTCTATATTTCATATGTGACCAACATTTGGAGACATTGTTACAAACACCATATCCTGAGGTGGGTGATTGTACCTCCATATGCTGGCATTCCTGAGCTTGACAAAGGCTCCTTACATATAAGTGTGTTTTACCTTTGCTATACATTTATCCTCATACACAAAAATAAGTCCTGCCCTCAAACTCTCACTACTCCTGGGCGGCAGTAATGACCGTAGTACACATCAGCCCAATACATACAATAAAACCCAAAGAAAAAAGTTACTTGTGCACTATTAAAAATCTCTGTGCATATTGATATAAATGTTAGTTTTTAGTTCTACTCCAATGGTCATTAGATGTAAGCCCACTTGCCACGTCAAGGCAAACCTCTTAGGTGGGTCCTAAACTAACAATTTACCTTGATGTGGCAGGTGGGCTTACATCTAATGGCCGTTGGAGTGGATCTAAAAACTAACATTTATATCAATATGCACAGGGATTTGGAATATTGTGCAAGTAACTATTTTTCTTTTGGGTTTTATTATACATATATCCTCATTGTTGGAATTAAATACACTATTATAGTCTTCTGTTTATTGCTCATGTTGTTACATATTGTATCTCCTGGAGATATCTGTCAGTGGAGATTATTCTGCAGGATACAATGCATATTTGAGCTAGTGCTAAGCTCTGTTAAATGTGAGTTACCAATTTTTTTCATATAAATTCTCTCATCTTGCCTAAAATTGGTTTGCAGTTCTTTGTCAATGATTTACCTGCTTGTTTGTTCCATTAACATAGTCTGTACAAATAGTTATCGTACCTATCCTTGACATTGCATATGTTTGTAAACAACATTTCCAGTGATTCTTAGTCAGCGTAAGTGTAGTTTTTAGACACAAACAGTCAACCAATACCATTTTAGTACACTGTGTAGATTCACAAGATTTGACTTACTGCAACACACAGCTGCACTTTTTCAATATTCTCACTTTTCTGAGTGTCTGTACCGGCCGATGGATTTTGTGCAGTTGATGGAATCAGTGTTTTGTCCAGTTCAGGACAGTTCTGTAAGAGAAAATAATTCAGAGATTGACATTGTAGAATATTGCATATTCTATGTTTCTATCCATTATGTATGGATGTCAAGATTGGCATAAGTAACAGATGGTATCAATAAGTCACAATAGTTTTCTTGTATGTGAACTCTGGAATATGGATTGGGGGTCTTGTCCTTATATGGCTAGGGTTATATTCTGACGTCAGTATAGGCACATCTATATAGTAAATGAACAAAGGAACACACGGTCTCTCTTGGCTCTTGTACAGCTATGTAACGATGTAACTCTCCCTTTAGGAGTCCAGCAATTACCATCTGGTGTTGAACATCCTTGATCATGTAACATCCTTTGTTGTTTTATTAGGTATCCGTAACTAAGAATAAACCTGAAGAAACCGTAAGTCAGATTGCGTATTAGTACTTTTCATTGAAGGGACACTATAGTCTCCTGAACAACTTCAGCTTAATGAGGTTGTTCAGGTGAGAACTATAGCTCCCTGCAGCCTTTCTCATGTAAACACTGTATTTTATGAGAAAATGCAGTGTTTACATTGAAAGCTAGAAACACCTCCAGTTGCAGTCACTCAGAGTGAACCAGAGGGACTTCGGAGTTGATGGAGGCATAATATGCCTCCATCCACTCAGATCTGCTGTCAGCAGAGCACAGGGCAGCACTGTGCACAGCATCCTGTGATTCAGTATCTCCACCCTCAGCATGCAGACACTGAACTTTCCTCATAGAGATTCACTGATTCAGTTCATCTCTATGAGGAGAATCTGATTGGCCAGGGCTGTGTTTGAATCATGCTGGCTCTGCCCCTGATCTGCCTTGTTGTCAGTCTCAGCCAATCCTATGGGTAAGCAATGTGATTGGATCAGGCTACCACATGTCAGCAGACTGCTTGTTTTTCCTGAGTCTAACAGCATGCAGATCTACAGCTTTTGGCTTGACTACAGTAAGATTTTGCTATATTTATCGAGGCATGAGGGGCCCAAGGGGGCTAGATGGTAGTTTTAACACTATAGGGTCAGGAATACATGTCTGTGTTCCTGACCCTATAGTGATCCTTTAATATAGACGTATATTAATGTAGCGAGCCTTTGACCCAAAAGATGAATATATCAATCAACTGGAAAAAGACACAGAAGAAACGAAAATTATTATAGACATATTGCACAGCAGGTTTTCTGTCTATCTGATTAGCGTATCTTGCTATATTTTACACTAATTGTTTGAAGTTCTAACGAAAACGAAAAATATTATGTCTTGGACCACAGCAGCCAACAGATCTTTAGCTGTATGTTGTAACATAAGTGATTGACCTGACAGTTATCCATGCCCTAATTATTATCACTGTACCTTATTAAAATATTTTGTGTATTTATACAAATAATACAGGTTTTTGCTGCTCTTTACCTTGCAGTTTTAATTATTTCTAACACTAAGTTAGTTTGAGCAGAACTTTGTCTTCAGCAATATTTAAAGGGATACTCTAGTCCCAGGAATACAAAGCTGAATTCCTGACACTATAGTTCCCTCTGCCTCTCCCTCCCCCTTTATGCCCCCTTCTCTGGTAGGTAAAGGGTTAAAAATCCTTTATTTACTTACCTAAAACACTTTGCCCCCTCTGACATCCCACGATGATAATGTGCGCGCCTTAGACCTCACTATAGGAAAGCATTGAATCAATGCTTTCCTGTGGGGAAAAATCTGACGCAGGAGATCCTCATGCAGAGTGTAAGGACATCCAGTGTCACAAAGGTCAGTTTCAAACCAGGAAGCCCTCTGATGGCTGTCTGGTAGATAGCCACTATGGACAGACTTAGAGCTGCAATGTAAACATTGCAGTTTCCTGTAACTGCAATGTTTAACATTGCAGCACTAAGGGCAAAAGGGACAGTGCACCCAGACCACTTCAATAAGCTGAAGTGGTCTGGGTGCCTACAGTGTCCTTTTAAGCACGGATACACTGTAAATTGGTCTAAAGTACTGTGACGGTAGTCAACGTCACTGGTGATGGAGGACAGACACTCTATGAACGTCCCAGATTCCTCATGTGTTTTGGTCATCCTGTGCCCAGTATTGGTGCAGGGCATGTTGACTGTATTGCTTGTGTGTGCCTTTCCCCCTCCCCTTTTCCCTGTCCTATTGTTTCCCCAGCAGGGCATTGTCCCAGGGATACTGCCAGACCAGTTTGAACTAGCTGCCCTGTTCCTCCTCAATCTCCCATTAGCCCCTGCTATTGTCTGACCCTACCCTTCCTTGTACTATAGTGCTCTTATCAACCTATTGTATGTAAATGAGGCTGTTGGGGGCTTAACCCCTTCAGACCGGAGGGCGTACTATTACGCCCTATTATAGGCGGCTCTAAACGCCGCCGGGCGTAATAGTACGCCCTCCGGTCTTTCGGTACTTACCCGGTCGCCGGCAGTCCCACGCCGGCGATCGCGGTGGGGGGGACTCCCAGGGAGCCCCCGCGGCACGTCTGTCCTCCAGGAAGCCCCCCGGCCGTGTGAGAGTGGGGTCCTAGCGAGGACCCCACAATCACATGGCCGGGGATAGCTGGCTTCTGCATTGCCAGCAGGGGGGCTGCCTGTAATGACAGGTGGTCCCCCTGCTGGCTGAAAATAAAATTAAAACAAATAAATGGTGTAAAAAAAATAAATTATATATACTTAGATCATATATATATATATTATATATATGATCTAAGTATATATATATACACATATACATACACACATGTACACCGTCTAGGTGTATTTTACTATTAATATATATATAATTATATATATATATTAATATCAAATTACACGTAGACTGATAGTGATTAAATATATATATAATTATTGTTATATATATATTTATATATATTATAAAAAAAATTAAAATGTAAATACGTTAAAAAATAAAATTAAAAAAATAATTAAAAATAAATAATTAAAAATATATAGATGTGTGTTATTTCGTTCTAACTGTATTGTGATATATATATATATATATATATATATATATATCAAAATACACGTAGAACAAAATAATATATATATCTATATACATAAATATATACATATATCACTATATATATACCTATATATAAATAAAAATATTTTTTAAAAATTATATAGATATATATACATGTATATACACATACGTATATATATACATATATTAATTCTACATATATATTTATGTATTATTTTTACATAATTAGGTATCTTAATTAATTACAATTAGCAGGACCTGCCTGACAACCCATGCCGAAAGTAAAGGGAATTTAATTTGCTAGCACTATATTTAACCCTATAACTTTCGAGACACCATAAAACCTATACATGGGGGGTACTGTTCTACTCGGGAGACTTCGCTGAACACAAATATTAGTGTTTCAAAACAGTAAAATGTATTACAACGATGATATCGCCAGTAAAAGTGAAGTTTTTTCATTTTTCACGCACAAACAGCATTACACGGACAATATTATTGCTGTGATACTTTGTACTGTTTTGAAACACAAATATTTGTGTTCAGCGAAGTCTCCCGAGTACAACAGTACACCTCATGTACAGGTTTTATGGTGTTTTCAAAACTTACAGCGTCAAATATAAGGCTTGCGTTTCATTTATTTCACATTAAAATTCGCCAGATTGGTTACATTGCCTTTGAGACCCTATGGTAGCCCAAGAATGAAAATGACCCCTATGATGGCATACCATTTGCAATAGTAGACAACCCAAGGTATTGCAAACAGGGTATGTCCAGTCTTTTTTAGTAGCCACATAGTCACAAACACTGGCCAAAATTGGCGTTTTTTTGCATTTTTCACACAAACAGATACTAACGCTAACTTTGGCCAGTGTTTGTGACCAAATGGCTACTAAAAAGACTGGACATACCCATTTGCAATACCTTGGGTTGTCTACTATTGCAAATGGTATGCCATTATGGGTGTAAATTTCATTCCCGGGCTACTATACAGTCTCAAAGGCAATGTAACCAATCTGGCGAATTTCAATTTCAAATGTAACGTGCTATATTTGACCCTGTAACTTCCCAAAATGCCATAAAACCTGTACATAGGGGGTACTGTCTTACACGTGAGACTTTACTGAATACAAATATGTGTATTTTATTGCAGTAAAAGCAAACAGTATTATGACACTGACCGTTAAAATGTCATGTAGAACTAAAAAAATAAAAAAAAATCGTATTTTCTCCCATTTTTTTCATATTAAATTATGTTTCATAGCTAAATATTTGATATTAAATGAAAGCCCTGTTTCCCCTGAATAAAATGATATATAATAAGGGTGGGTGCATTTACTACGAAAGAGGTGTATTACGGTTGGACAGACATGTAGCGCAAATGCCAGGTTTTGTTTACATTTTGTTTTGTTAACAACATGTACATTTGGCTCTGTCCTTAAGGGGTTAAAATATGTGTGCTATGTCTATTAAAGTGAGTTGCTGTTTAACCTTCACCAAGTGTTGTCTGGTGTTTGGGGAAAGGGATATAATCTGCTGATGAAAAGTGTGTCTATAATCATAGTAGCCTGGTCCAGGGTGGAAAAGGCCCACAGTGATCCCAGTCAAGCCTCTGCGACTCGATCTGAAGTGCTCCAGGGTCCCTGATAGCTACAAGGAAGCAGACTTGGCGGAGGTACTCGGTCGGAGTACTGGATCTCCATGACAAGTACTAAAAGTGGGGCATTTACCATGGAAGCCAGGCAGGCATATTCCATTGGTGACACTGCTCCTTTTTTACATTTCCACCACTTTTCAGAATAGATACTTTTTTTTTATACATAACCCCCTATGAGTATTGAATGAGAGACAGTTGCAAAAAATATATAATATATATATATATATCATTATTATTATTATTTTTAAGTATTCCTAAAGCTATGGTGCAGGGGTAGACAATACAATGTTCAGGACTCCAGTTTTGAACTACATATCCCCTGATGCTTTGTTTTGGGATATATATTGTCATATAATGTATATGATAAAATTTTAAATCCCCCCTCCCCCCCCAAATTAATACTGGTAATCTCAACTAATCCAATGCTTCCCCATAGGTAAGCATTGTGGGGCTAAAGCACATGCGCAGAAATTGCTGTACTGTGCCCAATTAGCACAATTAGCATCACTTTATAGATATGTATTGAGTCAATGCATCTCTTTGGGGAGTGTTCATTCAACTTCTCCATGCAGAGTGTGAAGATGCTGAACGTCAGTCCTGCAATCTTTGCATGATCAAACCCAGGAAGTCCCACAATGGCTGTCCAAGTGACAGCCACATGAGGTGGTGTGAGGTAGCAAGGTAAAAACTTTTTTTTTTTTCTCAAAAAAGGGAGCATTTACACTGCTGAGCCCACAAGTGCAGTCTCTTTGCCCTGGGACCACTACATTAATTTGTAGGGGTTCTGGTGCATAAAGTGTCCCTTTTATGTTGCACTTACAGTTTAACTAAGTACACCTACCTGGTTTCCCTTCTATTTTTATCCACTTTCAGGAAATTCTAACTGTTCATGGAAAGTGGCTAACATGTACATATTGATTTCACACTAAGCATACAGGGAGTGAATTACAGACCTCCATACACCATCCTTTTTGTATGCCCAGCCAGAGCATATTCAATAAACCTAAAAAGTTCTAGCCTACAGGGACTGCAAGAACTATGAAAATATTTGCACGCCATACTGGGAGTATACAGAAAAATATACTGAAATTAAAGAAAATTAAATGTAAATGGCCAGGGGTGGGGGCTGGAGAACAGAGAATTAAGAGAGAGTGGTTGGGGAATGTGAAAATGATAATTGGAAGGGGATACAGGAGTGGGTGGAAGGGCAGGAACTGAAAATTGAGGGAAGGTCTCTTAATTGAGAGTGCAAAATACATGTATTTTATTCATATTCCATATGTACTACTAAAACTGAATTACCTTCTTCTGATACAGTATTTCTTGTAACATAAATATAATTGTTTCCCCAAAGCATCAAACTGTATATGTGTGGAATTTCAACCATTAGAAAATACAGTTTCTGCATACATGTATGCACAAAGACACTTTTGTAATACTACAACACCCATAATACTTTGCCAGCTTTAAGGCTCCTGTATGGCTACTCCTGGTGTTTAATATTCCTTGATTCATATTATGTATATATTCCTGTGAAATTAGCCACTACAAACCTCAATCAGCGTGTAAAAATCATCAATGCTTCTTTCAGTATGCCAGACCTCCTGTCCGCCATCCTCTTTGATAACCAGAATTCTGAATTTATTGTTTCTCAGCTTTAAATAAGAAAAATAAATAAACAATGACTGTTATAAACATGGTTATATCACGAGTCCTACATAAATAGAATATTTATCAATATCCTTTCAATATCGTCTGATATGAAGAAGAAGAATCAGATTTGAGACACGTTGAGTAACATTTTAGTCACAGTATCGTGTATTAATAGGAAACGATCATATCTATTCTCTGAACTGCAAAAATGTATATATGGGAATATTGTCAAACTTGTCTATGGGTAAAATTTGGTTATTTTAGCCTCAATTTGACCAATCAGATTAAGGCCTCTGTAACGGATCACCTGGCACCCCGACTGGGTACCTCCATTGATGGATGCTCCTAGTGCTTCCCGAGGGCTCCAAGCACTCCACTCGACACCATAAGCACTGCAGACCGAACCTCTCTTCCTTCAGGGAGTGAAGCAGGAACAAGTTCTTAAAACAGCTTAGTGATTATAGCCAAGGGAGTATACAGTGTATAGCAATCCCCGGTGTAGATGCAGCCTTTTCCCCCACACATGAGAAAAGGCTCTATGTTCAGGATCAAATAGGAACTCAGCAGTCTGAGGTTTTATTGGTACTTATATGCAACTTTTCCCACAAGGTTATCACCCACGTGGACCTGGTGGTACACAGGACATGCAGTTATAATAGCCAATCAAAACAGAACAGTACAGTCAGACATTCCCAGTCAAGGCACACAAACCCTCCCCTCTGCCTGTGATATAATTACTAAACACAATGGGTTAACTTAATTATCACAGGCAGAAAATATGCAGTTTTATACAATATTCATAACTTCCAAACCATTCATGCAATTTACATAAAAGTCACATATTCTGAACCAGCATAAGCAGTATACAAACATATGTCAAAATCATACAAATTGGTCAAGTGGTTCAAAAGTTAAGTGGAAGTCCTATTTGACCGACTGCAAGCATGGCTTTCCTGCCCAAAACAGTTCCACAGATTTAGGCTGTGGAGACGGTCTATCTTCTCCTCTATCCTGGAGATAATTGGCTTAAGTGGGTGTGGTAACTTAATTATCTCCAGTAACAGGTAATATCTCCATTTACAACAACAGTAAAAATACATAAAAATACATAATTCCTATTATACTGAACAGAACCCCCACATTTAACCTATCCCTAGATAGCTTGGATCTGAGCGCTCAATAGATCCGAACTGTGCTCAGATCCCACAAACAGAATAAAATCGCCATAGGGTTAAAGTTTAGCAAGGGCTGATGAGAGATTGAGGAGGGACAAAGCAGACAGTTTCAACTGGTCTGGCACTGTCCCTGGGACAATGCCCTACTGGAGAACAATGGGATAGGTATTAATGGGGGAGGGGAAGAGGCACATTCTCCCATGGAATCAAAGGGGCAGAACCAGTCTTTTAAAAGCCAATAAGCCCAAATAGTCTTTTTAAATGGCAATACACTCCAGGGGCCATAGTCACAGGGCAAGAGGCTGGCAAGCAGGCCTCTCCAAAAGTCAGTAGCAGAGGGTAGTTTGTCACAGCCTCGATTTAATAAGCTTTCCAAATCCAAATGATTTAGTACTGCATACCTCCCAACTGTCCCTATTTATAATGGACAGTCCATATTTTGGATCCAAACCCTTTTTTTTTTTGTCAATCTGTTTTGTATTTGAGGCATAGGAAATACAATACAGAAATGAGAAGAATGAGTCATACCAAATGTGCACTTGATAGAAGTATCGTATGACCAAAACCCTTTTTGATATTTTATTATTTTGAAAAAGTAATTGTAAAAGTTTATCCAAAAATATTAGATAATTTGAAAATCTTATAAAAAAAATATTCAAGCATAGCAATAATAAGGCCTCCAACAGTCCAGATTTTTGGGTTCTGCGCTATTCCCTAGTTTTCGCAAAACTGTCTCCAACAAGCATAGCACAAGTGTATTATTCACTCATGCTATGCTCAGGGCATAAGGACCCAGCAGAAAGTACTGAAACAGTGCTCCCTGCATGGTCCGTTGTTGGTGAGCAGGCATAATTGCATGCTGAGCTGTCAAGTATATGGACAGACCCGCCCACTTTCTGAGCACATTTCCCCTTTGGGGCAGAGAATGCGACGCAACTCACGTCGCAGGCCTCTTCCCTTGGCGTCCTACTTCACAGGACGCCGTAGTTGGGAGGCATGCATAGGTAGTATTTTGTTAGATAGTAAAAAAAATGATTCAATGAATACTGGGTCACGATTAAAACCACTAACACTTTACGATGGCTACTATTGGCATCTGTTGCCTCCCAGCTGTCAGCATGGCCAATGCATAATACTGATAGGTCCAACCTCCTGGTGTCTGCCAGATGTATAGATGATATTGTCATCTACTAATCAGTCCATACTCGAGACACTAGCACTGCTACTGAACACAGGACAATGTAGCATAAGTAACTAACTGTGTTATTCTACCAAAACTGAGACATTTAGGCTACTTCTGAAAAATAAGCATGATGCTTCAAGAATGATGTACGTGTAGATGTAATTCCAGTATGCTGACAATACCTCAAGCTTTTCTCTCTAATATTAACCCCAGCAAAGCCCTTATTTCAGTCTTTTATTGGCCATATCAAAGGGGTGCAGTCTTTTAGGAGTGTTGCCAGTTCAGGACGATGATAGACATTGCTTTAAACTTCTTCTTATGGTTTCAAACATTGCCTTTATGGAATACTATAGTGTCAGGAACAAAAACATGTATTGTTTTTTTTTAATTCTTTATTTTTCTTGTGCATATGATTACATAACATAGAGACCTGTAGCGCCACAACAGCATGTACAGGCATTTCGATGGAAAACATTGTCATGGTGGCGCATTCAAAGTGTCCATAGGAAAGCATTTCTCAATGCTTTCCTATGGACGCTCTGCACGATGGAGGCATAATATGCCTCCAGCGTCGCTGATGCGCCTCTAGTGGCTGTCTTCTGGATTGGCTTAACCCCAAATGTAAACATAGCAGTTTCTCTGAAACTGCTATGCTTACAGCAGGCATGGTTAACCCTAGAGGGACCTGGCACCCAGACCACTTCATTGACCTGAAGTGGTCTGGGTGACTATAGTGTCCTTTTAATGTTATTTTATTCTTCCCCCCCCCCCCGATTCAAATCACTTAAAGCAACTCTGCAACGTCAAAATTTTCAAAGACCCCAGATGGTGACATCACATGTAGGTGTCTGATGGCTTGGGGCTTAGGGGGCATGGAATTATGAGATTTATTTACCTGAACCTGTCCCTCACTGGCGCCACCATCTTGGTCCACTGTTTTTATAGTTAGAGCATTTGTCTATTTCTATAGCTCTACATACTCTTTTTGCAGTTACATTCAAATCTATATCCACCCAGCAAGCAGAGCCACGGGAAGAAAATTTTTTTAAAGTACAACAACTTTACTAAGTTTATGAGTGTGTTTCATTGTAGCAACATAAGCATTTGTGTTCTGTGATTTTGCTCACACATCAATGGTATTTTCCAATGTAAACCTTTTTATCTCTCTAAATCAGTTCCTGTTTCCATCTTGCAGTTACTAATATTCCGAGCCTGAAGGAGCATTAAAAAAATGCTCTCAGAAAATGGAACAGCAGAGCTCACTAGAGTATTAACCAAGTTAAATGCTTACAGTAATAGCTACATATAAGATTTTCATTTTAATGCCACACAACTTTATTAGACTTTTTTAATATCACCGGCATCCTTAAATAGACACTATGGGCACCAAAACTACTTTAGCTTTATGAAGCAGTTTTGGTGTACACATCATACCCCTGCAGTTTCACTGCTCAATTCTTTGCCATTTATGAGTTAAATTACTTTGTTTATACAGCCTTAGTCATACCTCCCTGCATGTGGTACAGACTCTAGTGTGGGATAGGGAAAGTAGTGGGGGTAAGGGACTGTACTAGGGGTGTTGGAAGCTGTAGTGGGGTAAAGGCTGTAATGGGTAGATATGAGCTGCTGTTTGATTAAGGGCTGTAGCAGGGAGTCAGGGGCTGTAGAAGGGTGTTAAGGGCTATAATAGCGGGTTAGAGGCTATAGTAGTGGTGTTACAATTTGTAGTGGGGAGATATGGCCTGCATTTTAGCGGTAGGGACTGTAGTGGGAGATACAAGCTACATTTGGAGGTTAAAAAGTACCACTTCCTAGCTGGAACTGGGGAAAACCTCAGCGCTTCTGCCCCAGTCACCACGGCTTGACTGATTCTTTTGTTCTTTGTAAGTTCAGAATGAAAAAATGATAGCTAAAGAGAGCAAATCCAATCCCAAAGCATTTTTTAAGTACATAAATTCTAAAAAAACCAAAAATGAAAGTGTAGGTACACTAAAAACTGAAACGGGGGTGTTAGTTAATGAAGACCAGGAAAAGGCAAGAATTTTAAATAACTATTTCTCCTCCGTATATATTAAGGAAGAACCCATGGCAATAGATGTGCAAATGATTGCTACTAAAAACTTGCAGAATAATTGTAATTGGTTAACTCAAGACAAGGTGCTGCAGCAACTAAAGAAAGTTAATATAAACAAAGCTCCAGGGCCTGACGGTATACATCCACAAGTACTTAAGGAACTAAGTGTAGAAATAAGTGAACCTCTGTTTTTAATCTTTCAAGATTCTTTTCTTTCAGGAAGTGTTCCGGAGGATTGGAGGAAGGCAGATGTGGTTCCTATATTCAAAAGGGTTCAAAATCCTTGCCTGGAAATTATAGACCTGTGAGCTTAACTTCTGTGGCTGGGAAAATATTTGAAAGGTTATTAAGGGATAATATTCAAGAATTCCTTGAGAAGAACATGGTTATCAGCAAAAATCAGCACGGTTTTATGGAGCACAGGTCATGTCAAACTAACTTGATTGCGTTCTACGAAGAAGTAAGTAGAAGTATAGATCAGGGTGTTGCAGTGGATGTGATCTTTTTGGATTTTGCCAAGGCATTTGATACAGTTCCACACAATAGATTAGTGTTCAAACTCAAGGAAACCGGTCTAGATGAAAATGCTTGTTCTTGGGTAGAATATTGGCTTAAAAACAGAGTACAAAGAGTTGTCATTAATGGTAAATTTTCAAGCTGGACAGAGGTGGCAAGTGGTGTCCCTCAGCGGTCTGTTCTGGTACCCCTTCTATTTAACATGTTTATAAATGATCTTGAAGACAGCATTGAAAGTCATGTTTCAGTGTTTGCAGATGACACAAAACTCTGTAAAATAATACAATGTGAGCAAGATATTACTTTGCTGCAGAGGGATTTAGATAGACTTGGGGACTGGACACTCAAATGGCAGATTAAATTTAATGTTGAAAAATGCAAATGAGAATGCTTTCCTATGAGACTGGCTGAATGCGCGCGCGGCTCTTGCCGCGCATGCGCATTCAGCCAGGGACGTCAGAAGAGGGAGGAGAGTCCCAGCCCGGCGCTGGAAAAAAGGTAAGGGATTTACCCCTTCCTCCCCCTTCAGCGCCATGGGAGTGGGACCCTCAGGGTGGGGGCACCCACAGGGCACTATAGTGGTCTTTAATGGAAATGAATTAGGGATAACAACACACAAAAAGGACTTGGGAATTGTTATAGACAACAAACTATGCAACAATGTGCAATGTCAATCCGCAGTGGCCAAGGCCAGTAAGGTATTGTCATGCATGAAAAGGGGCATTCATTCTCGGGACGAGAATATCATTTTGCCTCTTTATACATCACTGGTAAGACCACACATTAAATATGCTGTGCAATTTTGGGCACCAAGAAGGATATTATGGCAGTAGAAAAAGTGTAGAGGCGGGCTACAAAATTAATAAAAGGAATGGAACATATCAGCTATGAAGAATGGTTAACAAATTTAAACCTATTTAGTTTAGAAAAACGTCGCCTGAGAGGGGATATGATAACATTATACAAATATATTTGGGGCCAATACAAACCATTGTGTGGAAATCTATTTACAAACCGGACTTTACATAGGACACGAGGCCATGCGTTTAGACTGGAAGAAAGAAGATTTCGTCTAAGGCAAAGGAAAGGTTTTTTACTGTAAGAACAATAAGGATGTGGCATTCTCTGCCTGAACAAGTGGCTTTATCAGAGTCCATACAGATGTTCAAACAGCTACTAGATGCATACTTGCAAAAACAGAATATTCAAGGATATAATCTTTCAATGCTTGATCCAAGGATAAATCTGACTGCCATTCTGGGGTTAAGAAGGAATTTCTTTCCTAACTTGTTGCAAAATTGTGCTTCTAACTGGGTTTTTTTGCCTTCTTTTGGATCAACAGCAAAAAACAAATGTGAGGAAGGCTGAACTTGATGGACGCAAGTCTCTTTTCAGCTATGTTACTATGTAAGTTTTCTACCTCCTGGATTTAGTCACTTTAGCTCTATATACTTCACTATATGTGATTTTATATTTCCAGATCTTCCAAAGATTACACCCTGTTGCACAGGTTGTATCCTCTATATCCTTTTGTACTATGCCACTGTTTAGTTTATACTTCACAACGGAGTCGTATAAGTTATATTTTGTTTGCGGTTTTATTTGTATGTGTATGTGAGGTACACCCTTTTAGGTGTTAGCACTGTTTCCTTGTGTCACATATATAGTACATATCTTGTGTATTTCCTCATTATCCAATAGGCCTATAATACAAAGTAAACAGTTCTTTGATACATTACTTGATGAGATACATATCTATATGATGTGGTTCATGAAATCACGTATTATCTGTCCTTGTCGTCTTTTTGCAGACTCAGTTTGTTATGTCTTGTGTGGGACGAGAGCCTAAATGCCTGATGTGGCTTTCTGAGCATTTTAGCGGCAAGGGCGCTGCATTTCTGCTATTGTGGGGTTGTTTTGTGTTATCTCTGCTGTGTGGTCTGAGACCATGTACAAGTAGAACATTTTACAGGTTATGGCTGGTGGGTGACTATGGGATGACAGTTGTAGGGACTCTGAAATATTAGTTGGTGTGTTTGCTATCTTTGTGATTCGACCATTGTTGGGTCTACATTGCTGATATGGTTGCGTGTGGGAGGTTGCATGTTACATGTCAGTGTTCAGGCGCGTTGCCATCCTGTGTGCTAGACTTTTAGAGAATGCTAATTATCTGTTATGCCATAGTATGTGGTCCCCTGGGGTTTGTTGTGTGTTGTTTTTTTTCCTTATATTAATTTTGATTATTATCTTCCCTTATCTCATCCAGTTGTTGCATTGCTAGATTAGTTTAAGGCCACGCGCAGTTATTGTATTTGCATAAATGCTTCAAATTTGCTTATACAATTTTGCACGTTGTGATGAGACTTAAGCTGTTTTCTAGCTAAGTTTTCATAGAGAGTTTGTTTGGAGGGGACACTGGTGGATTTCCACGCCCTGGCTAGTAGTGTGAGGGCAGCTATAAGTGCATTATATATTAGGATGGATTCTCCTTTGGGTAAACCATCCAGGCCAAAAAATAATAGAGCCAATTCTGGCTTCAGTGTGATGCTTGTCTGTAGTATCTCTGAGATTGTATTTAAGACCATTATCCAAAAGGATCTGAGATGGGTGCATGTCCACCATATGTGGTGCATCGTGCCGGGTTCTCTCTCACATCTCCAACATAAATCTGATGTGCCCTGATATATTTTCGCCAAGCATGTTGGCACCATATACCAGCGGAAGTAAATCTTCTGCATGAGCTCTAAGTGGCCTATAGTGTCCCTTTAACCCCTTAAGGACCAAACTTCTGGAATAAAAGGGAATCATGACATGTCACACATGTCATGTGTCCTTAAGGGGTTAAACAAGGGGGTAGCACTACGGCATGTTAAATCTTATCTGCACCCTGCATTAATTTAAATTATCATCATAAGATCGACTATTAAAAGAAAAAATTATGTATTTGCCAGTACCTCAAAGATGATGGCATGCCATTTTTCATCTTTCCACTTCAGACAGGATAGACTACATAATGAATGTTCAGAATCACTTGAGCTTGCCTTAAAAAGAAAAAGAAAAAACATCAACTCATGATATTAATATATATATATACATACACAGTGTTATTCATTAACCACTTAAGGACGGAGGCAATTGTACAAGTTCTGAGCAAAACAAAATGTAAACAAAACCATTGCCCTTTATGTCTGTTCAACCGTAATTTACCTTTTATTTTAAATGCATCCACACTTGTTATATATCATTTTGTTCTGGAGAAACAGGGCTTTCATTTCACATCAAATATTTACATATTAAACATAATTTAATATTAATAAAATCTAAAAAAGTGTGAGAAATTAAGAAATTTAATTTTCTTAGTTTTGCACAGCATTTTAACTGTGAATGTCATAATACTGTTTGCTTTTACTGCAATAAAATACACATATTTGTATTCAGCGATGTCTCACGTGTAAAACAGTACCCCCTATGTACAGGTTTTACAGTGTTTTGGAAAGTTACAGGGTCACATATATGGCTTCCTCCTTTTATGTTTTTGCAAATTGATATTTGCCAGATTGGCTATGTTGTCTTTGAGACCATATGGCACCTAGGAATGAAAATTACCCCATCATGGCATACCATTTGAAAAAGTAGACAACCCATGGTATTATTTTTATACGAATATATTAATATCAAAATACAGTTAGAATGAAATTAGTTAGAATAAAATAAAAATATATTTTATTATATATATTTTTTATATTTATACATATATTTCACAAGATCCAGCGCACTCACTCATCCACTAAACAGCCACTTCAAAGCTTACAGATTTTATTAGTTTTTAAATAAAATAAAAAAAACACCTAATCTAGGAAAAAATAATGGGGGTTTAGTTACAGTATATGATCATACATTGCATAAGCCTGCCACAATGTCAATGTACCCCATTTTTGGCAGGGCCTTCTCTAACAACCTAATGTCTGCTTTTATGAGATTAACCGACTTACTTGTGAGAAAAAAAATCCAGCTAGGGCTCTCTGCACTATATATTTATTCACACACACTTTCATTCTAAGTGTATTTTTATATCAATATATGTAGATATATTAATATATTCACCATGGGCCCGGCACTCACTCTCCCGTCTTCCCTCTGTGTAAATTCCAAACAAAATTTAAATCTCCAAAGAAGTGCACTCCAGAGGGCTTCATAAAAAGTTTCAGAATTTGTTATTTTGTTACATATGTCAATGTTTCAGTCCTCACACCAGGACTTTTATCAAGACCATTTCTAAAACTTATTACGAAACCCTCTGGAGTGCAGTTCTTTGGAGATTTATATCTTAATATAAAAATACATTTCGTATTACATTATATATATATATATATATATATATATATATATATTTGCATTTAGTATTACATATAATATATATGTGGAATATATAGATAAATATGGCTTCCATTAATAACTCACAGATTCACTGGAATTTTCAGAATCATCAGTCGAATCGCCGCTCCTTAAGCTTAGAGATCTAAATTCCACACCTGCAGAGTTACATTTAATTATTATTATTATTTTATTATTTATATGGCGCCAACAAATTCCATAGCGCTGTACAATGGGTGGACTAACAGACATATAATTGAGATCAGACCACTGACGTACAGGAACAGAGGGGGTTGAGGACCCTGCTCGATGAGCTTACATGCTAGAGGGAGTGGGGTATATTGACACAAAGGGTTAAAGTAGGGGAATTAAATAGTTTGTTACAGAAGGGTTTATTGAGTGCTTGGTAGGTCATTTTTGACAGGTGCAGGAACGGAGTCATGGGGTGGGGGATGAGAAACCTGCTGACAGTTTAATTGATACGCTTTAATGAAGAAGTGAGTTTTCAAAGATTTTTTGAAGGAATGGAGGCTGGGTGAAAGTCTGATTGAGGGGGGAAGGGAGTTCCACAGAATAGGTGCAGCCCTGGAGAAGTCTTGAAGGCAAGCATCAGAGGTGGGGATCCGGGCAGAGGATAGGCGTAGGTCTTGGGCTGAGCGCAGGGGTCTCGACGGGACATACTTGTGTATGAGGGAAGATAGGTATGTTGGAGCAGCATTATGTAGGGATTTGTAAGCAAGCGCCAGAATTTTGAATTGGGCCCTATATCTAACTGGAAGCCAATGCAGGGACTGACAGAGCATGGAGGCGTGGGAGGTGCGACCAGACAGGAAAATAAGCCTCGCAGCCGTATTCATTATAGATTGCAGCGGTGCAAGCTGGGAACATGTAAGACCGGTGAGAAGGGGATTGCAATAGTCAAGGCGAGAGAGAACAACAGCATGAACCAGTACCTTAGCCGCGTCCGGCGTTAGATATGGGTGGATGCGCGCTATGTTCTTGAGTTGGAATTTAATATTAGTTCACAGCAAGACTAAGGATTGGTTAGAATTAAAAGATAAGAAGGACACTTGCGTTATACAGCAAAGAAACCCAAATTAAAAAAAACAACACAGATCAAAAGACGAGAATATCTAAAGTAAACACAGCTGTGTTGAGATCTGATTGAAAATGAAACCATGTTGTTTTCATGCATGCTGTCTGAGTCACAGCCAGGGGAGATGTGACTAGGGCTGCATAAACAGAAACAAAAGTGTTTTAACTCCTAAATGTCATAAAACGGAGCAGTAAAACTGCATGGGCGTGATCTATATATCAAAACTGCTTCATTAAGAAAAAGTTGTTTTGGTGCTTAGAGCGTATCTTTAAATTAACTAAACATCAGCAAAGTTATTTCCTAACAACCTGTGCTAAGACCTATCTATATTATATTATTTATTTTTCCACGTTGAATCAGCAGATATCATTTAATGTGTGAGACAGTTGCAGCTGCACCTGTTGGATTCCCAGTATGTCTGAAGGCCATTGAAAATACAAAGACCTCCCATTTGGTGTATAACTCTATAAGTGTGATGTGCACCTTTAACCTATTAACACAGAAGGTAGAAATTCTTGCTCTCAGATCAGTCATGTTTTATCAACATATCTATTGGGACGGCTTGCAATGCACTGTTCTAATGGTCATTTAGCGAGTCAGTGCACTTTAAAACAGGTTTTGTTCCTCTCCCTTGTTTCCTTTTCCAGTAAATGTTGTGTTTTGCGTCACTGAACTCTAGTAATGCCATGTATTGTGTAACTACATCACAGATGAGATTGGTTGTTGGCTAAAGTGAAACCAAGTGTACTAATGTAAAAACCAATGTACTATTAGTTGTAATGTTGAGGTTATGTACTTTACCTTTTTCAATCTTTTTTTTTCTGTAAGGGAATTGCATAAAATATACAATTAGAAATCAACAACAGTCACGTATGAATTGTTCACAAACATGTCACCAAAAAAACTTTAGCTTAATGACGCAGTTTTTGTGTAGAGATCATGTCTCTGAAGTCTCACTGCTCAATTCTATGCCATTTAGGAGTTAAATCCTTTTGTTTCTGTCCATGCAGCCCTAGCCACACTTCCCCTGCATGAAAAGAAGGTTTCATTTTCAATCAAATGTTAACTCGCTTTAGAAGTTTTTATCTCCTGCTTGTAGATTGAACTTTAATCACATACAACAGGCTCTGGAAAGGTCTAACAAGCTCTTTACAGTGTAGGAGATAAGAAATTCTAAATTAAACAACAGTGTAAACATTTGATCTCACTTTAAAATAAGTGCACATTACTTGCACTAGATGTGACCAGGGCTGCATAAAAAAAATGTGATTTATTATCATGATCTACCAAAACTGCTTGATTAAGCTAAAGTTGTTTTGATGCCTATAGTGTCCCTTTAATATCAAACTGTGCGGTGTCAAGGGACTGCTCGCATTTTGGTCAGATTGAAATGCTGAATTAACATATTCTGCATTAGCAATGTAGATTTTCTCAAACCTGGACCGACCACTGATTGTCAGACACACACTCTCACATACACACGCACACAAAAACTGAACACTACACACAAAAACTCATTAAAAGGGGGCGTGGCCTAACAGTCAATGGAGTAGGACGCACTCATTCCGAGCTCCTAGGCCCCAACCTGATTTGCCCCGATTAACCAGCACAGCAACGCCGCAGAAAGCGCACCTCCATGGGGGGGAAAAATCGACGGCTACCTACCGCAGCCCAGGTCACTCCGGCCCCTTCCCGACCGCCAGCCGGCCCGATGGACGAGTTCCTGGCCACGCCGCATGGCCTCCGCGACACTGGCGAGACCGGAACACCGGCCCTCGATTCCCCGGGCTCGGCGCGGGAATCCAGCACTCCTGGCACCCTGTCCCAAATATCCGCGGACCTCGCCGCGATCTCCGCGAGCATGATGACCCGGAAGGATAAAGGTGAAATGGTGGCTGAGTTGAGGGCCATAATAAGGGAGGAAATAGCGGCTGTGCGCACCGACCTCACGGCGCTGGAGCAGCGAGTAGACAGGTTGGAAGAGGAGCGCATACAATCCCAGCAGCACAGACAGGCAGCGGAACTGGCAACCACGAGGCAGGGCAACATCCTCCTGGACCTCCGCCGGCAGGTTGAGGATCTCGATAACCGTGGCCGACGTAATAACATCAGGGTCAGAGGCCTGCCTGAATCCGAGGACGAGGTACCGCAGGAGATCCTGAATGGCCTATTTGCGCAACTACTAGGAGATGCAGCTCCTGGCGACTTCGGCATCGAAAGGGCCCACAGGGCACTCCGCGCCCCCAGAAGAGACGGGCAGCCAAGAGACATGATTTGCGCCCTCCTGTCATTCCCGCTAAAAGAATCTATAATGCGGGCAGCACGCGCACAGCAGCACATCACTTACATGGAAGCACAAATATCCCTTTACCAGGACTTATCTACCATCACCTTAGATGCCCGCAGGGCCCTGCGGCCTCTCACCCGAGCACTTCAGGAGCGACGAATTCCATACAAATGGGGATTTCCATTTAGCTTGCAGGCCCGGATGGGAAACGTATGGCACATCATCCGCTGGCCGAACGACGTGCCACGGTTCTTAAGAACCGCCAACTTACCTCCTATCTCAGTGCCAAACTGGATCCTGGAGGAACCCCCGGCGCGAGCCACAGGCCCATCTGAAGTGGCACACAACATCCACCCGGAGCCTGGACCACCAAGACGCAGAGGCGGCCCAATAGGCCCCGAGGAATAGAGGCCCCCACGCCGCACGGACCAGTGGCCCCCCCTGGGTCATCCCATGCCAGGTCAGGGCATTGCCTCCTGAGCTTACCCCAGCTTTGATTATGGACGCCATGCAGATCCGATGACACCACGGCAGGGGTATGTACTTTTAAGTCCGCTGCCAGCTTACATTAGCTAGTAAACAGGGAGGAAGGCCGCAGACAGGTGGGGTGGGAACTGAAGCCACTTTTGGGGAGCGGCCGGGAGCTAGGGCCTCATCAGCGAACCCACACACCCGGGGCAAAAAGGGGGACATATCCCGTAGGTGGGGAGGGGATGATGGGCAGGGTACAAAGGGTCTGGACACTGACACCATCACCCGGGTCACACCCTGGGTCAAGACTGCTGAACTGAACAGGCTGCTCTAGCACACCGCTGCTCACGGAACAGAGCTGAGGGATGGATGCGGGAGGGCGAGGGCAACGGGATATGCAGGCACACAGGGCTAGAGCTGGGAGGGGGGCTGGGACAAGGCTGGGCACTTCTTGTTCATGTTGTTTAATTGTTCACGGTTCCGTTTATATCACCCAACACACATCACAGCCACTCACATGAGGGGACAACCACACACAATCTGCCTCACTGAGACAAGCAAGACGCCATGTTGGTACGCCCCACTACGAAAGCCCAGGCACGCAGATAGCTACCATGACGGAAATTCTGGGCGCAGGGAGAGACCACGTCCCAAACCAGCCCCTCTGAAGGGACGCAAACGAGGGAGCTGGCGAGCCACGCCCATAGGGTGGCCTTTCAATGCAGCCCAACACATGTAGGACTGACTACCCCCAAACAGCGCCCTAACACCCTAGACACGCCGACTTGTAGCCAACGAACTGTAAGTTGCCCGGCGGGGGAGGTCAGACACGGAGGGCCCCGGGGTGCCCGGCAGACAAAACCAGTCGAATCCCCTGACAGCACCCGGCCACTAGGACCGGGACGCCAGGAGAGCCGACCGTGACGGGGGGACCCACGGGTACCACTGACCATAATGCCGACAGGACCGGTAGGCTTATCCGCTCCCAGACCTCGGGACTGCGGTACAGGACGCCACAGCCCGACCGACACTCTAAGTCCCGGGCGACTACTGCGGACCCCTAGGCTAGAGTAGGCAAACATGGCGATTGCACACACCCTTACAGGTTGGGTGCCGATGGAGAGGGGAGAGAACCAACCTCACTCAGATCCGAGACCGACTTCACTGTAAGTGACCATACGGAACCCCCACTGAGACAGACCCACACTGTACATTACACCGGTGTTCTCGTCGCTGAGGTTACCCACCAGGCTCGAGAACGAATACACCCGGTACAGGGTCAGAGTCACACCCGCACACCTAGAAGACACGCCAGACCGTTCACATCACCACCACAGACAGACAGACCCCCCCCCACACTCACCACCTCATCTTTACATCATACAGACAACGCTGCGGGGACGCCGCCCTGCCGCCGGGATGGACGCCTCGCGAGGATTTGTCCCGGCCCAACTGACATACTGGTCCAATAATGTTCAGGGGCTTAACACACCTGAAAAGCGCACGCACCTGGTAAGGCGCCTATGGGCCGTGAGAGCCTCCGTGGCGTTCCTGCAGGAGACTCATTTCCGAGGACTGGACGCCCCCAAACTAGAGAACAGATGCTACCCGCAGGGATTCTACGCGAATCACCCGGATGCTAAGAGGGCTGGTGTGGCAATACTCTTTGCACAAACGACGCCGTTCCAACATATAGCAACGCAGGCGGACCCGAACGGCAGATTCCTTTTCATTAAGGGTACAATCATGGAACACATGTATACCTTCGCATGCCTCTACGGACCGAATAGAAAACAGCATACATTCCTGGCTCGGACGCTAGCCAAATTGGAGAAATTCAGAGACGGCCTCTTGGTCATGGCAGGTGACCTCAACTTACCACTGGACCCCCGCACGGACACCTCCAGAGGACAAACCGCGATCCCGGCGCACTGCATACGGGCAGCACTACGATCTATACATAAACACGGCCTGGTGGATTGTTGGAGGGCATGTAACCCTGAAGGTAGAGACTACACCCATTATTCGACAGTCCATAAAAATTACAGTCGCATAGACTATATATTCCTGGCCCAGGAATACCTCAACCTCCTCCACGACGCACGAATAGGCATAATGGACCACACAGATCATGCACCACTGACGATCCGCACAAGCTCCCCACTATATAAACCCCGCGAAAGACACTGGAAACTGAACGAATCCCTACTGGACGATGCAGAGTGTAAGAGGGTGACTGCCCAAACCTTAACTGAATACTTTACTTCCAACGAAGATACGGAGACGCCACCGTTAACGATATGGGAAGCTCACAAATGCGTCATACGGGGACATTTCATCGCCATAGGCACCAAACGCAAGAAGGAACGAACACGACGTATCACAACACTACTAGACCGGGTAGCTGACCTAGAAGGGGAACACAAGACGGACCTCGCAGACAGCACATACCTCCGCCTGACGGAAGCACGAAGGGAGCTGAAAGCCATACTATCACAAGGACTCTTACACACCGCGAGGAAGGCCTCCAGGTATTATTATGAACACTCGAACAAAAGTGGTAGGTTGCTCGCTAGGATGCTACAAGACAGAAGGAAAGCGCAACACGTTCACAAGATACGCACGAGCAGTGGAGACACAACCTGCTTCCCGGACGGCATACTGTCAGCGTTCCGGGAATACTACGCGGCGTTATATAACCAACCACGACTCCACCACGACAGAGCCATAGGTAGCCATCGAGAACGGATAACCACATACCTTCAGAACCACATCACCCGTCAGCTTACCCCGGACCAGGAGGCGGAACTCGAAATGCCCTTGACGATTGAGGAACTATCTGGCGCATTGAAATCAACTAAAGCGCACAGGGCCCCGGGCCCAGACGGTCTACCAGTCTCGTACCTACGCTCCTTCAAAGACACCCTGCTGCCCAAACTTCTGACAGGCATCAACTCAATCAGAGATGGAGGCCAATTCCACAGAGACACCCTGGGAGCAACCGTGGCAATAATACCCAAAGAGGGTAAAGACCCAACAATCTGCGCCAGCTACAGGCCCATCTCTCTGATAAACGCGGACATCAAACTCTTCGCTAAGGCACTGGCACTCAGGATGGCCCGGACGCTCCTGGATCTGGTGCACCCGGACCAAGTGGGGTTTATCCCCGGAAGAGAAGCCAGAGATAACACTATTCGAGCCCTCAACACCATCCATACCGCTAAAACGGGCAAAAAGGAAATGGTCCTACTATCCACTGACGCTGAAAAAGCGTTTGACAGGGTGGACTGGGTCTATATGTCGGAAACCCTACGACATTTGGGATACGGTCCACACCTGAGGACATGGATAACGGCTCTATACACCTCGCCCACAGCCCGCATAAGAATAAACGGAGCACTGACTGACTCGTTTGATATACATAACGGCACGAGACAGGGCTGCCCCCTGTCCCCACTCCTGTTTGCCCTCACCCTGGAGCCCTTCTTGGAGGCGGTCAGACAGGACAGGGGTATCACGGGGTGCAGCATAGGAGGAAGAGAACACCGGGTAGCGGCTTACGCTGACGACATGCTCTTCTTCCTGGAGCAACCCAGAACCTCCCTCCCACATCTCCTGGAGGCGTTTCGACAATACAAGGAGGTATCCGGCTTGACGCTTAATCTAGATAAGTCAGAGATATTGCTGCTCGCACAGGACAACACCCTCCAACGACACATCCAAGCACAATTCCCCTTCAAGATCTCCACAGCCAAGCTACACTACCTTGGGGTGTGGCTCCCGAGAGACTTGACACTTATCTACCGACTGAACTTTGCGCCCCTGCTCACCACTCTACAGCAAGACATGAAACGCTGGACACCTCTGTACATCTCATGGTTTGGGCGCATCAGTGCCGTGAAGATGAACATTATGCCCAGATTATTATACCTGTTCCAAACTCTACCAACGTACCTCCCGAGGGCATTTTTTCAGACCCTGACGACCGCAGTCAGGAACTTCATCTGGAACCAAAAACCAGCGCGTATCCGAAGAGCGATTCTTGAACGCCCTAGAGGAGAAGGAGGTATGGGATTGCCCTCCATCCTCACGTATTACCACGCTACCCATCTGCACAGACTGGTTGATTGGCATGCAAGCCCCAGTACTAAGCAATGGGTAGACCTGGAGAAACACCAAGCCCAGGGACGAATCCCCGCTATGCTATGGCTGGGAGACGCACTACCCAAGGAACTACTTACCGGGAACCCAATGATCGACGCCACGCTGAGGGTGTGGTGTAGGATACGTTACTCCAAAAACCTCACGTCATCGCCCAACCCACTCACACCAATAACACACAATCCGAGGTTAGCGGGAGGGCTAAGCACGGCAGACCTGAAAAACCTCGGAGCAACGGACTGGGTATACGCTAGCCAATGGAACTCCGGGACGACGCTCAAACCCCTGGCAACGCTGATGCAGGACCGTAGGCCCAGTGGCCTAGACACATTCCGATATCACCAAGTGAAAACATACCTCGACGACATTACGGGTAAAGGCCACCTACACCGCCCATTGCTGATGATGGAACATCTATGCACGGCCAGACAACACCTCTCACATGGAGTCTCACACCTCTATACCGCGCTGCTAAGCGACGGTGATAAGAGCCCCCTAGGCTTCACATCGCGATGGGAAAGAGAGACCGGGATGGAACTTACGGAAAAGGAATGGCTTAAAATCTTTCAACTAACACACAGAGGGACCATCAGCTCCAAGTTCCAAGAATGCAACTACAAAATTCTAACAGGATGGTACCGGACGCCAGATATCCTGCAGCACGTGCATGAGTCAATTTCAAACGAATGCTGGAGATGCGGCACAGGAATAGGAACCAGCATTCACATCTGGTGGACATGCCCACGTATCGAACCATTCTGGAGGATGATACATCAGACGACCAAAGACATCACGGGCTCAGACGTCCCATTCCAACCCATGCCACTGCTTCTCAACCACACGCGCACGCCGGTGAAGATCTACAAGAAAGGACTCATACACCTACTCACGGCAGCGAAGTCGCTCATCCCACTCCATTGGAAAAGCTCGACGATTCCAACCCTGCAACAATGGGTAGATAGGGTGGAGATGATATATAACATGGAGATGATGACAGCCTCCCTGCAGGGACGCCAGGAAAAATGCGCTTTGGCGTGGTACCCATGGATGGACTACACATCAAAACGGACGGGAGGAGGAGACCCGGTGGAGAGGGACGGCGCCCCCGCACCAACACAACCCACCCAACAGAGCTCTGCACAGACACAGGCAGTGCCAGACGAGTAGATTGCACCCTCAGCATGACGGAGACACATTTCCTACGCGACACCCCCCCCCCACCCCTCCTACCACATGACACATAGACACACAAAAGACCCGGAGGGACACAACCCCCGGGGGCATGCGGACCGACTTAAGGCTCCGCATAAAGTGGAATCTATGAGTAAGCAGAGACTGAGACGGAGGACCATGGGCCACGGGAGGGGAGGTGTGACCCGCTAGAGCGACATATGGACCAATACACTAGGGGACGGAGGGAAGAGAGAGACCGGGACGCAAGGAACATGGACTCACCCCCACCCCAGACACAAGAAGCCACGACCGGAGCCAGTAGCACCCGGCTCTGACCACGCCAACTAACAACTGGGGCTGCCGCAGGTGGCTTACATAACCCCACACACACCGAACCCAGCGAGACCCAAGATAAGAGATAACAACCTAGACTTAGGTATCCAGAAGAGTCACGGGGACCGTGCTACATGCCCCAGGGATGATATGATCACACCCACCACACGAACGACTCAAACCAGGGACCTGAGGTGACGACACGGCATCTGACACAGACCCCACACACCGCACAACGACAGAACAAGACATCACAGGACAACCCTACATATATTAGCTGCGCCCACGGACAACCCAGGTCAACTACCCCCAGGGAAAACCTAAAACAGATCGACTCAGGGAGACTAGGGGGTAACTACACGGTCATAGGGGCAAAATAATTGGCCCCCTCATGATTTAAGACTGAGCCCATCCACACCAGGCTCATTACGACCTAAACCAACACACAAATCAAACACGAACCAGACTGGAACCCCCATACAAAGCCCCAGACGGTACCCCCCCAAAGAAGGACACACGTAGACAGACATAACACGGATTGGGACAAAGCTCTATATCCATCAACCTGGCACTAGAAACTCGAACAAATCACCATGTACGAGGCTGGGGACAAAGATGAACTACACCACACATAGACGGAGACTACCACAACTCTTAAGTACCATAGGTCACATTAGACCCAATAAGTAAGTGAGGGGAAACCTTGCACTGAGCCAACCTCTCTATTAGGGTCTTACCTACAAATGAGGAAGCTCAGATACCAATGCAGGGTTGCACAACTCCCCCTCTGACCCACGAGCACTACACAGAGCGGTTGAAACAACCCACCCGAAAACTCGCACGAATCTTGAGGAGCAACCACAAACTCCATTCGCACCCAACCACAGAGGGGATTAACCCCATACAGGGCTAACGACAGAACACAACACAAAAGAACGCTCACTGTTATACTGAAGCCAAATACTCAAACACAATTTATTATCCAGTAGTTGAAACTATCTTGATGCTGTAATACACATAACTGACCAGTTTATCTGTTACCACATGTTAATTTATATTGGATATACATGCTGTGATTGAATATTGAAAAACTTAAATAAAGAATGTCAAAAAAAAAAACTCATTAAATAAGAGCAAATCTTGACTTACAACAAACCTTACATATGTACACCTTTCCAAAATATAGTGTTTCTCAAAATAATTGGATACACAATCGACATAGTGATTAAACAACACAGGTCTGTTCAGTTATCCTTCTCTTATAGAGGACATCCCAACAGAGTTAATTTTAACAAAGATCCACAACCTGGAAATGACAATAATCAAAAAGAAGCTAACAAACATTTGCATTGTATGCTGTTAAAGGATATTTAATGCATTTTAATAAATAAATACTTAATGGGTACATGCATACAGAAGCCAAGAGAGGCCATGTATTTTAACTTTTTTCCGATTTGTTATCTCGAGAAAACAACTTGTTATTTCAAGAGAACAACTTGTTTTCTTGAGATAAGTCAGAAAAAATAAATACAAATACATGGCCTCTCTGAGCTTCCGTACACACAAACTTAGCAGGCTAAACTTTACTGTCAACACAAACACACCTGTTTCTGATACCCACAGTTTGTGGACTGTGTTCCCCAGAGTCAATCTCCAAGCTATGGTCAGAAGAACTTAATGGGCTATCATTTTCAGACTTCCCCGCGGCCTGGTCAGATCGTACTTGTATCCCATTTGTCGTATTGCTACAGCAGTTGACTATTGATAGATTGATAAATGCAGGGTCTGCCAAATAGTTTATGGTGGTTTCTAAAACTGGATCGAAAAAGAGATTTTATGTGACCCTGTATGGTACTAATTAAAATCATGCACATTGATTAAGCTTTTTTAAAATCATTTTTATACTTATAAAAGGAATTAATAAGCACCAAAGGTTTACTGAATTAAAATGCAAATGGCAAAATGTAGGCTAACCATATTCCACTGAAGTGGTTATGGTGACAGAAGTACCCTGGCACCCTCCAGGAAAAGTGATCAAATCTTTTGTAAACAGTTTGACAACTTACCTAAGGTCTGCAGGCTCCATCACAGCTTATTCTGGACATGGAAAATCCTGCTAGAAACTTCCAATAGTTTAACCAGCTCATTGGCTGAGTGTCTGTTAATCTCTTTTAGCCAATTGCCTAATCCCTGCTCTGCTGGATTTAGCTCAATGCAGGGAGCTTTCAGTAGCGGTGACTGGAGTAGAGGTGACTGGAGCCTAGAAAACCCCAGGTAACTTGTCAAACCATGTGCAAAAAGTTTAACTAATTACTCTGGAAGGGTGTCAGAGCACCCCTGGTGCCGTACACACTTTAGCGGGTTATAGTAGTTATGGTGCTTGGAGTGTTTCTTTAAGGATTTAAGACACCGGTATTCAAGCAAGGATTCCAAAACAGATATTATAATTATAAACTTAGTAAATGGGAGGATTTATTACCATCACCTCTGAATAGCATAAGATATAAACTCTAATAGAGATATTCCCTAAAGAGTGAATTGTTAGAATTTGTAATTGAAATAAAATTTTAGACCAATATTGTCAAATTGGAAGAACTGCCAAAGCTATTGAGCTATTTTGGCCTAAAATGTAAAATTCACTATGGATTCTTGATAATTCACACTTTAGGTAATAACCCTGTCAGAATTTGCTTGTAGATTCTAAAATTGGGGTAAAAACCCAAGATGCAGAATTAAAGGGGACTTCCAGGCATTTCAACAACTTAATCAGAATTATGTTGTTATGGTGTCAGGAGGTCCCCAAAGTTATTAACCCCAAAGTCTTCTTTTAGAGCCATGTAGCTCTGAAACTGTAAGCTTTGGTGACAATTAACCCCATCTTTAAATTTCTTTTGTGTTTAATATCACCTCTCTGCAATGTCTTAAAGGGACACTCCAGGCACCCAGACCACTTCTGCCCATTGGAGTGGTCTGGGTGCCAACTCCCACTACTCTTAACCCTGCAAGTGTAATTATTGCAGTTTTTTATAAACTGCAATAATTACCTAGCAGGGTTAACTCCACCTCTAGTGGCTGTCTACTAGACAGCCACTAGAGGGCACTTCCTGGTTCCTAGCACAGGAAACCTGTGCTAGAGCGTCGCTGGACGTCCTCACGCTGTGTGGGGACCTCCAGCGTCGCTCATTTCCCCATAGGAAAGCATTGAAATGCATTTTCAATGCTTTCCTATGGGGAGCGCTAATGCTCATGCATTAGGTCTCCCCAGCTGGTGGGTGGGATCAGTGTCGCCCACCGGCCGACGCAGTCAGAAGGAGGAGCAGCGCAGAGGGAGAAGCAGTGACGTGGGACATCGTCGCTGCCTCATGTAAGTTACTGAAGGGGTTTTCACCCCTTCAGCAACCGGGGATTGGGGGTGGATTGTTTTCCTGGCACTGGAGTTTCCCTTTAACCCCTTTAGTGTATTATATCCCCAATTTGTGTCTTACACCTCCTTCAGTGTATGTTAGCAACCATTTTCCCCTTTGTGTGTCTTACACCCTCCTTGTGTGTGTCTTATGGTCCCTGCAACCCATTTGTGTGACTCTTACTTCCCTTCATCCCCTTTGTGTGCCTTTTACTCCCTCCCGCCCCTTTATGTGTCTCTTACTCCCTCAGCCCCTCTGTGTATCTCTTTCTCTCCTTCCCCAGGCCCTCTGTTTATCTCCCCCCAGCACTTCTGTTTATCTCCCCACCCCCAGCCCCTTTGTTTATCTCTTTCTCTCATCCAGCCCCTCTGTGTGTGTCTCTTGACCCCAAGTTCCTCTGTGTGTCTCTTTCTCCACCCCTAGTCCCTCTGTGAGACTCTTTCTCCACCCTTAGCCCCTCTGTGTGTCTCTTTCTCCACCACCAGCTTCTCTGTGTGTTTCTTTTTCCCTCCACCCCTCTGTATGTCTCTTCTCCCCAGCCCCCTCTGTTTTACTTTTCTCCTCTACAGTCCTTCTGTGTGTCATTTTCTCCACATCCATGCCCTCTGTGTGACTCTTTGTCCAACCCCAGCTCATCTGTGTGTCTCTTTCTCCCCCAGCCCCTCTGTGTGTCTACCCCCCAACTATTTTTTTTAAACGTTTCCCTTTAATCATATCATTTATCCTTATCATAGATTATGCAATTATAGCCTTAGTAGCTATTATAAATAAAGTTGTACCTGGCATAACAAGTTCCCAATAATCTGTTAAGCAAATTCTGCAAGTTAATCCATACTAAGGTGCTCTTACTTGTCATGAATTTTGCCACAGGTTAGCTAGGCTGTGAATGTACCATTAAAGTCTGAATATATGCATATTAACACTCCTGAATTAGTACATATATGTAGGGTAATTCACTATAATGTGAAATCTTGTGAAATCCAACTGAATTTTAGATTTTTGTCTAAAATAGCCAAACTGAACTAAGCTATGTTTTCAGTTTGGTTATTTTAGCCTACAATTTGAGATTAAAGGGGCATTATAGTCACAAAAAAACTTTAGCTTAATGAAGCAGTTTTGGTGTAGAGATCATGCCTCTGAAGTTTCACAGCTCAATTCGCTGCCATTTAGGAGTTAAATCACTTTTGTTCCTGTTTATGTAGCCCTAACCACAGCTCCCCTGGCTGTGACTGACACAGTCTGCATGAAAACAAAATGGTTTAACTTTCAATCAAATGTAACTTACTTTAAAACTTCTTATCACCTGCTCTATAAAATGAACTTTAATTACATAAAGGACTCTCTCCTATTGAGTCTAGCAAGCTATTAACAGAGCAGGAGATAATAAATTCTAAATTAATGAGAATTTGCAATAAAGGAAGTATAAACATTAGATGACTCTTTACAGAGGGGCTGGACAGAAGAGACACACAGAGAGAGTGGCAGTGGAGAAAGAGACACACAGAGGGGCTGGCAGTGGAGAGAGAGACCCAGAGTCTCTGGCGGTGGATAAAGAGACACACAGAGGGGGTTGGGGTGGAGAAAGAGACACACAATGGGCCTTGGGGTGAAGAGACACACACAGATGGGCTGAATGGGAGAAAGAGATAAACAGAGGGGCTGGGGTGAGGAGATAAACAGAGGGGTTGGGGGGAAGAAGAGAAAGAGACACACAGAGGGGCTGTGGGAGTAAAAGACACAAAGGGGCTTGGAGAGAAAGAGATACAAAGGGGATGGAGGGAAGTAAGAGTCACGCAAAGGAGTTGAGGGGACCATAAGACACACACAAGGAAGTGTTATGGAAAGTCACATGCAGCGAGGTGGGCCTAGGATTTAATAAACAACATGATTTAACTCTTAAATGGCAGAGAATTGAGCATATAGACTGCATGGGAATGATTTGTACACCAAAACTGCTTCATTAAGCTAAACTTGTTTTGGTGATTATTTTGTCCCTTTAATTAATTTTGCACCCCCAGCAATAACAACTTTAGTGAATAACACTGCTGATTTGGATGGACACATGTCAACACAGTATTATTACACAATTTTACTACTAAAACATATATAGGATTATAATTATATAATAACTTACCACTTATGGCAATGATCTCAGTAAACATGGCCAGTAAATGAACTGAATCTTTCATTGAATTCGGCAACAAATGATTCAGAAGCAATTTTGTTTTCTCGCGCAGAAAATTTACCTCTTCTTCTCGTGTCTTTCCTCTTTTAAAAAACAAAAATGAAATATTGAATCTATCATTTCCAATTTGATGGAAATACTTTGATTTTTAACATAAAAAGTAATGTGGAGAGTATCATCGCATTTAGAATAAAAATAATCTGTAATCAATATGGATACAAATGTTGCAGCAAATTAACCCATTCCTTGTTAAGACAGACAGCCGACAACTGCAATGGTGGAACCATGTAAGAAATTATATTAAAAAGCAGTTTGCTTCCTATGAAAACTGTAGGTTTTGCTTTAGTTTAGGCTTTGATCTTTTCCATACATTTTTGCACTGAACTGGGTATGGTAAAATGTGAAGAAAGTCAAAATATATATATTTTTACAGTTTTGCATATATAAATCTGTACTATGCCATCAGAGCAAAGGTAGGAAGGAGGGGAGAGAAAGATGAATAAGGTATCTATAAGAAGAGAGAAACAGGGAAAGTGGAATGAGGACTATATGAACCAAAAAGGAGGAGACAAGTGATGGAAGAAAGGGATATGGGGAGAGGGCTGCAAGTGGGGAGAGGGGAAGAGATCATGTCTGTAAAGATACATAATTAGATGGGGATGGAGAGAAGTGCAAGGAGCCTATAGTGATAGAAGCCCAATGCACAAACACACACCTGCATACATGCACACTAACCCTTCACACAGATATACTCCTGCATGCACATACTGGCACTCTGCAAAAAACACACTAGTGTATTCACACACTAATACGCCATACAAAAACACCCCTCATTCACAGGCACACACTAGCACTCCACAAAAGTATATCCTTACATTCACCCACAATGTAACACCCAATGCAAATATACGCTTGCAATTCGTACCTATTTTAAACATTAGAGTGTTGCATATTACATTTTTAATATATTTCTTTTTAAAATAGAAAAGTAAATAAAAAAAAAAACTAATGAAACTTAGCACAGGCTATATAGAGAGCTTTCTGCCAAACACATGCTTCTCATAGCAGAGATGTACTGGACATTACTCTGTGAGAAGTCCTGCACACACTTGGTATCATCATGCTCTGCATGATCACACACAATGTGAAGATCTTGAAAATATCCATTGCCAAAGAAAAGGAACATGATCTATGCACTAAAAGTACTTAGATTATTGGTGTCTCTTTAATCATGACAGGTGCATTGTCGTCACATGCAGGGCTGTCTTTACCGCGGGGCAAACGGGGCAGCTGCCCCGGGCCTAGTTACTCCTGGGAGGCCTGAAGCAGCTGCACCGTGGGCCCCGCTGGCCTCAAGCATTTCTCTCACCCACCGGTGCAGCCACACACTAAGGAGGCCCACCGGGTGTCCCTTGCACTAAGGGCCACCCAGTGGGTTTCTGTCAGCAGGGGCCCGGTCTTGTGCTATGGCGCTTTAAGAGCGTGACCGGGCCCTCTTGCTTTTCGTCAGTCTGCTGGGAGGAAGTGATGGCCGCAAGTCACTTTCTCCCATAAACAGAGTAGCGCGCGGGAAGAGGAAGAGACAGAGCAGAGGGGGTCTGGGCCATGCTAGCCAGACCCCAACTCCCAACAGCTTCAGCCACCAGTGGGAAAGCCACTCTCCAAGGTGGGAAACTGGAGGGTGGGTTTAATGGTGTAAATGTTGTGTGTGTGTGTGTGTGTGTGTATTTGTGAATGTCTCAGTATATGTCTGTATGTCATTATGTCTGTCATTGTATGTGTCATTATGTCTGCTAGTGTGTGTGTGTGTCAGTATGTCTGTCAGTATGCCTGTCAGTGTGTGTGTGTCAGTATGCCTGTCAGTATGTCTTAGTGTATGTGTGTCAATATGTCTATCAGTGTATGTGTCATCGTGTCAGTATGCCTGTGTGTGTGTCAATATGTCTGTCAGTATATGTGTGTGTGTCCGCATATCTGTTAGTTTATGTGTCTGTGTGTGTCCACATGTACGTCAGTGTGTGCGTGTCTGTATCAGTATGGCTCTTTTTGTCAGTACGTGGGTGAGTGGGTGTCAGCATGTCTGTCAGTGTGTCAGTATGTCTGTGTGTCTTTCAGTATATATCTGTCTATGTGTCAGTATGTCTGTCAGTTTGTGTCTGTGTAAGTATGTCTATCAGTGTATGTTTGTGTGTCAGTTTGTCTGTCTCTATGTGTGTATCTATATGTTGTCATTGTGTGTATCTGTGTGTGTATCAGTGTGTGTATATATGTGTGTGTATCTATATGAAGTCTGTATGTGTATCTGTGTATCTGCAAGTGTGCCAGGTGTGTATATGTGTGTCTGTGTAACTGCATGTGTGTCAGTGTTTGTATATTTGTGTATGTCAGAATGTGTATCGGTGTGTCTGTATCTTTGCCAGTGTGTATCTGTATGTTGTCTTTGTGTGTTTCGGTGTATCTGTATGTTGTCAGTATGTGTATCTGTATGTTATTTGTATGTGTGTCTGTGTATCTATGTGTCAGGTTATGTATATATGTGTCAGGTGGTGTATTTATGTGTTAGTGTGTATGTATATATGTGTGTCTGCATGTGTTTCAGTGTGTGTAGATCTACGTTTGTTTGTGTGTGTGTATATGTACATACATCTCAACATTCACACGCTAACTCTACACACAAATACACCTCTGCATTCAAGCTTCATCACTACATACAAATACACTCTAGAAAACAGGTAAAGTACCAGCGCTGATATATGAATAAAGTATGACACAATTATATAAAGAATCCCACTAATTTCAGCTGCTATAACACCCCAATCTTATCTTTCAAAAATGCAGTAAAACCGGTGTATGGGTGAAGCGCTATATAAATGGATAACCAAAGTGGAAAGAAACCAGACGAAAAGAAACAATCAAAAGAGTTTTGGCAAAGACTTGTAAAATTTAATAAATATGTACAAATGTCTTGTTCTCCTCCTTCTTTCTGCCTGCGATGATGCCGGCGTAATATGACATAGGAAAGCTGAACCGCAAGCCGGAAGGCAGCTGGAACGCAAGCTGGAACGCACGGGTATGACGTGACGGCTTGCGATCGAAAAAAACGGAAGTGACGAACCGACAGTAGTACCCGGAAAGGGAGAAGGAAAGAGGCTTGACACGCTGTGCGTCACCATCCCCATGGTGATAGCCCGCGAAAATTCAAGCCGTAAACCAAGCATTTTCACCCCAGGAGGGGTACATATAGCAGGAGCCAGTACAAGAGGGTAACAGACTTTTTTCACATCCAGCTGAGGAAGCCTTCACGGCGAAACGCGTCCTGGGAACATTGTGAGCAAAAAGACTTTTAAATTACTGGACTTTTTATGCCATTATAGTGTTTTTTGTATATATATTTTTTATATTTATATTGTACTTATATTGTATATATAGTCAATAAAGTTTATATTTTTGAGATACACTATTGGCATTTTCCTGCTATTCACAAAGAAGGAGTGTGGTCCTTAATCCACATAAGATATTGGATCAGAGCCAATGTGGATGGCTCTGGGTTTGTAAGTACCCTATTTCCCTTACGATAATATATACACCTAGCCTACGTTATTGCACCAGAGGTATTTTCCCTTATACATTCCAGAATACAAGAAAGGAAGAGTTAAAAGAAGGGATAAGAGTCGCTTCTACGGACTCAAAAAGTGCTTCAATTGAGCTATACCCCTCTAGCTCCTAAAAGTGTGAGTGGGCCCTTTGTATATTTTTACCACATCTTTTATCATTACAGATTTGCACTATGTTTGGATTTTTCTGTTTATGTTTTTAGGAAATCCCTATAAAGGAGTATTGTGAATTATATTAATAGAAGGTATATTTTCATCTTTCTGGTGTTTATCACTTGGTACTATCTCTCCACTTTGGTTATCCATTTATATAGCGCTTCACCCATAGACCGGTTTTACATACAAATACACGTCTGTGTTAAACACCAACATTATATGTATACACACCCCTGCATTCAAAAACCAACCCTAAACATAAATGCATGCTTACATTCAAACGCCAACACCACATACAAACATATTCCATACAAAAACCTGTTTACATTAAAACACACAAAAACTGCTCAGTGCTAAATGCAAACCTGCAAACATGGGTAAATGGTAGAGCCCCAGCTGCATTGCTGGAGTTGCACGACAGATGGGGATCTACCTTTTAAACATCCTTGCAATAGGGAGGCCCAAAAAAATATTCTTGCACCTCTCTACTTTAGGTTGCCACTGCATTAAGAGTAATAACTTGATTGCATGCTTGGGAAGGTTGTACAGGGTCCAGGGGGCCCAAATGGTAGAGCCCCAGCTGCATTGCTGGAGTTGCACGACAGATGGGGATCTACCTTTTAAACATCCTTGCAATAGGGAGGCCCAAAAAATATTCTTGGACGTCTCTACTTTAGGTTGCCACTGCATTAAGGTTGATACCGTGATTGCACGCCTGGAAGGGTGTACAGGGTCCAGGGGGCCCAAGCAAATGCTTTGCCCAGGGTCCAATCAATATTAAAGATGGCCCTGGCCATATGGGCAGGTGGAGATTTCCCAAAAACCCATGCCCCGCCCCTTTACCAATTAAACACAGCCACTCTAAGGTATTGGTCAAAATGTCCACAGCTTTATTAACAATATAATAATAATAATATAATAATATCTCAAAATGTCAAAATATCAACAGAAACATTTAAAGTCATAGCCCCGCCCCTCCACCCATACATCATAATATATATCCCATATGTCATAAAGAAAGGAAATGACCACTATAGTAAACATTATAATAACAATGTAACAACACAGAAATATATACAAAATTAAAGTGCAACATAATGGTAGGGGTATACCCGGATACCCCTACACCTCCAAAGTTCTGAGTCACCGACGGGCTCAAAACCCGCCACCATTATACCAACATTGTAACCAACCAATTTGGAACAAGTCAGCCGACTTCCTTAACTCTTCTTAATTAAACCAGAGACCACGTTTCACCCTAGCCTTCTCTCACCAACCCCTCTGCTGTGACTAAGCGAGACTGGAACCACTCAATCTAACCAAGGGAGAGAGGGAGGGACCAATCCAGAATGGGGAGTAATTAGTTGTGACCAAACTAAGATGGGCGACCTATTTATAGTAGGCCTGCCCCCCAACCAAAACTACCAATCTTAGAAATCCCCACCTAAGCCTGCCTCCAACCTAAACTACCAATCTTAGAAATCCCCACCTAAGCCTGCCCCCCAACCTAAACTACCAATCTTAGAAATCCCTACCTAAGCCTGCCCCCCAACCTAAACTACCAATCTTAGCCATCCCCACCTAAGCCTGTCTCCAACCCTGTCAAGGTCCCATTTTACTGCGCTTGCTCCATGGGGCTACATTCTTACTGTATACATCTAATAATATAACATCAGTTGCTTACACACATCCACCTTGTAACATACCCTCACCTCACTTCCAAATAACTTGCAGCCAACCTCCTTGTCACACATACCCTCACCTACCCATTTACACCCACCATCCTGACACATCCACAGTTCCACACACAATTCACCTACTTACACCCAGTCACACATTGCCATTCAGCCACCCATCCAACCACATACATACAACAAAACTCACAGCAATATACAGTGTGCATTAGTGTATCACAGAGCTCCATAGCAATAAAACTCACAGCAATATACAGTGTGCATTAGTGTATCACAGAGCTCCAGGGCAATAAAACTCACAGCAATATACAGTGTGCATTAGTGTATCACAGAGCTCCATAGCAATACAACTCACAGCAATATACAGTGTGCATTAGTGTATCACAGAGCTCCATAGCAATACAACTCACAGCAATATAGAGTGTGCATTAGTGTATCACAGAGCTCCATAGCAATAAAACTCACAGCAATATACAGTGGGCATTAGTGCATCAAAGAGCTCCCTATCAATAAAACTCACAGCAATATACAGTGTGCGTTATTTTATCACAAAGCTCCAGGGCAACAAAACTCACAGCAATATACAGTGTGCATTAGTGTATCACAGAGCTCCATAGCAATAAAACTCACAGCAATATACAGTGTGCATTAGTGTATCACAGAGCTCCATAGCAATAAAACTCACAGCAATATACAGTGTGCATTAGTGTATCACAGAGCTCCATAGCATTAAAACTCACAGCAATATACAGTGTGCATTATTTTATCACAAAGCTCCAGGGCAATAAAACTCACAGCAATATAAAGTGTGCATTAGTGTATCACAGAGCTCCATAGCTATAAAATTCACAGCAATATAGAGTGTGCATTAGTGTATCACAGAGCTCCATAGCAATAAAACTCACAGCAATATAGAGTGTGCATTAGTGTATCACAGAGCTCCATAGCAATAAAACTCACAGCAATATACAGTGTGTATTAGTGTATCACAGAGCTCCATAGCAATAAAACTCACAGCAATATAGAGTGTGCATTAATGTATCACAGAGCTCCGCAAGAAGCAAAACTCACACAGTAATGAGTGGGGTGTATGATTCTACTAGAAACTGAATAAAACTGTCATGTCACGGTCGTGCACATTAATATATACCACAGAGCTCCACACCGAGCAAACAGTAATGTTTGCTATGTAGGAGTGTATTGCAGAGTTCCTTCGTAGAGTTCCGAAATTGTGGTGTGCAGAGATGATTATTACCAAGAAAATGTGTTACCACTATTTTATTTTTATTTTTTTTATAATTCTTTATTTTTGTTGCGCACAGCTTACATAATAGGTTACAAAACAGTAGTACACGTTAGAATACTATAACATTGCAGTCATTGCGGTAGTGGTTCTGCACAATTTTTACATGTTTAAATGTAGGAAGAGCATATGGTAAGATAAACAGGTTAGTAGTTAGGTATAGAACTGTGTGTCTTGCTAGGTGTTATGAGGGCAGGCTGCCACAGGATATCAGCATGTCAAAGATTGGTTGTCAGGTAGCGCTGTGATACTAGGGAAGCCTGATTAGTCGTCGTTACTGAACAGGGTCTGCCCAAGTGTTAAGAGCTAGTAAGCCTCTGGGCTGCTTAAAATTACGTGAGCTTCAACATTTAGGATTAAACTAAGGCATCACTAAGCTGAAATAAAAGTTTAACAAGGTATCATTGCTTTGTAGGTTATGAGAGATCAAATATAAACCACAAGCTTGATAGGAACTGTTAGGGTTCCCGTGAGGTTTGTCCCAGGTCAGTCCGTTTGCCAGGCAACATAAGGGGCGCAGAGGGGAGGCAGTGTTAGCGGTCTTCAACCAATACCCTGTGCATGCCATCGTGGACAGTTCATCCCATGTTCGGGTATCTCGGTCCCCTTGTCTGGTGTACGGGAACTCAGGCTGTGCTGCAAATGCTGTAGGCTGGTTGGGACACTCTGGGTTTGGCGCGGGTCGCTTCTCCCTCTCTGGTGGCGGGTTGGTTTCCGCACACCACAGTCTTGGTGTCGCTTAGGGGTCGTATCCTGCTGTGGAGGGGGGTGGCTGGTGGCTCTGTGCCGGCGCTGTCTGCAGCGGTGAGGCCGCGATCTGTATGCATGGTGTTTTGGGGTTTTGCGTCTCTTGGCCCCCGGCGCTGGTGGGCTCACCATCGTGGGTTGTGGTGGCCGCGAGGTGAGAATACTTGGTGAGGGTTTCTCTTTCAGCCTGGGCCTGTTCTCACGAGTCTCTCCTCCGAGATGAGGTGTTGTGGGCTGCAGGTGTATCTCCACAGGGTCCCAGAGCCTTTCAATGAATTTCTCCAGCCTCCGCCAGGCTTGTTCCGTGGGGCTGAGCTGGAGCGCTTCAGACTGCATGTGTCTGGGTTCACTCTGACAGAAGACAGCCGCCATCTTGTGTTGTGCGGTAGTGGGTTGGCAAGGGCTATTGCAGCTGTGGGGATAGTTATCGCCACTGATTGCAAGCTTGTGCGGACCGGGATAGCCCCCACCGGTCCAAAGGGGGGGAGGGGTTAAGCACGAAGCTCAATACGTTGCGGTTTGTTTTGATTCCCGTCTAGGAGGTCGGCCGTTCCTCCCGCCCGAGTCTCGCTAGGCCGCAGTTTTCCAGCATCTGGTTTTCAGTCTCTGTGGGCCACTCGATCGCAACGGCAACAGTCCGGTGTGCTTTCAGCTTTCTTGGGTCCCTTTTAGTGTCGATTAGGAGTCGGTGAGCCTGTGGTTTCGTCGTTTTAATTTAGTTTTAGGAGAGGAGCTCACCGACCATGCGACCGCTCAGTATGGCGTCCAGGCCCCGCCCCCGTTACCACTATTTTTAAGAACACACATTAAATCACAATGCCATGCACTGCTAAAACTATTTACAATAAGGATATTATTACAGAGAATGTTTACTTACTGGTTGGTGATCTTGTTTTTTCGGAACCTCCGTAAATGTTTAGTTAACCCATTGGCTACAATTAGAATTAGTTTGCTGCTTTCAATACGGCACATTTTTTGTTTTGCATTATTATAGATATCCAGTATGCCATTGTTTACTTGTTTATAGAGAGGATGATTCTCTATCTTTCCTGGGGCTTTCAGCCACAAATCAACATATGTCTGATAGATGGCCTTAGATACTGTTAAGGGAAAAATATACAATGAATAAAAAGAGAACAAAGGATATCAAAACAGTTATGCAGAGTGTGCAAATTTACAAAGCACAGAGTGTGATCAAAACATTTGACTGAGAAATGAAAATGAAAGAAAGTATCAATACAGACTGTGGGAAACACATTATATAATATAACTCAAGAAAAAATATATAACTTACATCTAAAACTGTTGACCTTGATCACATACCATTTAAAAAAAAAAATTGAGTAGCTTAAAAAAGGGCAGCATGTATTAAATAGAAGGTTAGAAAAAATTAATTAAGACCTCGATTTATTATTTTTGGATAAACTTTCCAAGTGATTTAATATTTTGAATAATCTTTTTAAAAAGATTTTAAAATACATATATATAAAAAGCATATCATATATAAAATTATAATCTAAATATGACATCATTTTAAAAGTGTATGCAAAAATATTAACTCATTTGAAAAGCTTATCCACAAAGATTACGTCATATTACAAAATATGAAACTGGTAGGGCTTCCAAAAACACCCCACACTTTCTCAGACAGAAAGTCGATAGGAGAAGGCAGGAAATGAAAAGAGTAGAGCTTACAAAAAAGGGGAATATACAGTAACTGACATCCACAGAGACAATAGGGTCCAATGAACCAGCGAGTCACTGTTCATTAGGTCTTATCTGGCCAGGCATCGCTAATTTTGTGATGTTTGTCAATTCTCCATTTAGAGGTTATTTCCTCCATATCATGCTTAAATTACATTTCTGACATGAATATCTCGAAGTATCTCAAAAATATCTTCTCTCCAGTTCTTAACAACACAGGTAATTGTGGTAATACAAATCTTACTACACAGCTTGAGAATGTTAGTACGAAGACAAGTCAATGCTGGAGACAAATTCAGGAGTGCCGAACCTGGATCTGGATTGATGGATGTATCTGGATATGGAATTCTCTGCCTGAAGAAGTGGTTTTATCAGAGTCCATACAGATGTTCAAACATAATATTCAAGGATATAATCTTTCAATGTAGGGTAATAACTGCTTGATCCAAGGATAAATCTGACTGCCATTCTGGGGTCAAGAAGGAATTTTTTTCCTAGTTTGTTGCAAAATTAGAAGTGCTTATAACTGTGTTTTTTGCCTTCTTTTTGATCAACAGCAAAAAACAAATGTGAGAAAGGCTGAACTTGATGGACGCAAGTCTCTTTTCAGCTATGTAACTATGTAAGATGAGAATACCGCAATAAGATCATATTCCCACCACGTATGAAAATATGTCCTGGCTCAGACAATTCACGTGAACATTTTAAAGACCGGACAGGATAGATATACCAACATGAAATTCATTAATAACCATTCTCTTTGTTTATGGTGCATAACAAGAGGTTGTAACATGTTGTGTCACCCTTTGCCATCCACCAACCCATCCTTTACTGTCTTTCTCACTACCCAGGTCAAACTCCCATAGTCTCTAAAAATGTCTACTTTAGTATTATTGTGCAGACAGTGTATTGTTAATATATTTCCACCAGCAAAACAGTCAAATTTTTATAGCTTTTCAAACTTAGTCAGGTATGGTAGATCCCGACTTCTCACTACAACTTCCAGGTAATGGGAGATTATTCCAAAGTTATCATTCCAGACATTGGCAGTTATCAAAAATGCCTTCATAAGTGGAAGTCACCTGTGATTAACATCAGCAATAGAAATCACATCAATGTCCACCATAAATAATTATCTGGTTCTCTCTTACATTGATGGTAAAAACAAGGATTCACGTTCACCAATGACATGGACGTTTCCTTAGTAGACAGACCACCTCTATATACATGGTTTCTCCATATGCGGTAATTGTGTGCTGTTGTCGGCAGCAAATTGTCCAGTAGTCCTTATGCACCTTGCTCCAAATGATGTCTGAACGATGCTATCGAGAACAAATGGCATCCTCAATTTTCACCGGTCACTTGTGACCTATTGGGGAGATTCCCATTTAAGAGTTTGACCCAGTCGAGCTGCTGTGTAGAATATAACAGGGTCAGAGACAACAAGGCCTCCTGAACACCTAGACTGTAGAACAATTGTAGATGATAACCTCACTTTTTATCTGCCGGTATAAAGTGTAACATGCTGTCTCTAGTTTTTGTGATTTTTTTTGCTGGGAGTGGGATTGGATGAGTTCTAAACACGTAAAGCAATTTTGGTAAAACCATAATTTTTACTGTATGAACATGGCCAATCAGGGAAATATTGTAGGGCATCCAGTAGACTAGAAGAATTTGTATTTCTTTGAACAGGGGTGGAGAACAGGGGTGAGAAACTTCCATAGAGGCATGACCCTCATTCCCTGATATCTCATTTGTGGTCATTTTATTTTGGAACGAAATATAGAGGTGATATCGAGAAACTTCTTATCTCCCAAGGAAATATTTAGGCCAGCACATGTTTTTGGATTCATTTTAAAGTCTGAGAGTTTTGAGAACATGGAGATAAATTTGTATGGGCCTGGTAGTTTAACTGTTGGTCTGGTAACAGTAAAAAGTATATCATAAGTAAAAATGCTTAATTTGTTTACTGTCCCTGCATGCCTATTTACAGAGAAATCCTTTCTCTCTCTGATTGCACAGGGCAATCCTGCCTGGTACTGTTCTTAATCACACACCGAGCACAGGACCTCCATCGCAAATACTCTTTCCTTGTGGTCTTTGTGAGTGGAATGAGGGGTGTGGAAGTCCGGCTTGGTCCAGAATCTCCCAGAGAAAGCTCCAATCCACCTGGTCAAAAGCCTTCTCTGTGTCCAACACTAACAACACTGATTGACAGCCAAATTTCTAACAGATATCAATGGTATCCAAAACAAGTCTAATGGCATTTAGTGCCACATGCCTTACACTAAAACCCACCCAGTCCAGGTTGAGGAGAGTAGGCAGAAGAGGACGATTAGTTAATTTTTTAGCATACATCTTGATGTCCACATTGGACTGGCTTGTAGCTGGCGCATCGAGTCATAGCCATACCATTTTTTCAGCAAGACTACAATATGTACATTTAATAACAAGTTCCACAATCTATCTCCCTTGAATATTGTGTTAAATAGGTTCCTTTGATGTGGGGACAGTTCATGTCTAAACTTATTAAAGGACATGGCTGTAAAATCATAAGGCCCTTACCCGTTTTCAGATTTTCTTTCACTTGCATCATGAATCCCGTAAATTTATAATGAAGCTCTCCTCCTTAAATTTTTTAGCCAATGTGTCAAGTTTGTTGGCCTTTTCAAAGAATAGCCAATCAGTTCTCTGTAATCCTTGAATCACTGCGTCTGAACACAGTCCATTTATTTTCTGAGTGAACATCACAGATTTCTTGCAGGACTCACAAGTCTCGACTCACCTGATGTGTTGTCACTAGATGTTTAAGTTTTTTTCATCAGGCGGCTCATTGTTTGTTCATGTTTATGTTTACGGTTTAAATGAAAGTTTATGGTTTAAAGAGCAATGTGTGATAAATGCTTTGAATACAACACAAATAAGGCTAACAGATAAGTTGTCTTGATTATTTTCTGAAAAGTAGAGATTTATGTGAAAGGTGACCTCTGCGCAGACATATACCTATTAGTGTTAAGTGTAGTGTTAAATGGTCATGTGACAACCACGATCGCACAGCTGTCAATAAACCTTTTACTATATTGTGAAATCGAATAGTAGTGTAGTCTTGAATACATTTTCCTTTGGTGAAAGTAGAACGTGGTAAAGTCATTCTGTGTTGCATGACTCACTCTCCAATCGTTGCAGTGATGAATCACCTGAAGCAGATGATTAAAAATGCCAGAGTTCAATTGAGAAGAGCAATGGGTTCCTAAAGGAGCTCTATCACCGTGGTTTTCTAAAATAGCATTAAAGTCACCCCCAATGAGGAGTAACCAGGGACTCCAGCATGGAAATTAGTTTCTCATAAAATCATCGGTAATTTTCACTGGGGGCAAAAACATTCAGGAGGCTAATAATGAACAAAGGGATTAAATAGCATACAGCCCCCTGCATTGTTTGGCGGAGGCATGTGCATGGAACAGTTTTGTGAATAGTTTTCTCTGATTTGAGGGGATCAAGTTTTTGCAGAAATTTTATGTACTCTTTCATCATTGCAAAGGATGCCAAAGCTATCGTTCAAACCCTTCATTTTATAAGTAACAAAAGAAACTCCATGGTTGCGCCCGGCACCGTACATCAGGAGCAAACAAACAAATCTAATAACACAGGAAGGGGGAGGAGGGACATTCCCAAAAGGAACAAAACACTAGAAGGGTAAATAAGATATGTAAAGGTGAAAAATAGTAGACGGAGAATAAGAATGATAAGAGCATACTAAAGAAGTAATTAAAAATGTTTTCAAAAGTAAGGATTAAATTACAGCTAGTAATGTGTAGTAATGCACGGCACAGGCCAAATGCAAGTTTTCACATATGAAAGTTAAAAGAAAAGGTGAAAACTAAACTGCACATTTAAAAAACCAGTCTGTGTTGTTTCAGCCAGACAATACGTTCTGATTTTTAAAAAAATGAGCTGCCTGCCAAGCCTTAGTAATGAGTAAACAGTGAACCGAAAGTAAATTGTACATTGTATGTAAACAATAGGCTCCTATATAATTAGTGAAATATGATAAGTCAAGGAATACGTGAAGGAGCCAGGTATTGTACAGTGCAGACTGTAAACTGGGGTTCCAAAAAACATGCTGCACAAAATCATGCAAAAATATTTTCCAGTAACAATCAAGTCAACCTAAGTTACCCACTTTTGATGTACTAAATCATTCAACATACAAATGCAAGTCTAAACACTGTTGTCAGAATGTCAGATTTTCACCCTAAAGAGTTACTCTAAGCACCAAAAACACTTCAGATTTCTGAATTGGTTATAGGGCAAGAACCCTGTCCATGCAGTCTTTCATTTCAAAGTCCGTTACTCCTTTTGGATAATGGGTACTGAATTGGAGTGTGACTTTTGTACAGCCTGTGTGCAGTGTGAGTATACCACAGGCTTGACTTGGACTGAGCTGTCTTTCCAACAGTGAACATTACTATGCATAGCTCAGTCTAGTGGTTATGTTGACAAGAGTCTATGGGTGTCCCACATTTTTTGTCAAAAACCAAGGCTCTCCCTGACATGCAAAGACTGCCCCAACAGTCAATTATGATTGATTATGTGGAATTTACACTTGCATGTTATCTTTATCAATTTTGTCCAGCCTGGAAGAGAGATAGACTAAAAGCAATGGGGGAAGATTTTTAATTCTTTATTTTTGTTGTGCATGGTAATTGGTACAGAAAATCAAAGAAATTGTAAATGGTAGGGTTAAAAAGAGGTAACATATAGGTTATTATAATACATGTCTGAATCACTGCACATTTTATTTTAAATCCTGTTTCAATGAACAAGCTAGTTAAGCATGTCTAGGGAAGTAGTGTGCTAGCTAGCACAAAAAGTTGTCTAGACATTCAAAATGCATGTATAATGCGTGTAAATGAATGTAAAGCAGAAATAAGCAAAATCATAAAGTATACCGAAAAACATGCTACTACTAACTGAGACACTATACTACCACTGGGTACTTGTAGTGAACGGAGACACAGAATGCCCTGCATTGCAGACTGGCTTGTTTGTGAATTAGCAGGATCTTGCCGTCAGAATTTCATCCCACCCCACTTATGGGCCACTTCAGACAGTCCATCAATATTACAGGAATGTTGTCGGTGCTCGTCTTCATGCTGCACGGTGGGAAAGACTTGTTCCATGTGTTTCCGAGCTCTAGGTAGGCCGCTGCACCATAGTTCAACACCTCCTAACGCCCAGGCTATAAGGGGAGCCCTCTCTGCTTATCCAGTGATGCTCATTTGCCCCTCTGCATGGTATCGGGCTCAAGGCATCACCAGAGGTTGGGAAGCTTGTTGGGTAAGTGGAGATCTAGTCACAAATTTTGTTCAGATGGGCCTCCCTCCTGGAGTGGGATCGATAATCGAATACCGCAGCTCAGGTTGCAGGCTGAGTAGTGGTGTGAGGTCTGCCATATATGAGCTCCCAGACTTCCTTACAGAGCCAGTTATTTCTATTCAAATCATTAAGAAAGTTTAAAAGTGACCCCTCTGTATCTCTCCAAACAATAAAAATACAGTCTATGTATCGTTTGTAGAGGACCAGACTTGCCCCAAGTTCTTCCTTAGAAAAAACTTCCAACTCCTCCCAGTATGTATGGGCAAGTATGTAATAGAAACAGACTTTCCAAAATGGTGTCTGAAGTACTTCCGGGTAACGTTGTCATAATGACGTCACGACATAGGATGCGTAAAGATGACGTCGGACGCAAAAAGATGACGAATGCGGAAGTAGAAACCGAAAGTCACCAGGAAAGCGCCAAAATTTGGGTTTATAAACAGAACTAGCAGAGATGAACAAATTACACCACTTTAAAGAAGGCATTCCGCCGAAACGCGTCAGTGGCATATTATATGGACTGAATTTTATCTGTAATTCGTTTTTAATGGAAGTTTAAATAAAATTATTTACTTTTGATCCTGTATCCTGAATTCTTGGAATCTGAGTGCTTCCAGACGAATTTGGCTTCATCTGGGCCGTTGCAGAAGTCCATCTTTATTAAGATTCATCTCTGCTACAAACCTATAGTCTGAGTCAGCTTTTTTAAGTGACTCAGCAGCATGTGAGTTTGACCAGTTATTCACAGATTTGTACATAAGTGTAAACTGTATTACCCTATGGTCTTTTTATGTTTTATATTCTTTTAGGTATATATTTATACCAATACTGGTAATATCTTTATTTATTAATTTGAGTGCTCTCACCACCATCATTTTTTACACTTTGTTTCACTATTTATGTGTGTTTGAGTGATTCACACAAGGTGATAGTAGCACCTAACATTCACTGGTTCCAACGAATGGTATGATTTTCTAAGTTATTTGGAAGGGTTTACATTTGTTTTGTTGTTGATTTTAAAATATTTGAATTTATCAATAACAGGATAACAGGATAACAGGATAAGGTATACTGAGAATTACTGAAGTATTTAAATGCGTCTAGGACTTCCGTGTTTCCCTTTTCTGCAGTCGGACTGGCTAAATACACACTTATTCAATTACACTGCATTCATGTGTGATAGTCACATCAATTGCAGGATATATAAATTAACAAATTTATCATACCGTTTTTAAGGGCATCCCAAACTTCTGAATTGTTAGGAGTATCCACCACGTCCTCCGGCTCCTATGAAAAGAAACAGTCACTATCATTACTTGTACATTTGTGTTTGTAAATAAGCATTGATAAAAGACATTGGTGAATAAATGCAGCTATTTCACTTTGAGGAAACCATGTCCTATTCTATGGGATGCAATGCTATGGAACATGAGGCTTTTCTAAATTATCTTAATGTTTTAATAGAAAAAATAAATAAATATTGACAATATTATTTTCAGTTTTATTTTTAAAGGAACACTAAAGCATTAAGAATACAAAACGTGGGGGGGCGGGGCCTGACCGCAGGACTGAGAGGAAGCAAACCTCTGCAGCTCCTGCCGAACAGTGCAAAAAAGCGAGGAAAAAGCCACAAAAACGACACTACTAAGCTAATCAAAGGCCACCAGGTGACAGACGACACCGGGACACATACGGCGATATCAAACGAGTGACACATGCCCCGGTATGTACCGGCCACACGGATAAGGCCTACCAGCATGGCGGGAGCGGGAGGGACGGCCGCCCTCCCTCCACCAAGACAGGCCAGAAAAGTGCCCCAGAACACCCGTTCCCCCCCCTATGGACCGGTGGGGGTCATCCCGGTCCACCCCTACGCAACTCTCTGGCAGAGCGGGAGGAGAGAGACAGAGACAAGGAGGCACGGGACTCCCGCCTCTGTAGCCCGCAAGATGGCGGATGTCCCTCACACTGCAGGCCCAGGAGATGCGGAGCTCGACACGGAACTCAGACTGAATGCAATTTTCGCCGCGTTTTGGAAGAAGTTAGAGGCGCGCATGAGACCCCAAGCTCCTGAAGTCATCCTACAACAGGGCTCTCACGGAGCTGATAAGCGGGTAGTGCGGACCCCCGACCCCAGATACATGCCCGCAAACAAATGTCGCCTGCAAAGAACGGCCAGGAGGCCCAACACTCGGTGCCTCGCAAAAAGCAGCAGTGGACCGGGGCTAATACCTGAAACCGCACAGGTACTCAGGAAGCACCGACCCAAACAACCAGCCTTAGCAGCAAACAATCGGCATGAAATCGGACAAGGCAAACCTCGCCCGGAACGAGCGGTGGGTCAGCAGGGCAGAAGTCTCTACAAGATGACCGCGCTAAAGAGACAGTCCCAGAGCCGCAGCGAAGCACCCAACGCAATGGGGCTCACCAGGGGAAAGATCTGGCAAGGAGACATAGACGACGACCCGCACAAGATCCATCACGCCAGCACCACCCTCCGAGCATCAGGCGTGGGATGAACAACCCGGACTGGACTCTAAAAACCGTGAGCTCCATATTGCTCAGTATATGGCTTCATATGTCATACCGCTTAACATACCTCGGACTAGATTCATCATTGCTATATGGACTGTCCATTCAAAGCAGAACCTAGTTAACGCAGATCCTGTGTAAATGAGCAGACTCCAGCTATTAATATGTTTTCTTTTCTGTGCCATACCTGCCTCGCTCTCCTCTCACTCTCTTATAACAAGCAACAACTACATGTCATGCTTGATACGCTTGCACTATATCTTTTTTCATACACTCTTGCCTACTGAAACACCTTAATTGTAAAATTTAAGCATCTACATAGCATGCCATAGTATTGTTTTCTGTTGTGTTTCTTCCTCGCCACAAGCGTATATGTTTTACTTAGCATGCACTTCCTACTCATGCTATACTTACCTTAACACTTAATCCAGAAATGCGACGTATAGCCTGTAACCTAAGCATATTATTTATTTTGTTTTACTTTAATCTAACGATTTCACTGTCTAACCAAGCTTGTTACCATTACATAACATGGGTAATCTCTTAAGCCACTGTCTAATCTTAGTACTTCGTTCAACACGATGTTGTGGCGTCAGTCAATGGATATTAGACCTCTTAATTATCGTTACCTTTCCTATTTAAAAAATGTATGCATACCCTATATGCCACAATACTGTTATAAAATTGTTTTGGAAATCGAGCCTGATGACGCTGTTGTGGCGATACAGGCACTGTTGTACCTATCTGCATACCAAAAATAAAGAATTATAAAGAATACAAAACGTTTAGATACCCCCACCCCCCAAACCTTGCACCGCATCCCGTGTGTGCATATAAAATAAAATAAAGACTTTTACTTAACTTTTTTTAGCACCAAGACTCCCTCAATGCTGCATTCCTCTGTGTCTCCTGTGATGTCATGGAGGCAGAATAACGTCCCCCCTGATGGTCCAAAGAGGAGCATTGAGGATCTGATGCGCATGCGAGATGAGCACTACTCACGCATCCAAGCTTTTCCATAGGAAATTTCCATTGAATCATGTGGGGAGCTTCTACTTCACATGACCATGTTTTATCGGGCAGTTTCTCGGTAGCTCCTCTTGTGGCCAGGGCCGGCGCTTCCTGTAGGCCAATTAGGCGGCCGTGTAGGGCGGCGCCGGCACACGCTTTACTGCTCTACTTGTTTGGTCGCCCCTCTATGTTGAAGTAATTATACAAACCATGTTACAGGGCACTAGGGACCACTTACATAGCTGCTGACTAGCACCCGGTATAACACTGGTCCGGCGGCATCCACCTCTGCCTGCTCAGCCAGGCCCCCCACAAAGACTGCCATTGCCGCAGCAACATGGGGGCACTTCAATTTCTTGCTCCCGCCCCTTGCCCTGTACATGGAGACAAGTGGGTGGGAGCATAGCTGGGGTGGGGTGAGACGGAGTAAAGGCAGCCAGGCGCAGTGAAGCTGCCAGTTAGACACGAAAAGCAAAGTAATATATGCAATAAAGGTAAGAAGGGAAATGGGACATCACAATATGTGTTTCAAAGAATTTATATTTGTTTCTGTATGTCCGTCTGCTTGGGACCAGTGTGTGTGTCTGCATGGGTTAGTGTGTGCCTGTATGTGTGTGTCTGTATGGGTCAGTGTGTGTCTGTATGATTGTGTCTGTATGGGTTAATCAATGTCTGTATGAGTCAGTGTAGGTCTTTATGTCTGTGTCTGTATGTGTCAGTGTGTGTCTGTATGGGTTAGTCTGTGAATGTCTGTATGTGTCTGTATGGGTTAGTGTGTGTCTGTATAGGTCAGTGTGTTTGTATGTATGGGTCAGTGTATGTCTCTATGTGTGTGTCTGTATGTGTGTGTCTGCATGAGTCAGTGTGTGTCTGTATGGATCAATGTGTGTCTGTATAAGTCAGTGCATGTCTGCATTGGTCAGTGTGTGTGTCTGTATGTATCAGTGTGTGTCCATGTATTTGTCTGCATGGGCCGGTATGTGTGTCTGCATGAGCCAATGTGTATGTGTGTGTCTACATGGGTCAGTGTGCATTCATGAGTGAGTGTGTGTGCGCGTCAGTGTGCATGGGTCAGTGTGTGCGTGTCAGTCTGCGTGTGTAAATACGTGTGCATGGGTCAGTGCGTGTGCGTCAGTGTGCATGGGTCAGTGCGTCTGTCTCACTCTGCATGGGTCAGTATGTGTGTATCAGTCTGCATGGGTCAGTGCGTGCATGTCAGTCTGCAGGGGTATGTGTCAGTCTGCTTGGGTCAATGTATGCCAGTCTGCATGAGTGGGTGGAGCAAATAGGGCAGCAACATTTTTATTTCACAAGGGTGCCAAAAATCCTTGCACCGGCCCTGTTTGTGCCACTAGAGGTGGACTTAATCCTGCAATGTAACCATTACAGTTTCTAGAAAAACAGCAATGTTTCACACTGAAGGGTTAAAACAAAAGGACCACTGTACCCAAACCTCTTTATTAGAATAAAGTGGCATGATTGACGTTGGTGGTCTTTTAATAGTTTCTACACAACAAGTGCAACAAAAGAAAACAAACTCAAAATAGATTCATTAGTTCTGATTGTTAAAATACATAATTCTAGTCTAAGATTTCAATTAATTTTTAGAAGTTAAAAAAAAATTGCAAGCAGTGAATAATGGTATTAAAGCTAAAATGTTACAAAATTTGTCATAATGAGATAACAACTTTTGTAATCATCACAGAACCTAGAATCACGACAAAAAGGTAACATCTGATAGAATTCATGGAGTATTACTATACTGTTTTGCAGTAGTGCCTCTAGCAGCTGTCAATATGAAAGCCAACAGAGGCAAGTTAACCGTGCAGTGAAAACATTGTTGTTCCTGCAGGGTCGTAACTAGAAACCTCAAGGCCCTGGTGCAAGAATTTGTTAAACATCCCCCACCCCCCACCCCGTCACTATAGAGGTAGCCAACAGGTAGATCCTCAGCTGCCATACAGGTACCATAATGCTTTGCCATCTGTGGATCTACTGTCTTCTCATCATTGCAGGGTTCTATCTGTATGCAGTATCTGTGAATGCAGGTGTGTTTTGTATGGGGTATATTTGTGTGAATGTTTGTTTATTTGTGTATTATGCTGATGTTTGAATGCAGTGGTGTGTTTGTGTGTAGTGTTGGCATTTAAATCAGGTGTTTCTGTGTAGTATTGGTGTTTGAATGCAAGGTTTTTTTTATGTAGTATTAGTGTATGAGTGCAGCGGTGTGTTTGCCTGTAATGTTGGCATGTGGCATGTTTGTTTGTAGTGTTGGCATTTAAATGCCAGACTGTTTTTGTGTACGGTGTTGATGTCTGAATGCAGAGGTGTGTTTTTGTGTAATATTGGTAATTGCGTGCAAATGTGGCTGCTGGGAGTGAGCAACAAGGCCACAGAAAAACATTTATGGTACTTAAACCGTTTTTTTAAAAATGTTGCGAGTCAATTTTGACCTGAGACCTATTTCTTCTAATCTTCTGTGTGCATCTTTAATATTTATTGAATTACATGCCGTGTTGGAATGACACAAAGATGAGTTGATAATTAAATGTTTAAAGTTAAATCACTCTTGTGGTATTTTATATTTTTCTATCCGGTTTCCTTACAGAAATGCTTTCTGGAACAAGGTAAGCCTGGCTGACTGGTTTAGGAGAGTGTCGTTCTGGCTGACTGGTTTTTGACTCTGTTATGGGGAAGATATTATTTTATTCAGCAGAATTAGTGTAAAGCATTAAATATATTCTACAATATTACTTGTGTGGTTTCCATGTATCCTGAAGGCCATGCATAAATAGCATTTTCCATTGAAATAATATCAAGGCTCCTCTGACAACTCGGAAAATGGTTAAAGGGATATTCCAGCATGGATTTATCACTTTTTTTTCTGTGTTATTATTTTATGTAGATAATTACCCAAAATTATCTATTAAAATGAGATACCAACAATTGCCCATCAACAGTGACTCTCCCCTTCTTAATCGCACTTAATTGCAATCATGTCGATGTTGGGATATGACATTTCATCCCTACACCCACAGCCCGTGCTATCACCGAGGTGGAGAGGGAGGGAAAGCCATACACAGCTTTCCTGCTTCCCCTACACAGGACATTAGAGACAAAATGATAGAGCCACTCCACTCCCTCCATCCATCAATCCTTAGGGAGAAGGTAAGCAGAAGGAAAGAGGGAGATAGTAACATTTTATGGTCTTGATAAAATTCAATACTGTTAGAAAAACATTCCAAATGATTTATCTACAAAGATTTCCATATGCTTTAACCATGACTTCTGTGGATAAATAATTTGTAAGTTATTCTAATAGTTTTGAGTCATTTGGAAGCTTATTAAATTGAGGCCTATGTGTGTTTGTATATGAGTATTAGTATGGGTATTTGTATGTCGGTTACTATGTGTGTTAGTGAATCGGTGTTAGTTTGAGTGTTCGTGGATGTGGGTTACGACATGTCAGTGAATCTGTGTTAGTTTGAGTGTTCGTGGATGTGGGTTACTACATGTTAGTGAATCTGTGTTAGTTTGAGTGTTCGTGGATGTGGGTTACAACATGTTAGTGAATCTGTGTTAGTATGAGTGTTCATGTTTGTGAGTTACTAATGTTAGTGAATCTGTGTTAGTATAATTGTTTGTGGGTTACTACGTTAGTGAATCTGTGTTAGTTTGAGTGTTCGTGGATGTGGGTTACTAATGTTAGTGAATCTGTGTTAGTTTGAGTGTTCGTGGATGTGGGTTACTACATGTTAGTAAATCTGTGTTAGTATGCTTGTTTATATATGTGGGTTACTACATGTTAATCAATCTGTGTTAGTATGCGTGTTCATGTATGTGAGCTACTATATGTGTTAGTATGTTTTTCTGTGCATGCATAGCAGTGTGTGCTTATGTAACCATGTTAATATGTGCCTGTTAGTGTGTGCAGTTCTCTCATTATGCATGTCAGAGAGTGTGTTTATGTTTTATGGGAGCCCCACACATTTTCTCACCAAGGATTTAGCAAATTGCATTGGTGGCTCTGTTCAAAGAGGTGACAGTTCCACGTACATAAAACCTGCAATAATTATTAGATTCGATTATTAGAACTGTTGGATTCACTGCTGAACACAGAGTCATGCTTCAGTTATTCTAAAACCATGCTCTGAGGAACAACAGGGTAATTTATATTCCCTACCATCACCACCACACTCTCTCTTGAATTAATTCTCCCCCCACCTGACTTCCCCTTCACCCTCGCTTTTTTATTACTTACAGTTTTGGATTAATTTTTTTAAATATTTTTTTATTCAATTAAGTTTTTGTTTGGACACTGGGTGTTTGCTAACGCAAAGTTGAAAATCAATATACCTTCAATTTAAATAAATAAATAATAAAATTCTGTTTAAAAAAAGGAAAAAAAACTTTCCATTTAATTTGGATTTGAAGGGCAGTAAACACAAGTAACAATTTAAACACCATAACCCCTACTGTGTTCCAGAAGTTCTTTGGCGCCATTCAGCAGTAGTCTGTCAATTGTTTACAAATGGTTTGACACTGAAGCCTGTATGAGTCTGTAAGATAAAGTGGAAATATGCACAACTCAGACCAGAAGGATGGCAGGCTCCCAACAGGATGTTAAGTGTCAGATTACTGCTGCATGATACCAGGACCACCTTTTACCATAACCACTACAATGCACTGTAGTGTTTGCATTGCTCCATTATTGTTACCTGCGGACAGCTTTGTGCCTGCCAATACTTGCCACGTGATACAATCTGACATACAATTTTTACATTGTCCTCATAGTCTAATCACACGACACCCAGTATGGGGGGGACTTTTGTAAAGTTTAGTACACACGCATGTTGTTAGGAATTACAGAACATGTAATCCCATAAATGAGCATTGCCACACAGGAAAGTATTTGTTTGCCTGCTGACAAGCATCAATGACATGTACATTGTCCATGATAGTAACTGGATAAAAAAAAACAACCCCAACATCCCAAGTCTCCCTCTCCAAATATGAGACCGTCGAAGTTGCCAGGTAAGTTTAGCCAAGAAACCGCGTGCAGTGAAAAAGTTGGATTCCATGTTCTGAATTTGCTACGGCTTTGAAATCCTGGCTGAGGATCTAGGGAAACGTTGTTTAAACCCAGATTGAGATTTATATAAAAAACCTGCCCACTATGAGCAGTGTACTTATTGAATATTCATGTATTAAGATTGCTAGAAGATTTATTCACTAAAAACTGAATTATAGTGAATTGAAATTAGAAACCGCATTGCACAATGTAGGCAAAATGTGTCTATTTAACCCCTTAAGGACACATAACTTCATGATTCCCTTTTATTCCAGAAGTTTGGTCCTTAAGGGGTTAAAGGGTTATTCCAAGCCTCAGAATTAACCACAACAACCTGCTGTAGTGTGTATGATGCAATTAGTTCCTTGACCCCATTTCCCGGTAATTGGGCAAACTGTTTTGCAGATGTTTGCTTTTTTACTTGGTCGTTCTGGGCGCAGAGCGTCCCTTTTTGTTGGCAGTGACGCCATACTGATCCTACCGACAATTCATTGACTGAAAGCGTCAGTTGACCATTCTCAGCCAAAAATGCAACTCTGAACATAGAAATATGCACAGACTTGGCATTATTTAGCCCACTTGTTCCATGTTGGCTAATGACACCCCAAGTATGTTGCCGGAGGTGGCGTTACACTTCTAGCAGCAAAGGGTTAAACTTCACATGTGCCACATTTCCTAGCGAAATGCTGCACATACAGACTCCATATAACCACTTGAAATCACTGTACTTGTCCTGGTACTTGAAGTAACCCTTTAAGTTTTTTTCCAACTCAGTGGCATAACTTTTTAGCCTGTGTCTAATCTCCAGGTGTGTTTACTTATCTGAAATCGTATCAGTCATTTACTGCTCTTTTAAATTAGAACAAAACAATGTGTGCTTTATTTATAGAGCCCTTGCAACGGGGTTAAGCAGGGTTATTACACAGCATTCTTCACCCACCCCCTAAAAAAAAAAAACCAACAACAACAAACGAACAAAAAAAAAACTGGGATGGCTGAGCATGCTCAGAATTGTAATCCAACAACAGCAGTCAGTGTTGCTCAGCGAATGTGGGTGTTCAGTCTCCAGGCTCTCAGGAGGTTAATATACAGTGAGTTATGAATTGAATACTCTCACACAAATCCTCACACTTTCTATCGACCTTCATACTTTGTATCTATGTGACTACCTGTGTTTACAATGGAACTTAACGTCGAGCTGTTAGAAAGCTTACTGAGTCATTGTAACCTGTCCGCCACTTACCTCCAAGGAATTCCCTTCCCTTTCTCCCAGAACTTCCATTTCTGGACTGTTAGGTTTGCAGTAAGGATAGATGGTCTTTGCTACAGTAATGTAAACATGATATATATAGGACTTCACCCACACACAGACAGATATAGCCTTACACCACCACCTCCCAGACATAGTTGGCTCTGAGTGAAGTGCTGCTCAAATTTCCTTGCTGGTCCCAAGACCTAGCCTTCAATAGCCTTGTCTGCCACTGGGTGGGACTATCTGTGTTGTGTCATCGCAGATGTTATCAGCTTTGTCAAATAATTTCCAAACCACAGATGTTAAACTCACAGGTTTGTCATTTCCAAGCAGAGATCTTGATCTCTTCACAAAAAATGCTCTGTTTTACTTTTCTCTGGGGTTTTTCCTACTTCCAGAACTTTGCTCTTGTCAGAACACAACATCCCCTATCCCCTATCCCCTATTCAAAAATTGGTGATTGACTTCCCCTGATATTCTATATTGTGCGGAATATAGGACATAGTTATGTTTTAGGGGAAAGGGCAGATGGTCTTTGCTACAGTAATGTAAACATGATATTTATATATAGGACTTCACCCACACACAGACAGATATAGCCTTACACCACCACCATTTTTTGGGGGTAAAATTTTTAAACTGCCTGTGTCCTATATTGTGAGTGTCACCCAGCGCCATGTCAGGGTGACCGGCAGAAGGTGGCCACATAGAGCTTCACATGGAACTCTATTCAAATCCCCAACAAGTCACACTTTATTAAATGAGCTAGTCATGTAAATGAAAAGCCCCAAGAATTCCCTGTGTACATGTGGGCATTTTGTCACTCTGACACGTGTTCTACATGTGTTTACCAGTGATGTGGTTATGTACCAGCAAGGTTAGGGTTATGTCTGGATATAGGAGGTAGCTAATTGACTTATTTCAGCATATTGCATATCTTAGTTAGGAGGGAGTACTGTAATTAAATTGGAAAACAAGAGAAAGCTGTAATATGGATAAAGCAGAAATTATGCATTTTCAGAGAGGCTGAAAAAAAACTCTTTGGGGGCAATTTTATTTAAAAAAAAGGCTCTCACCAGCACCCAAAGAGTTTGACAAAATAAAGAGGGGGGAGCTCCTATAGAAGCTATGCAATTGTGTTAAGCTGTGCACACAATGCTGATATCGTGTACAAAGATGGAGAACAGTTGTTCTTATTGTCAGCGATAATTGTCGTATTGCAAATCCGCAGCTGGAGACGACTGCCTCTCTTCCTTCTTCTTTGTAATCTTGTTTTCTTTTCGTTTTCTTTGAATTATCTTGTCTTGCTTCTGTTTTCTTCTAACTGTTTCCTAAACTAAAACTTTCAGGTTGAAGATGCATATGTTTGTGTGCACACAACTCGTCTGGTTACAAATAAATGTTTGTTAGTCCACCCATTGTACAGCGCTGCTGAATCTTGTTGGCTCTATATAAATAATAATATTAATAATAATAATAATAATATCACAATAAGCTCTTCACCTGCTCTTCCCTGCGCCTATGGTCCAACAATGTGTGCAGCCTCAATACTCCAGAGCGGCGATCACACCTACTGAGAACACTATGGTCGGCCAGGGCCTCAGTGGCCTTCCTCCAGGAGACACACTTCCGTGCTCAGAAACATGAGATTCCCGACAGGCTAGAAGAAAGCATGGGCAGCAATATTGTTTTCCAAGCTAACTCCATTCCAGTGCACTGGGATGCAGGCAGACCCACTCAGTCGATACCTGTTTCTAAAATGGACGATTGCTGATCGACAATATACATTCGCATGTGTCTATGCACCAAACGTAAGACAGCACCGATTCCTTGCCAGAATATTGTCGCCTTTAGAGAAATTTCCGGGAAGGCCTCCTCCTGATGGCTGGGGATTTTTTGATGGCTGATGGCTGGGTCAATTTTGCACTAGATCCGAGGATCGACACATCCAGAGGCCACAGCACTTTTCCCCAAAACAGTCTCCGTCTAGCCAAGACAGCTGGCGAGTTCTACACCCGGATAGTACCATTCTACCCTTGGGCTTGTCCAACCATGCACCGGTCCTGACACAACTGCGCTCCCAACTATACAAGCTGGTGGAACGCCAATGGAAAATGAATGAGCATACCCTCACAGATCTCAAAGCAAGGCAAGCGACACGGGAGGTCATGCAACTACAATAACCCAATTACAATATTCCAATACATTAGTAAAGTACACCTAATACATTTATGTGAGGCAAGCTGTAAGTCTGGCTTGCTAGAAGGGAGAGTAGATATGATATACTTAGTACATCAGGAGTCCTGGTTAGTGATATCAGGGTCCAGGAATAACAATATAAGTTACCCAAGTTGAAATCCCTTCCCACACTAGTCTTAGATGCTAAATGTTGCAGCCGTTGGTAATAAATAGAAAAAAAAGACCTGTCAATGTGTGCAGGGACATTCCTGCACCAGGTTCAAATAGTCAGGCATCCTAACGAAAAAATCCTCAATATTATTGTCTAGAGGAGATTTGGGGATTAGGTGTGCCCTATTCTGACTCGAAATCACCAATGTATGCTATAACAAGTACTCAATAAGGTAAACCCCCCAGTGGGTCTCCCCTAAAGTGGTTGGCAGTGTGTGGGTGTGTATGTATTAGGGAGTTTGTTGTATGGAGAGGCGTAGCGAAGTGGGGATATAAAGAACAAATGTGTATCAGCAGCACCTAGTGGCAAGTGTCTGTACTGCCTATATGCTTTGAAGCAAGCGTCTCAGGATAACTGCACTGCTTGCACAGCTTCTTCACACACTTAGTACTGATTCTAGGCAGTGGGATGCGATGTCACCCTAGATACAGCATCAGCATGAAGAAGCAGGGAGCTGTGCATTTAGTGCAAAATGAGATTCCAGATGTTATAGTGCACAACAACAAAGCCACAAAAATGGGTTATACTGGTGCAAATGTTCCAAACTTTCACAAAAGAAGAAATCCAAACGAAGGCAGAAGAAGCTTCGCTGATTAAATTTCCTTTTTCTGTCGTTTGAATTTGTCTTTTTGAAACTCCAAAGTTTGTTGCTGTTGCAACAGTGGCAATTTTAGCTGTTTGCAAGCACCACAGTTCTTTGAGGAAGCCCCATAGTACTGTTTTTACTCTGATTTGTAAACTATAGGTAAGGCACTCGCCATGTGGATGCCTTAGGTTGCACCAGCCTTGAGGGGTGCAAATCCAGGCATTTGCTCCAATGCATTTTTAGTCATTTTAGTCATTGTGGAGAGATTGTGTTTAACACAGCCTCCCCACATACTGTCATTCTCTCTACTTAATCACTCACCAGCCCTCTATATTTATTTGCCCCTCATCTGCTTACCTCCTGTGGTTCATTGGGTCCCTGGTGGCCCAGTGGGCTGCTGGTGAAATCCCTTGTGGTCCAGTGTGTTGTTGGAGCAGCCGCACACCCTCGCGGTTCCGGTGTTCAGCGATGACGTCAGAGTGCAGGCTGGAACCCGGTGCCTGTGCTCTGACAGCTACAGTGCGCCGGAACCGTGAGGGACTGCGGCTGCACTAACAACACACTGGACCACCAGGGAGTCCACCAGCAGCCCACCAGTGAGTCCATATCTAAAAGCAGGCAGGGTCAGGGGTGGTTGCTGAAGGGGACAATGACACACAGAGAGGGGCTGGAGTAAGGGGACAATGAAACACACAAAGAGGGGCTGAGAAGTGGACTGTGACACACACATAGAGGGAGACAATAACACACAGAGGGGCTGCTGAAGGGGACAATGACACATGCTGAGGGCCCTCGAAGGTGGAAGTGACACACAAAGGGGCTGGGGGGAGAAAGACACACAAAGGGGGAAGTAAGATACACAAAAGGGGGGTGATAGACACAAAGGGGAAAATGTGGGTTGTAAGACACAAAAGGGGGTTAAAGATACACAAAAAGGAGTAAGACAAAAAGATGAGATAGTGTGTTACCGGGCCTGCCGGGACAGTGCACCCAGCACCCAGCTGTACAGTGCCCAGTGGCGTACACATGACCCATGGGGTCTAGTTGCGAAAATTGATCCATGGCCCCCCCCCACGAGCGGAAACACATGGCGGTGGGCACCTGGTCGCAGGGGTTACAGGGCTGCGACCCCTGCGACCACGGTATGTACGCACACTTAAAGGACCACTACAGACACCCAGATCACATCAGCTCAATGAAGTTGTCTGGGTGTCAGGTCCCTCTAGTTTTAACCCTGCAGCTGAAAACATAGCATTTTCAGAGAAACTGCTATGTTTCACTGAGGGTTAATCCAGCCTCTAGTGGCTGTCTCACTGACAGCCGCTAGAGGAGCACACTGAATGTCCATAGGAAAGCATTGAGTAATGCTTTCCTATGGGCGGTTTGAATGCGTGCGCGGTCGCATTCAGACCTGGGAGGCTGAGGGATCCCCAGCGCCAAGGGAGTCCGGCGCTGGAGAAAGGTAAGTGCTGAAGACACACACACTCTCACTTACAGACGCATTCACACTAGCTAACAGACACACACATTTACTGACGGAGACACACTCAGCGACAGATATACATCCACACTCACTTACAAAACATACACAAACTCACTAACAGACATCAAACAGACTCACTAACACACACACACACTCAGTAAGACACACACAGTAACACACTCACTGACACTCACTAGCAGACACACACACTAACACTCACACACACTAACACTCACACTAACACTCACTAGCAGACACACACACTAACACTCACTCTAACACTCACACACACTCTAACACTCTAACACTCACTCTAACCCTAACACTCACTCTAACACTCACACACACTCTAACACTCACTCTAACACTCACACTCTAACACACTCTAACACTAACACTCACACGTATTTAAAAAAATAATAATTTAGTCCCCCCAACCTCCTTACCTTTTGGAGTGCTGGGGGGATTCCCTGGGGTCCAGTGGTGCTGCTGGGCTGGCGGGCTATCTGGCCGGCATGCGAGGGAGCACTCTGCTCTGAGTGCTTCCTCTTCAGCTCCCTCACGCGCTGCATAGCGATGCCGGCGCCAGTATCAGTGCGGTGCGCGAGGGAGCTGAAGAGGAAGTACTGAGTGCTCCCTCGCGCACCCGCCTGCCCGACCGGCCACCCGCCTTCCGGGTGTCAGCAGGGCCAGCCTCGGGGGGCCCTGGGGTGGTCGGTTCCTGGGCCTCCCAGGGGAATAGGGTGGCCCAGTGGGTACACACCGGGTCGCAGGGGCCCTGGTGGGCCGGGCCCGGTCGCAGCCACGACCCCTGCGACCCTGGTATGTACGCCACTGATAGTGCCCATTAATAATGGAGGGGTTAGGCTCTACATGAGAATGGCATCCTGCCAGGCTCTGACAGTCAAATGATGTGAAGTTACACTATTATATATATATATATTTATTAGCTCTTATATTCATGTGTCATGACAGTGTATATTATTATATGCTGTACCCTCTCATTGTAATATTTATAATGTGAATATGGGGATAAGAGGATTCAAACCTGAAGAAAGGCTTTATTAAACCAGGGTGGCCAAATATTGTGGAACTACACACCCCTTGATGCTTTGCCAACTTAAAGGACCACTCTAGGCACCCAGACCACTTCAGCTTAATGAAGTGGTCTGGGTGCCAGGTCCTTCTAGGGTTAACCCATTTTTTCATAAACATAGCAGTTTCAGAGAAACTGCTATGTTTATGAATGGGTTAAGCCTTCCCCTATTTCCTCTAGTGGCTGTCTTATTGACAGCCACTAGAGGCGCTTGCGTGCTTCTCACTGTGATTTTCACAGTGAGAGCACGCAAGCGTCCATAGGAAAGCATTGATAATGCTTTCCTATGTGACCGGCTGAATGCGCGCGCAGCTCTTGCCGCGCGTGCGCATTCAGCCGACGGGGAGGAGAAGAGGAGGATCGGAGGAGGAGAGCTCCCCGCCCAGCGCTGGAAAAAGGTGAGTTTAACCCCTTTTCCCCTTTCCAGAGCCGGGCAGGAGGGGGTCCCTGAGGGTGGGGGCACCCTCAGGGCACTATAGTACCAGGAAAACGAGTATGTTTTCCTGGCACTATAGTGTTCCTTTAAGCCTGACAAAGCATCATGGGATTTGTAGTTCTATGCTTCTGTCATTTGGCCACCCTTGTTCTATCCCCTAATAGCACATAAATGCCAGAATTGTCATTGAGATGCCTGTCATGTATGCTCAATGCCAATAGTAATGTCTGTGAGATAGTAAGTGCAGTTTCTATTTGGAAGCATTATGACAACAGCACTTGCCAACCACATGAAGTAAATCAGCTTATTAGTAAAGTGACACTGTAGTCACCAAAACAACTTTAGCTTATGAATCAGTTTTGGTGTAAAGACCGTGCCTCTTAAGTTTCATTGCTTAATTCAGGGCCATTTAGGAGTTAAATCACTTTTGTTTCTGTTTATGCAGCCCTAGCCACAGCTCCCCTGGTTGTGACTCACGCAGCCTGTATGAAAACAAATGGTTTCATTTTTAATCAGATGTAACTTGCTTTAAAAATCTTTATCGCTTGCTCTGTAAACTGACTTTTAATTACATACAAGAGGCTCCTATATGGTCTAGCAAGCTATTAGCAGAGAAGGAGATAAGAAATTTTAAATAGAATTTGCAATGAAGGAAGTATAAACATTAGATGACTCTTTACAGGAAGGGTTTAGGAAGGCTGTGTACATCACATTCAGGAAGGTGTGACTATGGCTACATAAGCAAAGTGATAAAACTCCTAAATGGCAGATAATTGAGAAATGTGACTGCAGGGGCATGGTTTATACACCAACACCGCTCCATTAAGCTAAAGTTGTTTTGGTGACTTTAGTGTCCCTTTTGTGATGATGTGTCATTTTGTTTGTGACATCTCTAATGTTAATTGTTTAACTGCACTGTTATACCTCAAATAGTTAATGTGTTGGTTCACTTTAAATCTTGTCATGTAACTTGGAACAGGAAATAGGTGACATGAAATAGTTCAGTTGTGAGGTGAAGACTGAATAAAGAGATCCTGGTTAAGCTTCTAATCCTCTCTCAGTGTCTTATGTCAATTCAACACACCTTTAAGTGTCATTTTAGTTTTAAGAATCTTGATATAACATAATAGATGTGGTTTTAGTGTGTGTTTGGGGGCAGGGGGGCAACATTTCATCCTTGGACATAGGAAGCACAATGTCTGGGGCCAGCCTTACATTCAATGCCTGTAATGACATAGAGAACAGTATCCACAGTTAGAGAGTGTATTTCAGGAAAGTTAATAAAATGAAAAGTCAACTACAATAAACCAGGAAAATGGTGAGGTGAGGTACTGCTGGACTCCCAGCATGCCAATCAGCTTACGCCCATCATTGTCAGGACACAGTCC